TTCTTACAAAAAGTAATGTGACTCAAGGGAAATATATTGGCGCCCGGAAGTCTGGCAGACCGAATACCATATGACAGAGTATTCCCCAGCGCGGGCGGACAGTTTTTGATCGCATCAGAAGAGGAGAAAATGCTAAAAACTGGATCTTGTATATTTTCCCATGATTCATCAAACTTTTTGATTTTAAGCTCAAATAAATCGGAACAAAGGAATGATTGATGATCTGGATCTCGGATCATAAGCATAAAGTGATTCAGAAGTCCGCAGATCAGTTAATTAATTGGGAAAGCTCTAGAACATTAGTAATGATGCGGCTTCACAAAAAGGGGTGAATTAGAGAACAGTCTAGAAAGTTCCTTTATAGCCGACTCATTTCTAAAGATAACTGTTTGTAATTAAAGCGGTGTAGAGCATAGCTTTAGAGCTACAAGACCCCGCTAAGATCGGCCCAAAAGACAAAGAACTGAATTACTTATTGCTGAGTCATGTCCTAAGTCCATTATTAAGCTTACATAGCCCAAGCCCCTATATCATTCTAGAACTATCTATAATACAAATGTAGCACATGTAACTAGTGCGAGGCGTGGGAGTAGAGAGGCCTCTGAAAAGCATAAAAGGCCACCGCTTCTGCCCCCTCTCAAACCTCAGGTAGAAATATAAGTTTAATTCTCCTCACCAGTGGTTGGTTCATTTGCTCCAAAAGATAAAAGCAAATATTAGTTGTTAGCTAATATAAAACTAACACGTCACTCTAAGCGTGAGTTAGGGTCAGTTAGACACAGCTGAACAAAAGTGTCATAGTGAGAATTAGTGAGAATTTGGTGGAGGGACTTCTTAATTGAATAATCTCTCAGTAATATTTGATTATCACACCACAGGAGAAAAGTGAGCGATCCTGAACCTGCTAGATAACTAGCATGCACTCTAAGCAATAGAAAGAGCAGTTTGGTCACTCCTGTATTGATTGCGGAATTATTTTATTAGTAGTTTTCCTTCAGTAAATTATCAGGAAAATCACGTCCTACTGAAAAGTGGTAAATCTAGGTGTAATATTGACTAGAAATCATAGTAAAGTCAATATAGAATTTTATCCATAGACGATCTATAGGTCAGGTGAGATCGTTGGGGGGTGTTTATTGTTGTTTAGACAGTGAACAATTATATATTTGGCAACCAAAACACAGTCAGTACGCAAATCAGCCCAAACTCTAATATCATTATTGGACGTAGGAAACTGGTTACATAAGGTGATCCAGCTCCGCTCCTTCAGCGTGATGGACAATGGCACAAATAATGGGTGCAGGTGATAGGAGTGGTAAAGGCAGGGACTTTGCAGGGCCGTGACACATAATGATATCACTATAATCAGAATTATAGTGAAGTAAGGTTAATCCCTTACAGTCACCCTGGACAAAATTCAAAATGGTTCCACAGTTGTCAAGTGTAGTGGAAGGGGATGCAAGACAGTTTGGGTATGTTCTCTACCATGATTCTAGCGCTACTTTTCTGACAGACAAGTCAGTTCCATAGGTCATGCCAAGGCCTGGGCTCCTATATCCCACCCAATTGGATGTGTGGCTCTCATTCCAAAAGTCATGCTGGTAAGCAGGCAAGAAAATAAGATTTATTCAAGTGGGTGAGCATGTATAGCTGAGTTTAGAGGTACAAAAACTGTATTTGAATTAAAAATTTTGACAGGTGTGGAATAAGTTTGGCACCATTGTAGGCAGGCAGTGTCAAAAACCCCAGATTGTAGGGGAAAATGCGTGAGTCCGAATGCAGGCGGGGCTCAACTAGATGGGATCCGAGAGCTCCGGTAGTGGACCAAAGCTTCTCCAGGAAGCCTGGTTCTGCTGGATGGTACAAGAGGCTCTAAGGAGGATGCAGCCTCAGCGACTCGGAGGGAGCACTGTGCCTTCGTTATGTCTCTGTTAGTCCTTGTATTTCTTATGTCTGAGGTATCTTTTAGGAAGGGGCCAGGATTCACTCAGAGGGACTTGGGGTAGCATTTTAGTCGAGATTAGAACTGAGGAAAGCTACAGGTTCTAATCTACAGGTATTTATAAGGGGGAATGGAAAGGACTTAGTCAAAGTCCGAATGATAATAGAAGAACACCGAAAGGTGCTGAATGATACCGAGAGGTACCGAAAGGTCCCGAACGATATCCTTAATGGGGAACTGAGGTGTCGGGTCAAGGGGGGCGGAGTAAGAGGCTGGAAGATGAATGGGAACGAGAAATGGGTAAGAGGGGCTAGCCAACTGAATGGTAAGAAGAAGATAGTCATGCTATGAATGGAAGGTGACTAATAAGTGATGATGTGAGTGGGTCACTGAAGGATGTGGATAGCTCCGAAGTGGAGTTACGTATCCGAAGGATGTTGGGTGACTCCAATAAATGAAATGGGTGGGGAAATGGTTTAGGGGTGTGTCACAGGATGTTGGAGGTCTGTCAGGATATCGGAGCAATCCGGAGTCTCCGAATGTTCCGACTTGGGGCCGAGCTTCCGGGATGGGAGTAGCCAAGGTTCGGTGTGCCACAACCAGGCTGGAGCTGAGACAGTTAGGAAGGGAGGTGACTTGAGGAGTGGGGAGGCATGGTGTAGGGGATGGTGAAGTTGTTAGGAAGGTGTGGTGTGGTGGGAGTGCGTGGGGTCGGGATTCCAGGATATGACACACAGCTGGTACCACCTGAACAAGCCGAATATTGCGATTTCCCCATCCCAGCACATTCCCACTTCACGAAACACATCATACACATTTTCATATACCATTTCTACCTGTCCACGATTTTTCCCTATTTTTCCAGACACATTTCCCATCCCCACAGACCAAATTCCCATGCCCACCCAGCAGCATGGCCACACTCAGACTGGATTTCACTTATCTCAGCAACCACTGCACTGATTTGGACGATATTGGTACCGTTGGAAACGCGTCATTTAGGAGTACTAGTATCTGTGATTAGTGGGAGTTCATTGGTGATGGATAGAGTTGGGTATTTTTGGTCAGATACCATTTATTGCTCTATTGTTTTCTTGATTATTGTTTTCCCTCCCTTTTTCTGATATTGATTGTTTCCCATATGGTCCACCTAAGCACATGGGGCACATCGCATATTTTTTGTCATTTTTATTTGATCATTTCTCATATATACTGTACATGAGGATGTATCTACCTTTTCCTTTGGATTAGAAACCACCGAGTTTGCCCCTCCCAAGCTAGTAGGGAGTAGTATGATGAAGAAGATCAGTAAGAAGACCTCCAGATCAGTCCTCACTTTAGTGTCACCCAGAGAGGTGGGGTGAGAGATTGATTAGAGCCACCCACACACCACACTGGGCCATATTCACCAATACTATTACCACTTTTCCCTGACCTGCTGGATACCAATCCAGTCCCCATCCTTTCCTGTTTGCCTGCTGGGTTAGATCCCCTGTTACAGATACAGAGTCTCCAACATCCATATCCATTGCATAGTCAAAGACCTCCCCTTTCCATCGCTCTCTCTCTTTCTCTCTTTCGCTGTAAGGGGTTGGTGTAGGTGCCAACCCTGGTCAGCCTAGTTCCTCAGGCTGTCAACAAAACTAACTTGTATGAAGTTATTATTGCAACAGTAGTGGAGGAAAAGGCTACCTTGCTCTTTCCACTTTCCCACACTATTGTATGTACTTTGTATATACATGTTTATTACAAGACAATTATACAATTATGTAATGGGAAATAAGGGGTGGGGTTACCACTCCTTACATTCGCTCTCTATCCTGATACCCTACTATCCTCACCTGTTCTACTCCATTCTCCCCCCTCATGCAAAGCTTTCCCCATCGGGGTTTTGGTGCTGGCCAAGGTTGTTTGTATTTTGTGGGATTTCCCACGACCTTTCCATTTGTAGATAGTCATGCGTCATGTATGGAAACCGCCAAAGGCAGTTCCTGCTAACTACTACAACACTCTACAACTGTCTTGTGTGCCGTCCCTTGTAACAACCCCCTCTTGTGACTCAACTGAACCTGTGTGCTTGTACAACTCTCAACATGTCCTATAAGTCTGGTTATATCGAGTCCTCTGACAGTTCTCACTGTGAGAACTCGAGGTTGCGAGTCGAAGACTCTCGACTTGTGTATCATCCTATGGAACCTGTATCCTACAGGACATCATCACTCAGCTCTCCCCCCAGCGCCCGACAGACGATGTCATACTATGATCTTAGAGATCGTGAATACTCTGAGGCCCATATTCCCATGATGCCAGCATGCTCACTACACGAGTGCCAAGTAGCCGTCCATCCATCATCTGCTCCCTCCCTCATCAGTCATCGTACCTCCTCACCAACGGTACGTTCCCTTTGGGAACGCCAAGTCACTGAAGGCCCCACTAGTCATTCCTCACTGTACACTCATGTTGACAACCCGCTACCGGTACATTCACACTGCGAATGCCAAGTAACCGATAGCAATGATACAGAATCTTCACACATCTTACAAGTCATGACCGCACACACGGTACGCTCCATTGAGGAGCGCCAAGTACCCATGGCTGACCCGTCCATCCTGTTGTCTCCGACTACACACAATCAATCCCTTAATAGCTCACTCCATCACGAACTACGATCGATGGGAATTCGATTGTCTGCTCTCATGCAAGACTGGGAACACTCATCGATTACACATCCCGTTATGGTACAGACTAGATACAACAATCGCCATCCCACTATAAGAACAGGTCGAGAAGGGAGGAATTCTCCCCATCCTTGTAACATCCCTAGCCCACTTACACCATCAAGGCAGACCCCCCCCCCTAACATGGTGTTCGGCATTTCCCAAATTGACCCCCCTTGGTCACTATCATCCTACCCACTGTGAATCACATATATTTGATACTCACAGCTGGGTTCTAGGACACCCACCTTACACATATCCAGTATATATACATAAAAGCGTGGTGTGTAAGGGCTGAGTGTGATATCTAATGTGATTGTATTGCATGCATGGAAGACAAAGGGGTCAATAAGCAAAAATACATTTGGAATCACATTTTAATTTACATTTCATCAGACATATTCTCTGCATAATTGGTAATCCACGAGTCATGATCCTCCATGTGATTCAGGGGCCACATTTGAGCAACTTCATCCCCATGAGACAATTCCTGAGGCAGGACAATGCCAAGAAAGGTTTCAAACTGCTGCTCAATTCCTGCTGTCCTAAGTATGTCATAGGTCTTAGGGCTTGCACCTCGGGCAGAGATCAAGTAGCGATTATATAAATCCTTTTGCAGCTCTTTGTCTTGAACATCCACCTCCAGCACCTTCAACTGTCCGTTGTCCTCAGGATTTCTTTTTTTGCCCTTGGGAATTTGGTTTCTATGCGTGAATAGCCTATCTAGAGCACTCTGGTGCTCCCTCTTCAAGGCACCATATTGGAAGGACTTGGAATGCTTTGGGAGGGAGTAAGTGATGAACTCTGCTTCTCGATACTGGGAGTCGGTACCAAGCTCCATCAGCAAGGCAAGATAGGGGAGTGGGTCTTCAGGATCACGGATAATTCCATTGGGTCGCAGATTCCTTTGGGCACCAGTATCAGTATCTCCTTTCTTTTTGTTCTTGACTTGAATAACAAATCCCGACAGCTGGTCGCAATCAAAATTAGCCCCAGGATCCACGGAACCAAAGTAAACCGGGCATAAGAAATCGATCGATGTTTGATTGAAGCAGCACTGCATTATGACCCCCCGAGCCCAGAGGTTAGAAAGTAAATTTCTGAGGAGCCTCGGTCAGCGAACACGTGAAGGAGTATGCAAGGAATAACTACCGAGGAGGCGGCTCAGGTAAGGAAAAATCTCTGGCACCCCAATGTGTGAAATTGACAAATGCGTCACTGAAAGCCGTTTTGAAATCATCATCATTACACCAGTCCTTGCCAAAAAGGATTTGAAGGACATCCAACAGATGAACAGGTTTCAGCAGGTTTCGGTGCCCCTCGGCGTCAAATGGAGCCGCATAGTCGCGCGCGGTGAGGAGAAGGAAGCGGGCAGCAAGTTCACCCATAAGACCCTTTTCGACCAGACCAGCAAGGCACAAATCTTGGCTCAACGTATCCAGAGCCAAAGGTAACTGCCCAGGATGATCGTACAAGAGTAGTGCAGCACCCAAGGCCAGAACCGGTTCCGAGGGTGAATGAGTGTAGTATAACGCGTTGTCAACCGAGAGGCCCGTGAGGAGCCTCATGTGATGCGAGACGCTCCGATTGGCTAACATGACGGCCTCACGATTCGCTATAACAAGATCGAGGCAAAGCCGCTGTGAAAGCACAGCGAATACATGGCGCTTATCGTGGGGATGGAATCCTCCCTTATCACCGGCAGTGAGCTTGAAAGCCGCAATATTCACCAGTTCATTGCCTTTCTTGGGTAACATGGCGCGCCACCTAGCAGAAGTGAGTGGGAAATTGCCCTCGTGATCTGGAGGAAAGGACACACAATGGCCGCCCATATTGGCTGATATGCTCCATTGTTTCGAAATAACCGATCTTAGCAGGTGTCAGGGATTTGGCATGCTCGCTGGCATACTGATCAAAACCAAGAGCAAAGTAGGGGGGGTCTAGGCGAAGTTGTTCCTCTCTGAGTCTTGCGGAAACCACTGTGCGAAACAATAAGGTCTAGCTAGGTAACTACATAAACACTCACTGTCTTGAGAACGAGGTGCAAAATACGCTACGCTTGCCTTCGTCCCCATAAAAACATACCACATTCTTACGGACTCGTCTTGGTTTTGCAATAAACGTAACATAATCCAGAAGCACATTCCCAACTCGTGAGCTTCATCAAAGTATGTGACACACAGTGGGCCCTGGGGGAGGCCGTCGTAGGGTAGATCATCGGAAGGTGGTTCGCTGGGAAGATTCTTGATGAACGCCATAAGGTTCTCAACCGCTTCCTTTGCACGCTCATAATAGGTCGGGGCAAGCCCGATGGCCTTTTCTGTTCCTTCCTTTGTTGCCCCATCGAGCTTGGGACTTTTCCCTGGTTTTGCATCATCACTTGAATGTAGCTAAGCCATCTATCAACTTCAGCAGAGAGGACAAGAACGGAAATTTACCTGGACGCTTTCCATCACCCTTTTGTAGAACTCCACCCGAAAATCTCGTTGGCCTTCCCCCTCCATTTTCTGGTGCCAACGACCAAGAACCTCTGCCCTTGTGTAATTCTCTTGTCCAAGCTCAACAACAATATCTTCGAGAGACCCTACCATAGTCTCATGCGCAGCTGCAAGGAAATCAGCGATACCCGAAAGTGTACTGATGCTAAGGCTATTGTTGCCGCACTTGGTCTTGAGCTCCCCAAAATAGGTGGACACGGGCTCGTCCGATAACGGGTAACCAGGATTATCCGGTCTACGAAGACATATAGGGAGGGTAAAGATTTGCCTACCAACCTAGAGCAAATAAGGTCATTCCTTTTTCAGGATCAGAGGACAAACACACCTCCGTCAGCATACGCGATTTCCCAACCCCAGAGCTTTGGACTACTGAGATGGCTTTAGCATAACGTGGTCGGTTGCGGTTTCTCGGATCCCGGTCGAGTTGGTCAAGGTGCCTAATGAAAGTGAGAGGCGCACCACCAACAAAAGGGGCACGGTATGCGGCAGCAAGCTCTGGCGGCTAATTAGAACCCTGGAAAAAATACAAACTTTGGACTCACTTTGTTCATTGAGAAGCCTGTAAACAGAGCTACGTGAGTAAGAAGTAAGGTCGATGTTGAACAAGCGTACTTAGCGATCAATCGAAGATTTGGGGAATTGGTATCCCTAGTGCGTCGCAGTCTCGCTTCCACTGTACCATCAATTAATGACAATCAGTGCCTCGAATGCTGGTTGGCACATACCATACTCGATCAAGGGCCTCCATTGATTCTGTTTGAGAGCATCAGTGATCAATCCCCGACATTCAACATTGTGAAAGTTTTCCATGGTCGACGAGGTCTGTTCGTCGTTTGGAACAACATCGAAAAACGCCTTCTCCAGACCGATAGTAAGAGCACCCAGAATGCTTTCAAGGAGAACATTCCACCTTGCTGGATCCGCCTCGGCGATCTCTAGGAGAATAAACCATGCTGGACTGAATGGCTCACTGGCCTGACGGATCGCATCTAAATCTTTGTCACTTATTCTTGCAGGAGAGAAATATTTCACATCTTCCATCTTGTCAGCCATCGTTGAACCTGTGTGACAAATCAAGTCGGAAAATTCCGCAGCTAAGCCAACCTTGTGTCACGGACCTAACGGCGTTAAAGTTTGAATAAGCCGTAGTGACCCCGAACAGACATATTTCCATTTCCCAGACTTCTCTGGTGCTTGAATACACTGATATGGCTTCCTCCTGCGTGGAGGAAGTTCAAGCCGTAATATTTCTTGCCGCTTGGCGGGTCTTGAATGCGGCCCCCACCATCGCGTGACGTTATCAGTAACGTGACCGGGTGTGGGACTTCGACGCGACCAATTCGTTCTTGTTCCATTTCCCCTCAAGAATTCGCTGTCTTGGTTGTGTATCACCACTAATCAATCAGCTGAGGCGCATAGTTTAACAGTTTCATTAAAAGGTAAACCCTTCGTATTTCCGTATCCCGAGTAATTTTGATGACGAACTTTGCTCACTGCTTATCATGGACGCTCTGCATTGAACTCAAACCTCAAGCTCATTTGCACACCCACCCAACTTGGCATACACTGGACATATTTTCTACATTCCCCTTCATCCTTTAGCGTCCCACTGCTTTCACATGTCCTCACCACCACTTGAGCGCCGCTCCCGAAATGCACCCATCCTCAATCCATTCGATCAATTAGATGCTGCGTCTTTTGACAGTTTTGTGACTGATGTGGCAGCCGCAATTCGGAATGCATTGAACCCTAGTTTTCCTCCGGCCCCTATCGCCAAATCTTCCCATGTACAAGCTATCGCTCCCAGTCTCGATGTCGCTGGTAGTGGTGAGAGTGTCAACGGTAGACACTTGGTTATGCTTGATCCTTCCTCGAATGTGACGCCTTCACCAGCTCCATCTTCTGTCGTAGATACAGAAGCGACGGAGGAGGACACTTTCATCCGTCAAAAGTTTCAATTTAAACATACGACTTACAATCTACCTCTTTCGTCGACCCGAAGCCAAGAGTTCTCCAACACCGGACTCCAACTTAAGGATCTCAACCAAACCAATGATGCGAGTTCTAACTATAGTCGTGCTTCTAAAACCGAAACTCCAAAACAGAGGTCAAGGTCGCCTTCTGTGATTGACCTCGTTTCTGACTCCGATGATGAGGCCGAATCTGCGAAACCTACACCTACATCTGAAACTGTTCCTGTGCGCCAGTCCCCGTATCAACGTGCAACCCCAGAAGGCTACGTTGGAGATGCGGCTGCCGAGACGGAAGCTAATGTAAGCTCCGAAGGGGAGTCGATGAAGAGCGGGAGCGGGAAGGACGCCGTTTATAGGCGACCTGAGGTTCGTCACGTTGGCTGGACGAGTGATGTCGAATTGGACGAGGTTAATGACAGCAGCGAAGGCAACAGCCGCAATGCGTTTGGTGAAGAGGACGAGGACGAAGAGGACATCTATGACACCTTTACCCGCCAGCTGTCTCGTCGGAATGTTCGTGCTGATATTAAGGAACACGGATATGCGAGGGATGAGGACGAGGAGGGAGTAGAGAAAGAAGAGGAAGAGGGCCTCCGTACTCGCCACTTCTTTGCAAATGATGACGAGGAGGGGGAGGAGGGCGAAGGTAGAGATGAAGATATTGAGTATCTTCCTGACTTCCGCGATTCAGCTTATGAGGAGCTGGAACAGGATGGGCACTACAACGGCTACGACGACGAGAACATGTCTCGATCTTCTTTACCACCCGTACAAAATTCCAAAGGTAAAGGACGAGCCCTCGATGAAGGCCCTGGTGTGGAAGCTCTTCATGGGATATCTCAAAGGATGGAAAAACATCCTGAACTTTACACACCGATGTACATTTTTAGCGCGGGGGCTGCTGTTCGGCGTCGGAGTACAAGCACCGAGGAGGATGACTCTGGAGCTTCGTATGGTACAAGTGAGGAGGAGGTTGACGAGTTAGATGAAGAGGATGTCCAGAAGAGGGAATATTTCTATCGGGGACGAGGACGAGCTCGTTCTGATGAAGGAAGCGACATCTATTTATCTGGTGATGCTAGTTCTCCACCTTGGGAAGTGCTTGGTGGTGAACCTGGAGATGCTGAAGACCAGGATGAAGAGGAAGAGGAGGCGCAAGAGGAACAGGGGGTGGAAGAGGAAGAACAAGGGGAGGATCAGGCAGATCAGGAGGTCGAGGGCGAAGACGAGGATGGGGAAGAGGAAGGTGGGGAGGGATACGAAGGAGACGAAGACGAAGACGAAGACGACGGGTTGGAAGCAAGGACAGTGGAGTCGCCGAAAGCTGAGGAAGCTGAAACCGTTCCAGGTCGCGGCGCCTCAGATCCTATCATAATCGATGACGACGAAGAGCCGATGATCGAGCGAGTACCAGCAGGCAGTCCTATGTATGTGGAGTTGCGTCATACTTCTCAGAATAGTGGAGAAGTCGAGGACTTGTCGCTCTTGCATACTATGGTTGCTGCACAAGAGGACCACCAACCTTTTTCTCCGGCCCAGTCGACTCCCCTTTTTGGGGATTTTACTGATTCCCAACCCATGTCTGAACACGAGGACCATCAATCGCAGGAACACAACAATGATCTCAGTGAGTGCGTCCTGTTGGTCTATGACCCTGCTGATGTGAAGTTTCGAAAGATGGTGAAGGCGGATTTGGACCTAAGACGTTGCAGATGGATGGAGACTGGCCAAACGATTTGCAAGGTTAGTGGATTTTCCCCCTCAGAATCATTATCTTACATCCCCTACTGCCTTTCCCACATCGGTTCATAGGAGCCATTGGGATCTTTCGTCATGAAACGGATTCTCAGCATGTATCACTTCCCGCAGATCTTATTGTGCCATCTCTCCATAGGGTAGCCGACGAGGGTATTCCCGATCCTCTTGCTAACGATGCGACGGAACATCCTGAGGTGCCTCCGAAGCCAGACTCAAACGCGCTGTCACCGGAGATGTCTATGTTTGTCGAAGCCTCTGGTGCCACGACTGATGATGCTATAATAGCAGCCACATCGCCGCGCCCTCAACTCGTGCCTCTAACAGGCGCAATCGCCGCCATAGCGAATGCATCTGGGGACCGCCCGGACTCTCCGGAGGGCACTGTCGCTGGGGCCTCGAAGTCTGCGCTCGTTTTTTCTCCCCTCGTTGACTTCCCAACCCCCCTCTTTGCTGGCGATGTATATGCTTCTGGGCCTGTGCTTCCCCTGGCTTTATCGTAGAGGACTCGGAGCCACTCTCAACATATGATCTATTCCAACAGCATCTGTCGTCCAGTAGTGAGCCTGATAATGAAGAAACTTGCATTCAAAAACAACTCTCGGGCGAAGGAATTCAGTTGGGGGATGTAGTAGACTCGGGTGTTGATGATCATCATGCGGTGGGAGAATCTTTGATTGGGGACATTTACCTCCCTCGATCCCAACTTTCGGATGGAGTCTCGTCTCCTGGAGCTGATGAGCTGAACGAGCAACGCGATTTCGTCCATGGTAGTGCTGTGGTACCCGCACCAGATCTCCATCAACTGGGGAATTTAGGAGGTGAGATCAAAAGAGCAGGCGAACCCCCTTCATTTCTCAACGCAGATCGGTTCCTCTCGCCCGCTGACGTGCTTGTTCCGCCCAATAACCCAGTGCCACTGACATCTCCCCATCTGTACCACGCGGATATCGGATCTGGAGATTCCAATGTTGTAGTTCAGATCAATCAGACCCGTCAACCATCGGCAGCTCCCGCAGCAGATATGGAGACTCATGCTCAATTGGACACGGAAATACCTAATCCTAACGGGAACAAAGACGTATACGCGTCTGACGGCCATCATGATTTAGCCGACACTCCTCCCGCACCACCCACGCTACCTGATCCCTTTATACCTCCAACGCAACTTAGTATACCCGACATCGAAGATACTCACCTTCTCAGGGTCCCAGAACATGATGCACCAGAGGGTTCTGTCGTTGATAGCGTCACTGCTGAGCCTCCGTCAACATGCGGGGAATCGCCAGATACGAAATTTTCGGAGGATATAGGGAGGCGACACGATAATCCACCTGACTCCCATGGTATGAAGACTGAACAACGAGATGGAACGCGTGCCACTAATGAGACCGATGCCACTGCTGTGCACGCTTCGGTTGGAACGTCGGGCGTCCAAGAAATAAAGGGGTTTGGGCATGTGGTACCTGTGCGTCTATCCTCTAAGGGGAATGTCCCAATTGCGGACAAAAATACTTTCGAGGTTGAGGCTGGACCCACGCAGGATGATCTCACTCCTGACGCTGCTGATGACAATATCAAATTATCGCATGCTAACGAAGGGAAATTAACCCTTCTGGTGACCAATGGCGAGACACCAGAGGAGTTGGGGAAGCGTGACTTGAGGTGTTTCATGCAGCTAAAATTGGTTTTCTGAGACTGACAAACGTTTCTGCAGCGGTGAAACCTTGCGTACAAGCGAACTATCCAACAACCGCGCTCGCAGCGGCCTCACATTAATTCCTGAAATTAGCATCCCCATCTTTTCGTCATCCCATCGACCGGACGATGCGGTTTCAGGCATTTCACCTCCACACACCCCTTTAGAAACAGGTTCCACGACACGTCCCGGCAAACGGAAGCGAAGTGCAGCTGCAACTCTGAATAGCCCCGCCTTGAACACACGTTCTAAGACGAAGGATGTTGCTGAAACCTCCAGTCAAGCATCGTTTTCATCACCCCCTGTATCTACTTCCAGCCAAGGGAGCGGAGGTTCGCGACATTACATTTTGGCTCGTCAACTTGGGCACCCGAGGCCCCAGGCATCCATCAGTTCAACTCACAGTTCTTATTCGAAACCACAGTTTCGACCTTACGTTTCCATACCCCCGAAATCATCCTTCCATCATCACAAGAACCCCGCATCCGAACGCGCATTGGAGAGGGGAACACCAGCTTCTCCAACAGCAGACTTACCCCTCACACGCTCTCAGTGTCGTTTCCACAAAGTTTCAGCCTCAGGAACAAGACCAGAATCTTGTGTTTATCTCGTCATTCCAGGGTGCTCTCTCGGCGCTACAACTGTAATGGAAGAAGAGAGTATTGTGGACTGTGGGATAGCGACGAACGAGGACAACGCGAGAAAGATCACTGACCTCTCGAAGATAGAGCCACACTTAATCAGCATCTTCCGGAAACTCGTAGGACCAGACGCGATGAATGAGGGAGTTTGTGGGTACCTTCCTGACCCAGCTGCATTGAAAGCCCCCCTATCGCTTGCTCTACCCACAGAAACAGTTCCGGATCGAGCATCCAATGTTCCACCTTCAATGGCCAAGAGAAAGAACAGATTCTCAGCCCCTGATGTTGAGAGTGGTGAGGAGGAAGACGGCGACTCCACCCTTACTATATCTCCAACCAAACGTCCTGAACGCCGAACTCGTCGACGTAAACCTCGTCGATCCAACCCGCACAGCGACTTGGCTGATTACCAGCCGTCGAGCGACGAAAGTCCCAATGCCGGATACCCCCCGAAGAAGAGGGGTAAACGGGCTCGGTTGCATAATGCTCTATCGTCCCCCCACGCCAGAACAGACACCTCCGAGTCCTCCCCAGTTGATCTTGCTGGTACCGCTCTAGGTCAAGAAGAGACTCATTCAAAGGGGCCTGGATCCGACCCTGACACAAGTCGTGATGATTTCAACGAACCAAAGGCTTCCTCAGCCCCATCTCGTGCGGACACGCAGACATCACACACAATACGTCGCAAACGCAAGCGCCAACCTCGTGATCCGGGATCTCTTGCTTATAGGCCTGGCGAGGACGAGGAGAGCGAGCCGGACAAGGAAGAGCTGATGCCTAAGAGCAAAAGACACCGCCAAAAACCTGCCTTGAGTAAAGCCCAGCCAACCTTTCAGAACGGAGATGCCGATGAGCCGAAGGACAGCCCTCGTGGTGAGGAACCAAGTGAAGAGACACCAAGGGAGGATACGAGACGGCCTCATGATCAACCTAATTCACCCTGGATCCCTTCAAGATCGGCAGAGTATGTGACCAAGCTAAATGCGCGTGTGATTAGTAACCCCGATTGATCCCCCACTGATCACGCCAGCCAAATTTGTCGGCAGCATATTGTAAATCTTGCCCTATTGTCTTTACAATCCAAGCACAAGGATTTCTGGAGTGATGGGATTTGCTTTCTTACACCGACTCTTTGCGATCGCAACAGAATCAAATCGAACCTGAGTACATGATTGTTGCTAAGCAGCCCTTGTCAAACCGAGGCAGCTATGGTACGGCAATGATTTGAAACGGATAATCCTGCCACAACCCCAAGTTCAACTGCCCGCGCCTGGCGAAATCCTGCGAGGGAGTTACCCCCTAATTAACGAGTGATTACCAGTCAGGCATACCCGAGATTCTTCTCGATTCACTCTTTCGAAGCCAAATTCGGATCATGCTAGCCTGAACTTCCCAACAATACGTTGTCAGTCGGGTTTTGGGAACCCTCGGTCTCATATCCGGATTCCAAATTTGAGCTCGCCACCAAGTTAAATGTCACTATAACGAATTGCGAATGGAATTTCCTGTTGCGATTCTCCACAAGAGTGCCGAACCATTTTAATTGTGCTGATTCTATATCACTCATTGGGAACACACGACGCATTTCAAGCCCATACCCGTTGTCGATGCTCAAAGATAAATGCCTACATCAAGGGGTCAGGAAAACGTATAGCCACGGCAAGTCTGCTGTCGGATTGTCGGATGATCGCAATTATAGTTTTTTTTTGCCAGAAACGCCATGCTCTCGATCATACGAAGTGGAGATATGAAACTAATTGTATTCGGGCAGCATAGCTATAATCCCCCGACTGGGGGCAAGATTGCAGTCGGTGTTCGCATCCTGATTGAGTCATAGAACGGGTAGATCATGACTAATCAGCAACGGGGCATAGGAACCTAACTGCAAGATCGAGTCATTGTAATCGCCTGGGATAGCCATCATTGTATTGAACCTGGGGAAATGTACAGTGAATGAAGATTGTGGGAAGCCGATGTTGGGTGATTATAGAAGGATAGATAATGAGCCGTCGGGCAGGTCGTAGTGTTGAAGTTGAGATCAAGACAAATGTTATAATCGGATGAGATAACTACAATATTCAGCCAAGCTACTTCGGGTGACTCGAGACATTCAACTTGATCCTTCGCACCAGAAGACGTCTGACGCCTATTGCTGGGTCTTCCCTTTGATTAGTGTTGCCAAGCACGCGCAAAGTGCAAGGTCTTGCGAAGAAGTGTGGAGTTGGATCAAAAAGCCGAGCCCCTATCAAGGGTATTCCGTCATCGTCATCGACTCATCCACAGGCACAGTTTCGACATGCTGAGAGAATATTTCTCTAAATTCGTCAAACGTGTTCTGGTCCTTGATGGCGAATATCACTTGCTCGAATGACTTTTGGAATCTGGCTCCTTCGCCAACTAGTAGATCTGCCCATATGCTTGCTACCATCTGAACCGAATTTGTGAACACCCCGGTCCCGAAGCTCCCGAGAACAAGATGACGGTCCCCACATTCTTCGAAGAGACGTAATATACGAGCCATCCGTTCTCGCATGGTTTTCTCTATCTCCGCGTCAACTTCCGGCGCATCCCGGAAATGGCGAAGAACCTGAGCACGATTCACGGCAGCGGACGTTATCACCGATGCCTTGCTCGGTGGAACGTAACGCCCTGTATCATCCCGGAGGAATATTACGACGGGTGCATATATCATTGCGTGTGTATTGAATCCGTCGGTTTCCTCATTCAGATGATGAACGTAGAATTCGGTTCCTTCGTTTGACGTGAGCATGCAATGCAGATTTGAGGAGCGAGTGAGGGATTCTTCTTGTGCTTCAGCACCCGAAACGAACCCACCTCCGGGCTGTAACGGATTCCCAAAATTGAGCACGCCAACATTGGGACGATTGAGATAATGGATGGCTTTGAGTGTAGAGCTGAGCACAATGGATACTGTAGCGGGTACGGGAGGATCGGAGGGGTACCGAATGGGACGTGTTGGATCCAGCCACCGACGAATGTCCTTGTCATCGGGAGAGACGTATATCGTGTTCGCTTGGCCGTACTGTTGTGTCTCAACGAAACCATACCTGGTACCGTCAGCAGTGTAGTAATATCCATTCGAAATATCTCGCAGGGTCTCTTCTGCGATTTGCCGCCGACGCTCACGCGCCTCCTCTTCATCTCGCGTGCGTTGGCGACGAGGATGGGGTATATGGAGTGGTTCTCTGTACCGTGGAAGATGGTCGTAGTTGCTCATTACAAAATTACGCGTTCTGTTTGCGGTTGGCCGAGGTGAGCGAGGATAATTGGGTGAAGCACGACGGGGGAAGATCAACTTACTGAACGAGCGGTGTACAAAAGATATCGATTCAGATCGGCGACAGAGGGGCGAATGAGCGTGTTTTGTGGAGTCAGGCTTGTACAATAGTGGCCCTTAATATGCACGATTTGCAAAATCCAAGTGTTTGTTGACAAGGCACGGGTCGCAGGTCGCCGATGGCAAGTGAATGAAGCTTCCGTGTTTTCCAGCGACACCCATTCTAGGAAACCAGATGACAGCATGCCTTCCACCCTCTGGTTTCTGCGGGTGGGATACAGGCCATTCATCGCGAGCAACCATTTTCAGGGACCTCTAAGTCCGCTACTGTGGAGATACGGCCAACCAATCACCATCACGACATGCATGAACCACTCTATGCGCGCGCCAAAAATTTCGGTCTCGAAATCCTCCAAAAAAACAGCAATTTCAAGCAGCGATGGCGGATATGTTATCTATGAGAAGGATCCTCGGTGGTATATGAAAGTGATATGGCTTGGTGTCTTGATGAACGTTGGCATCGTGTGAGCGGCGCTTAAAAACCTTCCTACTCATTGACCCAGTCTGTGCTCGCAAACCTTTAGTTTGAATTTTGATGAGATGGTGTTGAGGCACTGGACAGAGGAGGCTCCAAGGTAGGGCCGAGACATATGTGTCCATAATGGTTTTTCTGGACCAAACGTGCTACAGCCAAGCTACCGGGCATAACGACAACGAACCAACACATAAATTACGACCCTTATGGCAGCGGACTGGCGCAGCTATCTTGGCAACAAGCTTTGGCGCCATGGTAATTGGTGGATTGTTGGTCGTAAAATATAGAACCGTCCGCCGTCTCACGCTTCATCCTGACAAAAGACGTATCCTCGTTCAATCCGCTAGCCGCTTCAAAAACAGTGGGAAGTTTGTAAACAAAGAAGATTGCTCACTGGAACCTGGGAGAGGTGCGTACTACGATATACGCGCAACCGATGTATTCCTCACTTTACCGTGCAGGGGCTTCGGAGCTATTTCTCAGAGTGAGAGGCATGCGAGGCGTCCATTTCATTGACTTGGATGGCGCCAAAATCAACGACGTCCAGGAAAGTGCATGGAATAACCGAAGAAAGCTATTGGATTTATGGCATACCCTTCGTTTCACTGAAGATCGTCGAAAAGGTTATGCGTTTCATCGACCATAATAATGTTTATAAATGTAATTTATCCCGCCAAGACCAGCCCATATGGTCTATCGAAACCTCCTAAGGCGACCAAGGGTGATGCCACCACTGCATTCCGCGAGTTTGATGACTTCGCCGAGCCCGTAATCTATCCGTGCTGCTATCTGTGAAGCTTTCTGAGATGGCAGCTTGGCACCCTTTTGGGTCACAATAATCGCTCGCTCAGGGGGCTTCTTGGAGTCCCACTTCGGTAAATTTCGAGGATACAAACTGCGTAAATGGCCTTGGACTATCCATGACATATTGCGAATGGCTTTGTGGGCTAGGCACTTTGACACCGCCGAAGAGTACAACAGCTCTAAGGTTTCGTCGGCTGACAGAAACAAAAAAAATAAATTGAAGCCCTCGTAAAGACGTACCGAGCAGTCAACATACTCATGTGTGTCCAATGATCTTTCCACTCTCGCGATGGCGAGTGAGCCAATTTCATAACTACATCTTCAAAAATCGGTCTGTACAAAAACCTCAGGTTCCGTGTAGCGGTAGGCTGATTAAGAACGCTTGCTGATATCGCTCGCAAGGTAAGTCGGTATAGTGAGCGCAGACGAGTGGGATCTAGCTGGCTCATGAAGATCGAAGCCCAATGATGTAAGCAGAAATGCACGTGCTTTACGAGTCACTCGAAGTATGAATGATTCTGAAATGACTCAGCTCTCATCGAAATGTCATATCCATGCAACTCCGAAACTCCGATTCTACCTTGGGCTAATTCCTAGCCTCCTCCGACCCCCATGTCTCCTCTGTTGAGTCTGAAGCACTCCTCCTGTCTCCAACCTCAGTAACAACCTGACCTTGACTCCGGACTCCGCCACCCCTCCTTTGTGTCTGACCCCTTCCCTACCTTCAACCCATACCCTTGCGCATCACCCCTCCTGGAATAACAGCTGATGACGAAAAGAACTTCTCTTTTCGTCTTCCTTACTTTCCCCTGATAGACAAGAATGAAGAAAACGAGATCCATCTGGAACAATGCTTTGGTGTCCAAGATGGTTTCTCTAATGAACCAAAGCGGCGACGAGATGAGCATAATATTACTGCAGCAAAAGAAGTGTGAACATGCTGTGGTACTAAGAATGGTACATTATTTGTTCAAAAGCTGATGGCTATGTACATATATGGGTAAAGGTACGTGGTACTCATGGTCCGACAGCGGTTTAAGTAGTGAACAACCCTCCTTAGGATCCACTGCACATTATGCTAAGCAACAAAAGGTTTTCCCCCCGCTGGGTGCTTCCTGTAACTGTTCATCTACGTGGTCCGGAAACCACTGCTGCCGGTCCTGACGGCTCTATTTTCACTCTACGTGTCATTATAACGGTAAACCACTAAACTCATCTCAGTCTTAGATAGCGCCTCAGATGAAATCCTTCAAAAATCGAGGGTGGACCATCCCTTCTTCACTCCCGCTGCCGATAACTTCTGACGATGACAGAAAAGAAAGAGGAAATGTCGGAAATTGATTGCGTGAATGTAGATAGGGTCACTCTGAACAACAAACGGCCGAAGGCCGATCAACTAGTTATATTATATATCTGATTAGAAGGGCCGGGCAGGAAGGTTTATGTAAGCCCACAACTTCATGTGTCACAGTACCTGTCTACTCACCCTATACATGTGGACCACTATCAATGCCCGGCTATTCTTCACCCTGTCTCGGTCGAACTTCACCTTGTGCAACCATTTACTTCGGTGGGGCGACAGTTCCTGTGGCAGGTCAACAATCATTGTTTCCGTTGTTGCTGCATGACTACGATCAAGGCGCAGCAAACTCCATTCACGTCGCCACACGCGATTCCCTGCAACTGCACCTGCACCGGTCAGTAAGCTCCGCGCTGCAATGCTTCTCAGCTACCTCGGGAAAACGGACACATTTTGAGACTGTGACCATTTATCCGAACGACACAGCAGGTCATGTCAGGTAGGAAACCACACTTTCCCGCACCCGACAATGAGAAGCTTCCATTACATAATGTTAATTAGAGATGGCCAAGAGTATCAATTTTTGGCGCCCATTGAACTATCGCTGCAAGTCGGGCCATGGACTTCAGCGGTCAAGACTACGTTCGCCGCAGCCCGAGGGGCTGATTTCATGAGCAGACGGAGTTCTACGAAACCCCTGACGGGGGAGAATTCGGGACGGGTTCTTCTCTTGGCAGTCACCTGTTCCGTGCACTGTGCCCCCTTCGCTAAACTCAACGGAATCACTGCGGACTCCAGGCACACTTTTGATTTCCGTTCTCCATGCATGGCGGAGGTTTTTCGGCGTACCCTGCATCCAGTCCACTACATGGCTGGCATCCCATGGGGCCTTGCTGCGGACGGCATTACGCTCAGCTGGCGCCTCAGCTGGTGCAGAATGGTTGACCCGGTCTCAGATATAAGTGCGTGTTCCTTGAGCCAGAATTCCAACACAGCAGGTACAGATCGGACTGTTGATCGTCTAACATGAAGCTCCTCACCATCTTTGCCCTTGCAATCACCTCTGCACTTGCTCACGACACTAGAGCATTGTCCGCTGAGCAACTGAAACGTCGAAAGGTGTGTTTAATATGAGGATTTCTTCTCCATTCCCTAATGGTGTTCGCAGCTTGAAGTGGAAGCACGCAATCTCGCAGCCAGGAAATGCGCCCCTGCTGTGCGCGCATTTGAGAATCAGCGCCGCCACATTCGCCGTGACCTGAAGCATTTCTCTTTGGACCTCCGTGGAGGTCATTTTGGTGCTCAGCAGGAAAAAGAGATCAAGAATGTAGATCTTTTCCAGCGCATGTGAGAATAACACACTGACAAAATCCATAGAAAACTTGTGTTATGACTCCTGAAGTAACAGAAGGCCCCTACTTTGTGAAGAATGTCTGTGTTTGTTCGCTACCTGCTGGTTTCCAGGCTAAAGCAATTCACGGATCGGTAGGAACTTGTTCGTCAAAACGTACGCGAGAATCAGCGAGGCGTTCCCCTTACGCTCGACATTGGAGTGATAGACATCACTTCCTGCAAGCCACTACCTAACGCTTTTGTAGAAATCTGGCATGCCAATGCTACAGGTGCGCCAAAATTGCTTTTCATCCGTCCTCCCCACCTGACCCTTGTGACCAGGCTTCTATTCTGGCTTTACTGCGGAGTCGACGGGTGGCAGCGGAAATACTGGGGCGCCTCCAAGCAACAGCACTGGTTCTGGTGGTGGGAACCCTGCTAATACAGCCATGAGCGATGAGCTTAGCTTCCTAAGGGGCGGCTGGCCTACTAACAAGAATGGCGTTGTGGAGATGTCTACCGTATATCCTGGCTTCTACACGGGTCGAACTACCCATATTCACGTAAGTGGCACTGGTTGATACACCGGATTATGAATTCACTGCTGACATTTTGCATTCCAGACTGCAGTCCAGACAAATTGGACCAAGGCGGCAAACGGGTATGCTTCCCGCAATCGTGCCGGGGGACCCTTCTTGATCCTTAAATTTTAGAACGATCGAGTCAACGGAAGGAAACCTTCTTCACATCGGCCAGGTCTTCTTCGATGAATCCCTCAACGACAAAGTCTTTGCCTCTATTCCCTATGTCAATACCACTCAGTCTCACACCACCTATAACGCGGACGACTCTATCCTTGCAGAGGAGAACACGGGCGGATACAATGCGTTCGCTGACGCATACCAATTGGGCAAGAACCTCCAAGACGGAGTTATCGCATATATCAGTGGGTCGTTGCGTTGATAGTATTGAGTATTCACTCATCCACTTCGCAGCTATCGGCGTCGATTCAACCGCAAGATATTCTTTCTCCACAACTAACTACTGGACGCCCTGAGGGCAGAGTAGCGATGTTGTAGAAAGGTCGCACATAATACACTCACCATGGACCTCCAAGGGCGTGATGCTAGTAGCCGTGATCTACATACGCGAATTTCATTTCATTGCCTTCAATTATATATAAAGACTTTCATCCTACGCTAAAACAGCTGGGTCTATAGATAGATAGTTGGGCCATTTGTTTTGGTCGCCTTGATAACATCTTAATCATAATCCTTTGCGACTGCATGCGCATTCAGCGATACGGATGTATTTGGAGGATCCTGCCAATGTCATTCCGGTGTTCTGTCCGTTCATATCCTATTGAACAATGCGGGGATGCGTTAGTGCTCCACGACAAGCATGAGGTGGCGTAGCAACTCTTGAGCATTGCATCATTAATCCGGTATTTGCATACTGTCAGCCCTTTGACAAGCTACAGCTAACCATTCATCCGTTCAGGTCCCCCGCCCTAATAAAAATTCATGTCTTAGGGGTGCGCCATCCAACGTCCTGACTTCCGGGCCCTAAACAGCCATGCATGTACCTACCTTGGAACGACGTCCTGACGACCCCCCCAAGGTTGACCGCCTGATTACTCTTGGTAGGAAGAGTCGGTACAAATAATGGTAAAGACATACTTACTTCGAGGTCGCTTCTCCGACACACGCTCTCATATCAAAGATTGGTTGCCGTGTTGCTTGATTTCACAGACGACTGTTGCTGCATGACTGTGCACATTGAGACTAGATTGGAATTGTATTCTGTATACAGTTATAGTGACTGGACCTCAGATCCGCCTGTGCCACAACAACTGTAAGTGGTTGAGGTGTCACTGTGTAGATGGTAAACCGGCAAGTCCCAGGGAGAACGCAGAGCAAAGCAGTGATGAATGCTTTGAGTGAATGCCTAACTTCAATAACACCCCGGTCCCATTTAGCCCTCATTGGGCACTGGAAAAGCCTCTTTCACGTCGTTACAGCAGGCATGAGGGGAAAGGGCGTGAGGGAGCCTCACTCTTCACCACTCTATTAAATAGTAATGTTTTTCTCTACAGAGGCACTTGCACTTCTTTCGCTCGTGGACATAAGGCCATCTTTAAGAGAGCTTTAGGGACTCACTCGGCTAGGCAGGCTGCATGCACTGGAAAAGGCGTCAACAGTGTCTCTAGCGCCTCTGACTTGTCCGACTGCACCTCCGTCGTGATTGAAGCTTTCACTGTACCATCGGGGAGTAAGTAAACTTACGCAGCCTATGGATATAATCTCATGGTCCCCGCAAGAAACTATAACTATTAAAGTAGACACTCTCAACCTTCCTGGCCTCTCACTTGGTGCTGAATCAGCTTTCGCTGCCTAGGCAGCGCCGGGCGCGGTCATCTCACAGAATGGTGATATCACATTCGCTAGACGACAGGCTAGTCGCGGTATTTACAATCCGAAGTACCTTGAGGCAGTGGAAACTGTTGGGGATCAACGTGTATCTACGGGGCCTTGACGCGACCACCAACAAACGGTTGCTGTTATATGTATTCTATTTTGTTGCCCCGCGGCCGCGTTTGTAGTGGCGGTGCGGCTTTCCCGACGGATTACATCATGAGGGGTTCATCAGCACTGTCTCGTTGGTAGGATTGGGGGTAATGTTTGTGCCGACAATTTTGGTCTACTCTCATCTGGTTCGACTCCGGCTCAATGCTGGCACAACTCTACGATGTTCTGTAGGAACCACGTTGAGCATAGGGACTTTTGTACTGTGATATCTTGTACAGTAATCCATGGGGGAATTTAAACCCCAATCGAATCCAACCATCGCTGTATCTCGACAAAAGCGCCTTGTCCGTCTACGCTGTTTACTGAAACGAAGTCCACCGCGGGTGCCTCATTCCGAAGTAGCCTATTTTCCTTTCTTTGGGCCTCCTCTCTTTCAGGACTATCGAGGATTAAGATCGGAAATCTTGGCTCATAATTGAATTCTTGTAGGTTCGGTAGCAAAGCCTTGGCTTCTGCACATGAGGTGGAAGGTGTAGGTGCAATCAGAACTAAGGCTGAGGCGGGATGGGAGGAGATATATGTCTGAGCGATAAGAGCTCCGGCGGAGCGAGCGAATCTATGATCCCCGTAAGAATGGAGTGGGACGTGAACCAGATGAACACAAACATTACTGGACGGAATGGGATGGCGGCTAATCGAATCTGGCTCGAAAGCTCTTTGGAGGTTGGGGTTGACAGTCTGACAGATTCCTTTGGCGCTATGACCACTCACCTGACTCAAAGTAGGTCAGCAAACTCCGGGGCTGGGATGCCAGTGGCGAAGGCATGTCAATGTCTATTTCCATGGTGTTATAACCAATCGAGGGGAACTGAGCTGCGAGTGTCTGCATTCTGAGACCAACTCCGTGTCTCTCATGGGCCATGCATGCGCATGTCAAACTGGCACTCACCCTTCGGCAGACTCCCTCTGCCATATCTTTGAGCTTAAAGTAGAACAGTGAGGCACTACAGCGACAGGTACGATAAAGGGGGATCGACTGTCACCTCAGAAAGACGAGAGGTGTCGCAAACTCCGGAGCTGAAGGTTGAGGGTGACGCAGAACCACTGTTGAATACGACTGCCAATCCTCCTTGGGAACCTTAACCGGGGCATTACAAGGGGAGGAAGCCCGCCGGGGTACCCTTCGTAAAAGTCTTCTGAGCTGCATAGAAGCAAACGCTTCAATTGATTTCCGTGACCGCGAGAGAAGCAAATATCAAGATCACCAAATAAGGACTAGTTTATAAACAGATAAATAATTATCATAATTTATCTAACTCTTCCCCGTCCTCCCCATTTTCCTCTTTCAATCTCCGTTTTTCCATCATGTCCAAATGCTTGATCTCTGAAAGCTCCCGCGTTGCTTGTGCCAGCAGAAACTCCGCGCTTTTTGCTCGATGCGAAAGATTGTCCTGAGGCAAGTAGCCTGCCATGTCTCCAACAAAATCGTTGATTCCCAGCGACATGGGCCCTAGCCCATCCGGAACCTTCTTCAACAGAGCGTAAATGTCAAGGCACTCTCCAGGAGGAATCGGGTTAGGGTTGGATGGTGTGATGCAAGTCATATCAACTTCTTTCCGAAGGATGTGGTCAACGTCAACGGCGGAAAAAAATGCCACTCCTTGGGGCAAATTGTCGAAACCGAGGCGGTAGGCGAATTGACTCCGAGTCCACAGATTTGCGATCTGTAATGCAAGAGCGGCGCGGTATTTGTCTTCTTCACGAACTAGGTAGCGGAGCTCGTCATGGACAGAGATCATGTAACGCGCTCTGATGTTATATCTCGTACAGAGGTACTCCATGGACACTATGAGCAGATGAAGGTAGTCCACACCAGATGATTGTACCACCCAGTTGATTCTTGATGTCATGAAATCGGTACCAAATCCTACGGGAAGGTTTTCTTTCAAAAGGGCCTCAGTTACTCTGCATCCCAGCGCAGGAGTCACCGGTCTATTTGAAAGTGCAACTTCCTCGAGTTTATTGAACACGAAGCTCTCAGTGCCTCCATACCAAAACTTCCGGTTGAACAGGCTTGTTCCGTGAGTGGAACGACCTTTTGTAGATGCGTACAAATCCTTGGCGAGTTGGCGTGCTTTATCTGGATGCATGTTAGGGTTCGCCTGGATCAAGAGTAATTCGGCATGTCGTATCCCCGCCCCATATATTCTAGAATAATTGAAAACTTTGGCTTGGTCGCGGGATGTACCCAGGATTTTTGCCGTCTTCGAATGTAAGTCAGTCCCATTGGATTTCGTGCCTTCCAGCGTCATCCAACCTAGTGCACTGGCACCGTGAAGGCCAAACTGTGCATCCCCCAGAAGACTTGATATCCACAACTCCTCTGAGTCGACGTCAGCTCCAACAATGGCATACCCAGGAGGCGCTCTGACCATGGCCTTCAATTCTGAACCTACGCGGTTCTTTTTGGCGTTGGAGGCTGTTAGCCAAGTACGTTCAATGGCTCGACGAGTAACAGTACCCATCGTAATTACTTGAGGAAGGATGAAACCCCAACCATCTTCCCTTGGCGCATCAATGCCGATGCTGACGCCGCCATCACCGTCACGAACAACCATCTGACTTATGATTCGATCACGGGCACTAATCCAGTAGCTGCAGTCGGCGTTGAGTTGCAAAGCCTTCTTTGCAGTCTCGCTCGGACTTGATAACGTGCCTTTGTTCAGATAAGGGACGAAGGTTTTGGTCAAAGGGTTCCCCACGTTAGCCTTCTCGCCATCCTTATGAGGGAGCTTGTAGAAAGAGTACCCCCCATCTGTATCCGCTAGCAGAGCCTGATCTTCGGGGCTAGAGAAGCTCAAAGGAGACGTACGCGTTTGAAATGTATTTGTGCCATTGCTATCGACTCGAAAAGTCCAGCCATGCTCCTTCGAGATGAAGAGCGGCCAGCCCATCCAGCTTAGCCTGAGTAGAAGGGCAGCTGTCGTCTTTCGTGGGGTCAGATCCAAAACGCCGTTCTCTTTCCCCGGTTTGGGTGAGGCTAAGTCGATGTACCATGATGGCCATCTGAGCTCTTTCCCATCTGCATCTTTCACATAGCGGCCTGCCGAACGTTGTTTCGCCGCCCTGATGCCCTCTGGAGGCTCCTTGAGATACACAGGGTCCCAGTCAAGCGGGCGATATCTGGGATGCATTCGGCTCATTTCTACTTTCTCGTTATTGAGTGTAAGCTCCTTCCCAGCTCGATGGCTCAGAAGCCGTTGGGCCATCCTGATGATATCTCCGCGAAGTTTCTCGTCCATTTCACCCTTGCAGATTCTTGTCAGCGCTTTGCGAGTCATCCTGGGGTTTGAACATGACAAGTGGGTCAAGAGCTCCTCGTTAAAGATATTGCGCTTCGCCGAGGGGACTTTTGCCCAGCGGAAGACTGATGGATCAAAGACAGCCACACCGTCATCGTGCGCATTTCGTAAGTCGAGTAACACTTCCACTAGTTCAGAATGTTGCACATTCCCGTCTGCCTCAGGAAGCTGGCAGACCCAACCATTTTGCGGTGAGTGATAAAGAGGACAGTTCTTGAACTCTAGTGCAAGAATATATGCTATGGCTTCGCTGTTTCTCTCCAAGAAACTGGGCGTCGGAGTGGAAATCATCTGGAGGTACCAAAGTGGAACCGCGAATTGCCCATCATGGCGCCAGCCATACATGTAAGAATCTGAGTCGCGTCGTGCCATCTGAGCCGGCTCCTGCATGGACTTGAACATCTCTGCCGATACGCGGCTCCATGTGACGGGTTTCATTGTCCAATCCAACTGCCTCAACCAGGGGTCATTCACCCATTCTCCGGTTTTGTGGAGCTCTCGTGCCTCACGAGCGAGGTCACATAAAGCTTCGAAGACAGCAGCCTGGCTGTTGCGGTACGTCCCCTCTGCACTCTTAATGTATTCATCCCACGCCTTGTTGACGGGAAGTATACTGCTTCCCATCACAGTTATGCCGGCGAACGTGACGGGGTGAGGGCACGAACTAAGGAAAATGGGATAAACTTTCTGATACACAGCGTGTGTGGTGCTTACGTCGAAAGCACAATAATTGAGATATGAATCGAGGTCGCTTCTGATCATTTCGGGAGAGGACTTCATGAAATCGTTGCGGATATCTTTTTCCATTTCAACACCGCAATACAATCTTGCCACCTCCGCGAGGGAGTTGACGGATGTGAGATCTTCCCATCGGGGACCATCCGCCACATCTGAGGCTCCTTGAGATCCTTCGTCTATATCGGAGAGACTCTCGAGAAGAGCATCCCTTTCCTTAAAGAGTTTCTCTCTTGCGTCCTTATCCTTGGTATTCTTCAGCCGCGATTCGTACTTGCTGATGATTCTCTGAAGGGCATCCAGGGTCTCAGTCTTCATTTTGCTGTCTTCCTCCTTGTCTCTCCGCCTCGACATCCACGAAGGGCGTTGGTGAGACGTAATGCCCTTGGCGGCCACATGTAATGACATTGTATCTAAAAACCGTGTCCTGTTGCGTTCGAGATGGTATTCGTCCGCAATACGCGCTCGATCATAGGCAACGTTGTGACCGACTACGATTCGATGCTGCTTTGGATTTCCAAGTGGCACGAGATGTGCGGGACTTCCATCCTGACCTAAGAGCCAAGGAGAAAGCCAAGAATACCAGGCTGTCGGACTAGCTGCGCAAGCCATCACAGGGAAATGGTGGTGACGCGGCATGGTTTCCACGTCAAAACATAACATCGATTCATCCGACAAGTCCTGGAGATGCTCGTAGGACCCATCGTTGTTGTATCTTGTCCAACCTGGTTCATGAACCCAGTTCTCCGGAGGAGAAGGGATGGAAAGCGATGCGAACTCCTTAGCGAGAGATACGGCGGGTTCAGATACAAACTTTCCCAACCGGTGGAAATGGTGGTCGATGTGTTCGCCTTGCAGTGGAGGCAACTCTATCGATGCGTCTCTAGATGTGGACCCTTGCGAAGTGTCCAAACCATGCATAGCCAGGTGGTCGCGAGAAATTTGGACGTAGGCGGGGTCTGGGGGCGGAAAAGAGACGTTTTGAAAGATTTGGGAATGCAACCCATTAGAAAGAAGCTGCACCCCAACTTCGTTGCGGGGAACTAAGTAAACAGCTGTGTCAGAATGGGCCATGTGAAGAAGAAAATGAGCGACCTAAACCAGACGCTTGAAATAGAAGAATTCAGAAGCTGTGGAGCGGATGAAAGTATTATGCCCACTTGCAGCATTTGTCGTTTTGGCAACACATGAGTCAGCGAGTTGCAGTTTAGAAGTCCTATCAGCAAGTGCATTTGAATATGCGTGTCGCTTGCACACATCGTAAAACGAGCGCGGGGATGCTGCAGCGCAAGATAATTGCAGTCCTAATCGGTGCATCGGCGCTTGGCAAGCACCCAGGAGTTTGACGCACTGCCAATCCAAACTGGGACTCCGCGGGAGTCAAGTGATCAGAAGTTCTTGCCCGTATTGGCAACTCTAAACCTCACCAATCGTCATCGCTGGACTTCTCTCGTGTTCCAGGGATCTTGCACTCCTTAGCATCTAGGAAGGGCCATTGAAGCCATTATAAAGTGCTGGCGGCGAGTAGGATGGATATCAACACTGATTTACCACCCCCCTCATTTCCTCAGGGACCACGGCCCAATGAGCAACCAAACCCGATGTTCTTGTCTCCCGAGGACCCTAGTGTTTCGTTTGATGCCAGCATGCCTCGCCGCGATTCTGTAGCCTCTAGCAGGCCCGTATGGAGAACAAACTTTGCTCGCTATAAGAGCTTGGGTGAATCTGACCTTTCGGAATCCCTGATATTGGAGCGAGCTTCTATCCCCAATGCGTTTTCTGCCCCTGCACAGATTGATTCGACGCCATTACCCAAGATACCCATGATAGTATTGTCGATTGTGAGCCGATGGCTTTCCTGAGACCCAGCAGTGGATGACACTTGGCACCGACAGGTTGTCTTGGGAGAATTTTTGAGCGCGAACGTGTCTACTCCTTTCCTGGTCGATATGGTAAAAAGTAAGCCATTCTGCCACTAATCTCTGGGAATATAATATTCATGCTTTTATTGCTACAGCATTCAACCTTGGAGACACAGCTGAATTAGGTTCCTTCACTGGAATCATTGTTGCGGCATTTTTCGTAACACAATTCGTAACGTCGTTGCTGTGGGCTACTATTGCCCAAAAACATGGGAATCGCGCTGTCCTTTTTATTTCACTTCTTGGGAATGCTATAACATGTGCTCTTTTTGGGACGTGCAAGTCTTTCCCAGAGGCCGTCGTGGTAAGATTGATTCAAGGCGTCTTCAACGGCGCTGTTGGGTGTGTCATCCCAGTTTCTCTGGTCCTGCTGGGCATTGATATTCAGAATGACTTTGAAATCAGAGTCGCTCGCAGTTGCGTCGTCAATGTTGCCGACTTCACAAATGAGTCTCGTGCATATGCGATTATGGGGTACGTGTCCATCCACGAATATAAATACAAGTATCTGATAGCGTCTACTACATTCCGGTGTTGCTGCACGGAGAGCAGATTTAGCTGGGGTTTGGGTGGTGTTGGTGAGCACACTGATTTTTAATCGAGCCATTGCCAGTTCACTGATATTGCTCCTAAAGCTGGTGCAATGTTAGCTGCGCTCTTCCTACCTCGTTGTCGTCAATGACTTACCTTCCTGTTGATACATAGCATCGGTGGCGCGTGTACGTGTCTTGTGCGTTGAACGAAATGCACACACTAACCGATATTTAGTTGAATCACCTTCAAAGACGTGGCCCACCTCTTTCGGGCGCATCCCGTTGTTTCAAAAATACCCTTATCTCCTTCCTCCACTGATTGCCTCATCGGTGTTGTTGACTGGAGCCATTCTTTGTCTCTTTCTTGGTTGGGACGGTGGGCCGCGTGAGGGTGGCATTCGGCTGCCGGAGAAAGACACCGACAATGCAACACCCGCGCAGATTGACCTTGGTCGGCAATCGCTCATCGAAGAGGGTCGCGCTGTCCCTAAACCGGTGGAACAACTGAAGAGTGTTAAGCGGAAGATATCGAGTTATTTCGCAAATCGAGTCAAAGAAGCGTATGCTAATCGAAGTGAATCGCCTAGGAGAGATTCGTTGGTGCCGGGAGCAGGCCCATCTTCTCCTGCTTCTCCCATGGCTATCCGCTCAGCCAGATTGTCTCGTACAGCTGGATCGGCATATGGTCACCGGAGTCGACTGAGCAGTCGTCCAACATTCTCCAGCATTGCGGGAAATGAGGCTCGACGAGGTAGCCTTGCAAGTACTGCAATGAATCGCACCATCTTCACTGAAACTGATGCGCCCCGCGAGGATCTCAACTTTGCGCAGAGGCTAATCATGGGTTAGTTCAGATCAATCCTTCTGAGTGTCTGCATTGATTTCCGGCCATTTTCATAGCCAATGAATTGAATGCCACGTCGATGACCAGTTTATGGGTCGCTGCTGCTGCAACTGCGGACAATGAGGATCCATTCATTGGCTCTGACGACGAGATGTCAGATGCTGGGACAGAAGATTCGGATGGAGCAGCATCGAACTTCCCTAGTCGATTCAGCACCATAGAGTCAGCTTCACAGTATCGCTGGACGCCCCATGGTCCTACAGGATCCCCTTTGGGACCCAGGCGAAGTATCACTCAAGGTCTCACATCACCATACCCTGGTTCCCGAAGGACTTCCTACAGTCGTGGAGGAATTGTAGGCGGCGGGAGAACCTCGTTTGGTAGCTCACCGCCACATGGAGCAGACCGACAAATGGCAACAGCTCCCCATCTGGTTATGCCAGCTATATACTCCAATACTGGCCTCAGGACCCCTCCTGCACTTCTGGAATTCACCGAGCACACGTATCCAGCTATTGGAGACCCTTTCAATGAGAGTCTGACTCCAATCACGGAAAGATCTGCGTCGGAATCCAGTCAGCGATCGAATCAGTCAGCACCCGACATTCAGTCAAACCGCGATGTTCAGTCAACACACGATGTTCAATCGACAGTCGAAAAATCAGAAAACCTGTGGTCGCTCCTGCCTCTGTTCATTATTTTCCAATACTTCGTCCTCGCCATCCATACCACTAGCCATGATCAGGTTTTCCTGATGTATCTTACTTCGTATGTGTCTTCACTAATCCATGTTGGTCATTGCCTCAGTAGCTTGTTATAGGGATTACGCCAAAGGAGGACTTGGGCTAAGTCCTGGACATTTTGCAATTCTCAGTAAGTAAGCCTCGTTTCCAGCACCACGCCTTATTAAACATTGGCTCCCAGTCGGCCTTATGTGCGGCGCACAAATCATTTATCAGTTCTATTTGTATCCGTAAGCACATCGCCTGGTGGGCTTTTATAATTTAGTTGAAATATTTCCTTTTAGAAACATTGGGTGAGTGATTGGCAATGTTCATCGTCTCTGATCGATGACGACTTCGTCCCAAGCCCTCCTAGGGGAAAGGTAAGATCAGGAACCGTGGTGGCGAATATTTGACCTCATTTAACTCCTCGTAGTACTCTCATCTTGCGATGTTCAGGATCGGAACCGCTCTCTTTATACCCGGGTACCTCACTGTCGTTCTTTACCGCCGGCTAACCAACGGCAGTTCTGACGGTAATAACTTGATCATGATTTTATTGTTGATAAGCACGTACGTACTCACTGGTGCCTAGCCATCTTCGAAGTGCTACTGACGCTTTCGTTGAAGTGCTGTCCGCTATGCTGGCTCAACTTTTGCATTTACGTCCGCAGCCGTACTTCTGAATTATTGTGCGTCTTCCCGAAGCAATCTGCGTTGCTCAATGTTTTAAGAATCACCGTAGTATCTGCCCCAAGCGTCATCGGGTTTGCGAACGGCTTAGGTGAGATTCAGGAGATATCCCCCCTCTAGGAGTTCAGATTTAACGAGTTATAGCACAATCTCTTGCTTCTTTGGCCAGAGTGTTGGGACCGGTAAGATTCATTTCACATTCTCATATCATGTTGACCTGAACGGCATCTTTAGCTACTAGGAGGATGGGTAGGTGTTTTGATACTGCATGGAAATGCTGGCGCTTAGCTTCCCATAGGTTTGGTCGGAAAGCACATCGCATGACCCCAACGGCTATGGTTTCGGGTTTTATATGTGCTCAGTCAGTTAGTCCAACACCTTCTGGTCACCTGCGCTAATTCGTCTTCCTAGGCATTGTGTGCCGTTGCAATTTTCCTCAGCTTCTTCATCCGCTAGACCCAAACAGTAATGTGTTCACTGCACGAACACCCTATTTCATCCTGTATTCCATTGAGTTTCGGTGGTTTGTGGTTTGTTGCGTTGTTTGGAACCCAAATGTGCATATTCTTCTCTTCTTGGATGATTGTGGATTGCCCCAAAACTCTTCATTTTTAATGTCTACGATGCTCAAACCCAATATGTCGTTGCTGAGACTAGGTGAGTGTTGGGTGGCGTCGGGAAAGTGAACGGTAGGAAATCCACTTGAAGCAGTCGGGGACTCGGGCCGAAACTCTCTGCGAAACGTTCTGAAAAGTCATGATAGAAGCTAGGTAATGTTGACATAATAGGTCGGGGATATTGGAAATACAAGGAATTTCACTACTCAGATGAAGCAGCCTGATCTGAGGCGAATTTAGCCGAAAATGGGGACAGGGGTCTATACCTTTGCGGTCAAACCCAACCTAAGTCAGGAGCCTCATCATACCCTAGCTGCTGGTATACAAGATCCTCGGTTAGGCGGTAATGATAAGAAGGCAAGGGAGGGTGAGAAGGTATAAGTTCGCTACTCGCAGAAGGTGCGATACGAGAGTGAGGCCAATGGCTAACTGTTGACGGATTGAGCCTCCGGTCAGGAGGATAGAATGTGTGTTGGAACGACTCGGATGCGGGTGATTGGCTGAGGATTCGATGGACGGTGTTCCCTGTGCCGGGCCAAGCGGGATGTTCAGAGGAACTCGGTGGTGGTGGTATGTGCCCTATCAGAGTCTAAGTAAGACGCTCAAGCAAGGTTCCCGAGTCATTACTGACCTCGGTGCAAGGAGAGGCTCGTTGCAGGAGACTCAGGATATGCTATGATTGGGGTGCCACCAGGAACAGGAGCAGCGATATATGTGGGGAACAAAAGAGAAGAGAGGGAGACGGGATGTAAAGGAGAGGGCATTGGGGTTTGGCCGGCAGAATGCGGGACATCCGTGCCAGGTTGATCCGGGGGCGAATTGCCTCTCTCCGTCTTAACTTGACGGGGATCGATGTCCAGCCTCCGGCTTCGGCGATTAAACTCAAGCCCCTCGCATTGTGAACGAGTGTTGGATCGTTTGGGAGGAACGACGATTGGGGATGAGCACTCTGTGTCTGATGTAGAGCGTGAAGAACGCTTGAGACGTAGTTTTCGTCTCCATGCATTTGGAGGGGCCTCTTGAATTGGAGGCTGAGACCCGTCAAGCCAGAAGTTGTACAAAAGAGGGGGCTCGCTATGGGGGGTGGCGGTCTCTGTCTCCTGGCGCTGACCAACACCGCCTTCTGAAAGCTGAAACGTGAAGGGATTGGCACGAAAAGTGTTACACATGGATCTCATGTGCGCACGCTCTGATGCTTCAATGGTTTCCCTCCTTTCCGAGAGCACTGGGCTCGACGGGAGGTCGTCCAGGAATTCATCGAGTAGCGAATGCTCTTCGAGAAATGCTGGACAGTCTAGGTACTCGTCCACTTCGTCCATAGTTTCTGGTGAGGATACAGTATTTTTTCAAGAACGACAGCAAGGTTCGAAGATATACCCGAGTTGACGTGGAAGCATCAGACAGCGGATTGGTGAGCAAGTGTGCGACAGTAGTAATGAATGGTAGCCAGGAATGTCGCTATGAGTCGTAATCAGAAAGGAGACACGCTTTGAATATCAGTAGCTTGGGTGCCGCCATGGGGTTTGGGTTCTTGGGAAGATAAGCTCTAGTAACGCATGAAAAGATTTTGGTGGAATCTTTAGGCGACGAGATACCGACCCCTTTACCGGAACCTGGTACGGCACGAAACCATTCTGATTACCCGAACGGAACCCCTCCTCCAGCGAACCAATCATGCACCATCTTGGCAGTTAAGAGCCTTTTTGTGGCCATCAGAAACATCCCAAACAGGAACAGCCAATGATCACCCAGTGTAACCATGCAAGTGCTACAGAATTTGAGGGAGGCACAGTACCGAGTACCTGAAACGAGTTTTCGAAGCTAACATTTCGATCGCACACACGGGAAGTCACATAAAGTTGTGATGGCAAAGGGTCCTGCTCAGAACGAGAATTCTCAGATAGTTCTCCCTGGCGACAAATTCTGGAGGAAGGCGGCTTTCACTGTATACAGAACGACTCTAAGGACTCTGCAAGCGAACTTGAAGCTGCGACAGTAGATTGCAAGACTTGTTCAAAGGGACTCGCATTGATACATGGATGACAAGCCAATTGGATGCACAGTTCTAAACTGGTTCATTTCACCAACCCTGGCCTCGCTTGAGCAGCCAGCAGAGCGCATGGGTTGTGGCCGAGCCAATGAGGCGAAGCAGTGACATGCCGCAAATGGTCACAGTCACAACCCATCTTCTGAACGAACCACTCAAACACCTCCATTTGGGGGAATAGGCATTGGTGAATGGCGCCCAACAGGGACGAATGGGTTTCAGTCAACCTCTCCAACTTTTACGCTCTGTTAAACTCATGAAATATGGCCCACCAATTTCGACCATCGATCCAAATCAATTTCACGCTGCTTTGCACATTAACATTGTTTCTTGCGGGCCTGACACCACGCCGCAACTTTCTGAGATATTATTTATAAGACTTTCTGCACCCCTGCCATGCTCACCATCAAGTGCGACAAGACCCTTATTATGAACTCCTTTCTCTACACAGACGTCGTCAGCCAACGTTGTGCGGGTGATGAGCTCCTATCTGAAATCGAAGCCGCAATAGACGCCAGTCAAAGACGCACGATATTTCTTTATCGATTATTAGATAAAGTGATACAGGTTGAGTGGCTATCGTTCGACAAATGATTTCCAGCGTGGCTAATGGATGTGTATCAAAGCTACAGTGTAGTATTCGTCATCCCGCCACCAGCCCTATTGATAGCCCTGAATTCTCCGCGAATGCCGATGCAAGCCCTCCGTTGATGTGCTGTTGAATTGATGATTCTAAAGCGTCCACTCTTAGGTATGCAGCACATCGGTACCCCGCACAGAAGTAGATTGGATGGCGGTGAGTAGGGCGATTCATCTCTCGTCACGCCCAATATGGATGATATTATACCGGATCAGGGCTTCGAACCGTCAATAGAGCCCGGAACGACACCCGAAGACCCAGCGCCATGTGAGCGGTACGAAGAGCCTGCAGTCGATTGGGACAATTGGAGTCCTGACTTTGACGATTCCAATTCCGAGTACGAGTACGACAGTATCTGACGATGGGATTCAAATGTCTCCGAAGGTATACACCAGCGCCAGCCATCTGATCACCTGGCTTTTCTCGTTATCAGCGTAACTCCTAGTTTCGTGGCTGCGCTGCCCCAAGAGGAGCCTCCTGGAAGAGGACACCCAGTAGCACTATCGATACCGATTCCTAATATTCTGAGTCTGGCTCTTAGAAACCTGAGTGTCATTCTTGTTACGTTATGAACCTTCAGCGAACTTGTGCAATTACATACATTCCACTCGATCGGGACGATCGTGGTTTTGCAATAACGATTGCAGGTCAGGACTGGTGAGGTAGCGAGTTTGCGCAGATTAATGTCCGCGGGGCCGATGCTCTGCACGGAATTGCAATTTGTTCCTCAACTGGACATAACCGCCGCGGGTGGAAGGATAGCATACATTCTACGACCTGCAGCAATACCTTGATATAGCAGTGATCAAGTCGATTCGCGCCACCCATTGCCGAGATTCCCTTCGCTATTGTAGCAACATACTAACTTCTCGCCCTGACATACTTACTACCGGGCGTCAAGGTTCCCAGATGCACGAACACTAGCTTCAAGTTGAGATGGAATCGTCCTCATTGCAACTGTAGTACTGAGTACTGTACTGGGAATATCCAACTTGTCAAGAGCTGAGGACGAGCTCGTCAGCGTTACCAGTAACTAGAACAACTGAGTTGTATGATCTGATTTAACTGTCAAAGGAACGAAGGGGAATCGATGTGTATGACTGGCGAGCTGTCGTCACTACGATATTCAAGACTGCCGAATGCGACGCTCAACTTAGATAGTCATGAGAAGCTTGTTCGTAGCGAAACGACTAAGATTTGTTCCGCCAATGGAGCCAAAGAGGTTTATGAACATGCTTCATCCGGTTAGACGGGCCAAATGATAGACACAAGTAATGATGCGCACGTACACGCTGGTCGGGGTTACCGTTATTATAACCGCCTAAGTGAATCAGCGTCCAAGCTTAGGGTGGTTCTCTTCCGATAGTCTTCTGCAGTTTTTTTTGGCGTGTAGGAAGATGCATTTTTGGGGTAGGAATTGCGCAAGGAGATCGGCCGAGCTAATGTGGAGGCCATTCCTCAACTTCATCATTGCGCACTTCCAAGGAGCATCATTATCGTATCCATATTTGGCCTCCCAGCATCCCGTTGCATGGGGAAATATACACTCGTGTGCGTTGTATTTGCTCAGATGCGGAGCAATGACGATAGGATCGCATAATCGCATTGAGGCTGCATGAATGAGTTATGAAAACGATTGGCCAACATCTAGCATACACATAGAATCTTGCTCTCCGCATCTCCCAGCCCGCTCGAAACGTGTTCGCTCACGTTAGCGCATTGCAGCGGGCAGTCATAAAGCCCAGCTTCTTGATCGGTTTCTAAAATCAACCCAGAATACCACGAGCGAAGGACCTGGAAGTGCCGCTTCGTTTCTAGCCTATCTATTTGAGGATACGCGGCGACCAACGTGTTCGTGAAGGCGACTAAAGTCCGCAGAACTAAACTTCAGGGGAAAAAAAAATGAGAATGGCCAATGTTGATTTGACAGAAAATCCAGATTTTAATGCTTCGATTTTCAAATTGAGACGCTCCATTGGACTGAGGCATCTGAGTCGAAGCTAGTGATCCTTGATCTGGCAGTCATAAGCCCATAATCAGCCACAACCGAGTGGCTACACTAACAAAACACCACACAAACTCCATGACGCCCTGCTGCAAACGCAGCGGCAGGAACAGTGGTACGTTCAATCCCTGCGAAACTAGACATGGCACGGCAGCATGGCGAGTCATGGGGGTCGTATGTAATGAGTTTTCAGAGAAACAAGGGGTCATTTCATCTTGAACGCCAGTTGCGCTTGAGACATGCACCAAATCAAGAATCTTTGGTATGTGAGCCCCTTATCGTGGTAGTCTTAGGTTCTAGAATTGCGGAGCTGGCACCATAGAATCGCCCACGAGGGTCTGTGGGATAAGTGGAACATCAAAGTCCCTTACCGATTGCGAAGGCCATGTCCACGGACATCAGAGGGATCAATCCGGCTTGCCACATGAATCAGAAAAACGCGTCGATCTTTGGTGTGCCCCCTTCACGAGCGAGGCTTGGGGAATGGGAATGTGGTTATCACCCCAGAAGGGGAGAAGAAGAAGAAAACAGAACTGTGCGAGAAGCAATCACGATCATACATTGATGCCATTCCGGAAACAAGGCGCATTATCTTCTAGTGGTGAAGTCTACATAGCGCCCCGTGACGTCTCAAGACGAGAGCTGAGGGTTGGACACTCACAACGAATGCGGGCCGAATAGCCATTCATTGGCTTTCTCAATCGCATTGGCCTCCCCATTCCCATTCCCCAAAGCTTCAAACTTCTCTAACCCATAAGCTCGTCGGGAGAGCGAGCCTTCATTGATATCTTGAAGACTTCCGCGACCTATAAATCCAATCTCACCTTCTACGCTCGAAAAGTCGTATGGTCGATATCCAGTAATGAACGAAGCCCGCTGGGCTGCAAGGTATTCGGCACTACAGATTACTGTGTTGGGTTTTTTTTGACGCACCCAAGACGAATTTGTAAACCTACTTGTTTACCGTTACGGGGACAGCTGGAATGTACATAACGGACGAATCGCCCTTTCCACGGTGTTGAGACTGTGAAATAACTGGTGACGAGATGATCGGGGAATCTGTTTTGAGAGGTACCAACCTCTACAGCGTGGATAGTGTCGCAATGCCAATACACTTGGTCTCCAGGATCAACCTGTGTGAAATTGATGGGTTTAACCAGTTAACGCACATCCATATACTATCTCTTACGGGAGGGACGGATGTCATTGTTTCCGTTAATTCAAGGTGCGGGTGGGTTTCATCAGACAGTTCTTGGGCTTTGAAGATTGGTCCCAAAGTTAGTTGGTGGGGTCTCTTCATGAAGTTCCTTGCAATGAAGACGTACCACGACCGGGAACACTGCCAGGAAAGGCTGTTGATTCCAAATCGAGTGCCCAGTTCTCTGCGGCAAGATATCCGTTCTTATTTCCACCAAACTCAGATGCGGTACGAATGGGTGAGAAGAAAGCTCGAAGAATCAAATAGGCTGTTGATAGAAGTGTGTTAGGATAGACTTGAAGCGTCCCTTCATTGGCGGACGTTGACGACATCGAGACCCATCCTAAGAACGCCTATTCTGTGTCACGTCAAGTATGGAAGCTTATCCCCCTCACCTTGCCATGGCCGGAAAACATTGCACTAGATTGAGTGAGTCTTGGTGTTACCGAAGAGCCATCGCCAGCGACACGTACCGCACTGGGCCCTGCGTAAATATCCATTTTGGCCTCAATCCTGTGCGTCGCGTCAAATGCGTCATGCGACTTCCAGTTGGGAGAAAGGATTCTCGAGAAGCACTTTCGGTACGCTTCTCGACAATCGTAAACCTTTTAGTCGCCCCATCAGGATAAGTCAACGCACTGTTGTCTTCCCACCTCTCCACAGAGCCACCATCGATATGAGGACCTAATATTACCAAATGGTTTCAATACGCGTTATTCAACTCCATCGTGATACTGAAACAAACCTAAGGCAAATGTCATATCACCGGGAAAGCGGATTCTCAAACGATCGAAGTATGAGATAGGGTTCCCAAGGCTGATCTCCGCGTCCGCGTCCGCTCTCCATTGGGTAAGTAGGAATGCTTGGGTCTTCAATATGGCTGGATGAGTGCGTGCCGAGACTTGGGGACGCGAATGATAGAACTCCCAGACTTGAGGATCATCCTTTGGAAAGCCTAGACAATACAATAGCACGTTATTATCGTTGGTTGTCCAGGACATGAAAACAATCATACCTCGAGCTCGATCACGATTATCGGCAGCGTACCGTTTGATGGACTCTTTCCAACCTAGCGCTTGCTGTACGGGCAGAGCGAATTGAGTGTCGGCGACTCCCCAGAGTACTGCTGGGATGTACCTCTTTTGTCACTGCCCCTTTCACTATGACAGTTCCGACGCTGCGAACTTGTTCCAAGATGTCAGGATCGATTCTCCCATTCTCGATATCACTAAACAGTAGCCGGGGGATGATCTTAATCCACGCAAGGGAATTGAATTTTTTGAGTCTAACAGCTTCAGAATGGGTGGAACGAGGGAAATTGAAAGTTTCTCACCTTTCCACCTTGTTCTTTGATCCTCGCATTAGTGTGCTTTAAACAATCAAGGACTTCGTTCCAGTTCTTCAAAAGAACCTCTTGGTCCCTGAGTCCAGGGACTAGTTCCTTCTTCAGCTCAGAGTATCGCTGGGGCAGTTCTAATATTGGAGCCCCAGCCAGAGACGAAAACGCGTCAGAGATGTCGCTCCCCGGCTTAGCCTGTTGATTAGAGTAGCGATTTGGACGGGGTCCAGCGGAAGCATACTCTCGTCGGGAGTGAGAAAAACTCTTGACAGTCGCCATGCCTGGGTGAGAAACATGCCAGAGGAATGAATTTGATGGAAGGGGTCCTAGACATTCGCGCACGAATAAGAGTCCAGGAATCCGGGCACTTGAAGTGACCATGCACATTTCTTTATTCTTCACTTATCCCTGTGCAATGCTGAGGGTAGTAGGCCAGTCTAAGCCGGATGTTGGTTGTGGAATCCCTGGCTGCCGGAGTTTCCAACCTCCATAAGATGGAGGTGGCTGTTCGTGATTTCATTTGATCGTACCCATTCAAACAGCACAATTTTCCCTGTTCGCCCCCTTTATGCCCTGCATGCACCCTTCCTTTGCACACCCCGGCGCATTATGGTTTGCGTAAGTATCCATCACGCGCTTATTTTTGTTTTGCCCGTTCGGCCGTTCCTCACTTTCCATCAATCACCACATGAACATCGTTCATACACAGCTGTCTTTGACCAAGCTTGAAGGTGGGGCCATGATCGATCAGATCTATCTTTGCCCTGGAAAAACGCCTCAGGACCTCGTGGGATACCGGATCTAAAGGGATTGATTCCCGGCGAGAAATGGATGTGTCACTGTGGCGCACTCAACAAGGAAAAAAATTCATAGAGACCAAAATGCATCTGAGTACAGGGAATATCGGGTGCCAGTTCTATGCGAATGTGATGAAATATGTGGAAAAATCAAGGTGAAGGGTGAATGACGTGCCGTGAAATGTGATGTTTTTTGCTTGGTATCATAGTTGCAAATACCGTATTCCTGGACAATCGAAGTGATCCTTACGCATCAGCTGCATTACATTGCCGCAGTGGCAGCGGGAGGCACCAGCACAGCAGCATGTTCAAGCGGCCAGCCTTCTGCGAGAGCGGGGTGAGGAAACACACAGGCTCTCACCGGCCCGGAGAGCAAGCTAAGCTACCCCCTTACGATTGGTGCCCACAACACTTTGATTGACAGTAATCTTTCCCTGTGTCTGGAACTTCACTGTCTATGCGCTGAGGGCTGCAAGCTCTGCCATCCGGTTTGAAGGGAACCCTCACAGCACTGTTCAGCATCATGTCAAGCGCATGTTTCGATTGCCGAGCTGTCGCGACCTGGGAATAACCATGCGTCCGACTCCAAGGCAACATATAGATATAGATATATATCTCTAATTCAACAAAAAGCCGTGACTGGGCTTGAAAGAAGTTGTGGAGCCTCATAGTGTACAACTGAAGTGCGCTAGCGCGCAGCATAAAGAGCACTCAGTCGCAATCTGCCTTCTCCTCCTTCGAGTCACTTGGCTTGTCGTCCACCAGCCCCAAGCTGAGCTCATGCAACCATGCAGTGAACCGTGACTGATCAAAGTTTCCCTCCGAGTCAAAAAGGGAAGTATAAGGCCGCTCCTGTTTGTTGAGCTGTGTGCGTCTAATAAGCGTCTTCCCACTGTTTGAGGAGCGGACGTAAGTGAGTGACAGACAGTAAAGAGGCGAGGATGAAGGAGACAGTGATGTTTCGGCATCTATGGTTATCTTTTCTGTTTCGATCTGTGGCGTGCAAAAATAAAGAAATAGGAGGTGAGATCTTGTTCGAGCCAATATGCAGGATATAGCATACACGGCTGGAAAGTGTCTTCCTCTTCCCAACAAAGATTGTTTTCCCTTCAACAAAGTACGTGTATGCAGCTTGTATAGCCGTCAAAATGGTGTAGCTGCAGCCCAAAAAAAATGCGGCTTTCGTCAAGCGGGCTTAAGCTGCTCCGAGAAGTCCACGGGACTCACAGTGTGACGCCGAGCCATATGAGAGGCTTGGCCTTCTCGAACTCCGTTTTCCACCCATACAATCCTGTAGCAGCCGCGATGAGCACAGATGTCCACCCTAACCCCAGCTTAACATCTGTATGCGTATATTGGACTTTGTACTGGTCTGGCCGAGAGAAGAACTATAAAGGGCAATCCCCTCAGATGCATAGTGAATACATGGACGATAAGTAACCTCACCCTTTTGACAGCGTCATCACAAGCAATTTTCAATTCTACAGCATTTGCATTGTTGACCTTGACAGGATCGAAAGTTTCCTGCACTAGAGAAGTCACAGGTGCAGGTGGAACCTGTTCCCCAGCTTCCTTAGCAGGGCCGTTTGTGGGTGCTTTTCTCTTTGGCATTAGGCAATGACTTGATGACGATGCAGTAATGTAATACAATTTTGTAGGCACATGATTGCCGTCGTGAGGCCGTGGGAACTGTCTCCGCCTGTCATTATATTTTCCGCTTCCCAAGGCTTAAATGGCTCCTCGCCCTTTCTCGCAAGAGACTTTGCTCTGGTTTCCTGTACATGAAGTTTGCACAGTATTTGGAAGAGGCTCAGGTTGGCAAGATTTTCTTTTCCGATGCCAGGCCAGTGCTAACATCCGCTGTGGCTTCGGCCAGGCACCTGAGTGGAAACGAGCCTACATGTGAGGGTTGTCTCTGGGGGGCTTACATGTCCATTTCCTTTCGGAGCCATCTCTGATTGATATGCCTGGCGACTTCGATTTGTCTAGTGATTACCGAAAGTTGAAGGAATGTATCAACCGAATCAAGGTGGCCGCGACGTTGCAAGATTCCCCTCAATCTGCACCCCCTCCTCTACCCCTGCCCAGTGTTATCCCCGAAGTTGGGGTTCCCCGCATGCAGGGGCGTCCTGTCTTGCTACCCGCTCCCCTCATGCCCATCAACGAATCCATTGAGCATCCATTCGCTGCAAACCGTCCGCATATGCGCACAAACCAGCATTTCGTATCAATTCCATTCTCAGCTGGATCAACTACTTCCTCAACCCAGACGGATCCCGATTCTGCAATTTTTTCTCCCCCGGCCTCTCCGTATAGAGTGTCGTTCCAGGAGCCCGCCCCTCAGCGCCCGAGTTCCGTCTTACTCCGGCCGGACGTTCACCCTAGAAATGGCGCGTTCCTGAGGCTTCCTTCGCTGGCAATAAGCTCGAACTGGATTCAAGAAGAGAAAACCGATGACGAGACGGATACAAATTTTCTTCCGTCACCCATTGATCTTCCTTCACCCATCATCCAGGATCCCATCGGCGAAGGTGGTCAATTCCCAGCTCGTGGACATAGTTTTTTCTCTTTTCCGAATCCAAAAATAGGGACAAATGAGAAGGTAAGGGCGATTACATTGTTCCTGTCTGCCTTTTTTGTGTTGAATCCATTGCTAGCGCTTCCCGCTTGATCGTACGGGGCTCCCTCCTATGACTCCGTTGGGCTGGGTGCGTGCCCGAAAGAACACTGATGCTCACAGCGGTGAGTGGACCCGTCTTCCGGATGTGGATACTCCACTTAGCCATATTCAGTCGCCCCGGATGCTACACTGAGTGAAATCATGGCTACCATTGTCCCAGGATCCCCTGAAGCACGCTTCTTTGATGTTCTTGATGAAGAATTGCGAAAGGTCAATATGTTCTTCAAGGTGCACGAGCGAGAGGCTATTGTCCACGCTGCTGTCCTCCAGAGACAACTCAAAGGGTTGAAGGATCACAGGCGACTTTTTCATGTGGGTGGCTATGCTGTTCATAGCTGATGCCGACCTAACTCACCGCTCACGCAGGAGAAATTCCCGGTTGCGCATTCGCCTTGGATTGTCCCAACTGACTTCCGCGGGACTGTTGGGCAGCTCCTTCCGCCGTACAACCTTCAGCGTGACAACGCGCTGAAGGGACACCGAGGGAAGTTCACCAAACAATTTAAGAAACCTAATGAGGAGAAACTGCCCATGGATCCCGATGACTATGTAAGGAATAAGCGGAAGTTGAAAAAGGCTGTCCTTGAGCAATATCGGTATGCTTTTCCATGAACCATTTCCACGTGTGATGACCTAGCGATGGTGCTTCAGCGGTCTCGAATTACTGAACAATTATCGAGTTTGTGGTTTTAAAGTCGAACTTCATCATCTGCATCTGAATGCTTCGAACTCTAGATCCTCAATTTGACCGGGTTCCGAAAGGTACTCAAAAAGTTTGAAACCGTGACAAAAATTCCAGTACAAAAACCATACATGGCGGAAAGGGTTAGTCAGTCAGTTGCCTTCTGGGGAGGCTTCGGGTTGAATATGTTGTGTTAAGGTCGATAAGTGCACCTTCGCAGGCGATTCGCGAATATTAGCCATCCTGAAGGAGGTCGAAGATGCATTTTCCGAATGTTTCGGTGAGAGTTACGTTCGAACTTCAAGGCAGAATAGTTCTTGCTAACGTCAGTGCAAGCTAATGGCGATCATAGAAGGGCTCGTGTTCGTCTTCGAGCGACCAACGTGCACAAGACACATCACTTAACGACTTTCCGCTCTGGTGCCTGTATTGGTCTTGGCATTCCAGCGGTTTTGCAGGGTCTCCACCTCTGTGAGTAACGACTCGCCAGTTTGACTGATAGCTTTCTGAGCCGAGTTTGTTTATAGCGTTCCAAAGTGAGACAAGGAACGCAATTCCAGAATGGGAAGACCTCCTTCAGGCTTACGGCGCTCTATTCATTCTCGTGCTATTTCCTTTACTCATCAGTTCCAACATCTTTGTTTGGACCCGATTCCGCATCAACTATGCATTTATATTTGGTACGAGCGATCTTCATCCATTTCCAAATATCCTCACCATCTCGTTCCCGTAGAGCTCGACATGCGCAGTACAATCAACCCGCGAAAGTACCCAGAAGTTCCTGCATTCCTTTTCTTAACGTTGAGTTATTCGTTCTGGCTCTCATTCGCACGTTTCGGTGCGGTGCTGCCAAACACATGGCTGCTAGGTGAGTGACGATGATCGCACCAGAATTCATTGGTTTTGATGATGGTGAAAGTCTGGATTATTTTTGCTACGGCGTTCATGGTGAATCCTTTACCTATGTTCTCAAGATCGGCTCGATATTGGCTTGTACGAAAATGCGGGAGATTGTTGTTGCCTGGGCACCGGCGCGTTGATGTAAGTCGGTTGCACCTCGATGGAAACACATGCTAATTGGAATCTCTTCGTTTGATGTTTAGTTTACTGGTAAGTTTGTCTATGTTGATATATATATATATATCATTCGGATGACTCCCTGCTAGATTTCTGGCTCGGAGACCAGGTCGCCAGTCTCACCTATACGCTTGGGTCGTTGGGTGTCATATTTTCTGTCTTGACTCCCAAGCCGGGGGTTCTAATATCTCTGGCATCGCCCACCAGTGGGGCTTGACTTTTGCCCTCAGCGCATTTCCATTCGCCATCCGGTTCATGCACTGTATCCGACGCTATGTCGACAGTAACCTATCTCTTCACCTCATTAACGTAAGTCCTGAGCGAGTCAACTTTCGGCTCCGGCCCCTGGCTCATTTCCACTACTCATAGGCTGTAAAGTATTTATGCAACATCGCCTACTACTTGTCGCTCTCTCTGTGGAAAAGCCGAGGGATGCCCCTCCATGGGACGATGTTTCCCATCTTTATGGTGGTTGCCTTTATGTGTACTATCTTCACATGTTCATGGGTAGGTTTGCGATATTTCAAGTCTTGCCTGCCTGCCTATACGATACCTAGGATTTACTCATGGATTGGTCGCTTATGAGACCCCACGCAAGACATAAATTCCTGCGCCAAAACCTGATTTACACTAATTCAGTGCCAGTGAGGACCATCCATGTGCGATAATAACGGTGTGCTAATTAATCATTGTTATATAGGTCTATTACTTTTCCATGGTGATCCAAGTAATTTTCTCTTCAATTGTCCACTAACTCGTCAGTCGCGCAGTTATTGGATATTTTGCTTCGCTCCACCTGGTTGTGGTACATCCCATTTCGTTCACGCGGTTTGAGCCTCTCAGCGAGGGGGTTCATTTTTGGGGCTCTCGAAATGCTCCGTCGTGTGCAATGGAACTTCTGTAGGAGAGTGCAAAGTTCATCTTAGCATATTCACTAAAATCTGTTACAGATCGAGTGGAAAATGAACATCTTGGCAACATGGATCAGTATCGCGTTACTCGGGAAGTACCCCTGCCTTACTCCCGGGACGACGGAGACGAAGATGATTACTCCGGAACCGAGGACCTCTAGGCCCACATACCCAATGCAACGCGGCGCGTTCGGTGTCCCTTTCAAATCCACATTCCAGACGATTAGAACCACAGGACCCACACAGAAAAAGTCATATGAGCGGTAATATTGTTTAGATTCCCTAGAACATCTTCAATGAACCTGTCGTTCCCTTCCATTGATTATGTCCAATTTTCCGGCTTTGTGATAGTTGCAAGTAATAACATATGCACCTGTTTCCCAGTGTGACTACATGGTTAGTACAATGTGTTACAGTGGTTGGAGTTTAATGACGTGCTTGTTATATCACGCGGACAGGCCTGATGTGCCGATTAGCCCACGAATGGGCCCGAAGTGAGTGAAATTATGTCACTGAAATTAATGAAAGTCCTGACGGTTGCCGCTTGCTCACCATCGGCCGCATTGACTGCAACCTCCCTTGATCGAAAAAAAGCGCATTGCGTGGGCCGATGATATTTGCGTCCTAGCATCGGACACCGAGGGATGCCTCTGCCATGCATGTATGACGTGGCTGGGGCTGTGGAGCATGTGGCCAGCCGCCAAAACGTCTCAGCTGATTGGGCTTGGTCTGATCCTCAGCTCAACCAGTCAATCACGCTTGTTAGACCAACCGGATGTCTTGACGTTTGGGGCTCTTTTCTGATGTGATCTCCTCCTGAGCTTGTGAAATGCGTCATATCTGCGCGGTGAGTTCACTAAGCGTTACTTTCGCCATTGGGAGGGGAGGAAACGCTGTGTCTCATTTGCCCACGCATATTTATTCCGCTCTTGAACTCGCGTGAACCATACTTGGATCACGGTGTTGTTTATCCTGCACAAGATGTTCCTTCTGTTTTGATGCAACGCAACCATAGGGCGATTCCCAATGGAGATTCTCTGTCTCAGTTACGACAATCGCTTGCTACTGGTTATTTCTGTAACCCATAGCCGCTCATTCCTGCCGGCCCCTTTATACTGATCGTTTGTCGTGACCGTGGGTCGACTCAACCCCGGCCTATGAGGGCTTCCCAGAGGCGTAACATAAACACATAAGATTGGTAGGTCCAGATTAAGGGACCGCCTATCTGTAATATTGTTGACATGAACGAATGAGTGCGCGGCTTTCTGTCACCCTATTTTATCCTCATCCTCCACTTTTCGAATCATTGCGATTTGCGCACGTCTCTACGTTGTGTCACCCGTCCGCATCGAGAATCACGTTCCACCTTACAAAGTTACATGATATCCCATCTTTTCATGCGGAGTTGACCGAATTTATTGCGTCTTATAGCCGGAGTCATTCAGTTGGTGCACCTAATTAGACTGCCCCGAGGACCGCAACCCAGACCCCACACACAGACCAACCCCATCATGTACTGAAGATCCCCTCGTGCATACAACGTTGTAAACAATCGGGATGGTGATAACGAGGCTGCGGGGCTAACAAGACCCGAGATTGCCCGGCAAACACGTGTCGCTGGCATTTTACCAAAACCTCAGACGGCAAAGAAGGATAATTACCGACATGAAAAAAGCTGGCATCACGGCGTCATGCAGGTCCTAGCAGTTCCGACTTCCAAGTGGCCGCCAAGACCCTGACAGGAGGCTAACGAAGCAGGATCAACAGGAATGACGATATTATATACATCCTTTGATGTGGGCGGATGTTCCGTCGCTGGTTCTGAGGATCGCATAAGGAAATATAGTATGCATCGTAACAGGGAGGTCGATTTAAAGCTCGCTCTTTACCAATATCCGGTAGCACGGATCACAGTATGCATGTTCGCCTCGTTGGAAGAATGATGGGTCCTCAAAAGGTTTCTGACATGTCTAAACAATAACCGCAGTTTTAACTTGTGTCAAACACATGGCATCTTCGGACTCACTGAACATGTGAAACAACCTGGATGCCACCGTCTGCCAATGGCCTCAATGGCACCATCACGGATGGGCTTTCCACAACCAATGCCGGGAATGAGACGCAAACCGGGTTTAAGGAAGCTTCCGCAACGCGGGATCCTTAGCCGCACATGGCAAGGTTCGCAATAGGGGTGGCCTTTGTACACAGTAAAGCCAACATCGTCCTCCTCAACCCTAGTGCCTTTAGGAGCAGTTGACGAACGTGAAGGATCAAGGAATGGATCGCCACATTCGGCGCAGAAGAAGTGCAACTCGTGATAATAACGTTGTCCTCCTAGAGCAGGATCGTCAAGAGTGATGAACCGTTCGTCTGCAATAGGAGTCTTGCAGTGGTAACATTTAGGAGAAAATCTCTGGCACACGAAGTCACAAGGCTTCGTCACGTCACCCAGAATTACTGATGTAGTGAAAACTCACTTCGTGGAAATCAAGATGGCAGTAAGGATGACCACCATGCTCGAATGCGCTCACATGCTCTAAAAGTTCCCCACATTCTACGCACCTATTTAATGATGTGACCCGAAACGTGAGTCCCCTCGAGAGCTGTGCCTAAGAGTGGTGTCTTACTTGAAACAAGCTGGATGCCATCTTAGGTTCATCGCACTGACGATGCGGCCCACAATAGGGCTTCTGCAGCCAGCACACCTCAGACTAGAGCCTGGGGCAATGTTTGGAACGACAGTTCCATCTGTCGCGCGAAAGGGGGTGGAACCCCCCATCTGGACCCTCGCCCCAGCTGAAGGTGTTGGCGAAAAAGTGATCGATGGCGAACGATCATGGTGCTCCCCGGTGTCGTTCAAGTTATCCAGGTCAGAAGTGCGTTCTGCATCCTCAGAGTCTGGAAAACTAATCTGAGGGATTGGAACCAAAATGGAGACAATGTCTTCTGATTGACAAGATGGTGGCTTGAATGTCGCTTCGGATGTAGGGGATTGCATCTCTAAAGGAATGCGTGGGTCGGACCTAGGTCTCGGAGATTCACTACTAGGCCGATCCACGGAGACTGAGATGGATGGCAACTGCGGTGGTGGCGATATAGGCTCATTAAATTCAGAACCTGAATCGCTGTCCTCGTCCTCATCCTCGTCGTACTGAAAGGTTTGAGGGGGACTTCGGGGCGACATTTTTTTGGATCTTTCCCGCTGCTCTTGCGCCAACGCTTGTGTGGCCAGGCGCATGGCCATTGATTGAGGTTCTTGTGGACGTGAAAAGCGACCTAAAGGTGCCAGTTTGGGCCCATGAACTGGAGGGGGAGCATTCGGTACTTGAGATGTTGGAATTACCGGAAGCGTCGCCCTTTTGATCGGTGCTCTGGCGGCAGATGGTGACGACGTCTCTGAGCGCAGGATTCCACCGGCGTACGAAGACCGATACGTTTTGTCTGTTACATGGGGCATTTGCCGTTCGGTGCGTTCGGTGTCGCGGTGGGTGGATGCCGGGGAGTCAGAGGGAAGCGCTGGTAAGGAAGACATCGAAATGTTTTCGAGGGATCCTGAGGACAAATACGTATCGAATGCTTCCGGGTAAACTGCTTTCTCTTTTCCTTTAAGAGAACGAGAAGACAACGTTGGCTCATTTCCCGGAGTAGAATGGGTTTGCACAGCTGCTTCCAGGCCAACCACTGTCTCACTCGCAGTATCGGGTGCAGTTGTCAGCGCGGCCCGTGGTATTGGCTCCTTGACTTCTGGAGAATCCGTCAATCGAGGTCGTGGAGGTAAAGGCGGTTTTGGAGTTGTTGGAAGGGATTCCGATTTTTCTGGGGAATTCTGGGAGATGGTGGCTTCGCGCTGCTGTATCTCATGTGGTCCTGGGCGAGGGGGAATGGGTGGCGGAGGTTCAACATCGGTTTCCGTAGAGAAGTCATCCGGACCGAGTTGCACGGAGCGAGTCCCGGAAAAAGCTTGAGGCTGAGGAAGCGGTCCACGACGATATGTTATGGGAATTGCTTCACTTGGATTAACGGCGATAGAAGTAGTGAGATTCGATCCAAATGAATTCATCGTTTTTGAACGAGCGAGAAGTGCGTGGTGCGGCGTGCCTTTCAACTGCGCACCACTCTGTGCCAGCTGATTAAATGCATTTACTGTACCATCAACGTCCGCGCGGGGAATAGGGGTAGGTAACGCCCGACGGGGAGTAGGATCCTGAGGTGAAGTGAAGGCATTGGGCTGCGCCATTCGCTTATGGTGCTTCCAAAGCGGAGTGAAGCTGCCTTCTCTCACAGGCGACGAAGGGAGACTGGCCGATCCTGCAGATAAAGGCTGTTCAGCTTGGTAATGTGAACTGTGTGATAGAGGAACTAGCTTGGGATGGAAATGCTCCTGAATTGATGACGTATCATTTCTTAACCCACTAAAGGTATTGCTCATGGCTGCGACTGTGGGGGAACCACTGCTAGGTGGACGTGGTAGAGGTTTACGTCCAGTGTTAGAAGCTATGTTCAGTTCTGGCTGGGGCACAAAGCCATACGAGAGGCCCGTGGTCGTTATACTATGCGGTAATGGTCTGGGGTGAGGTAAAGGAGCAAACGAGTTTCCTGGCGGTTGGGGGACTGGCAAGTTCGGGGATGCCATGCTATGGAGAGGAGACGAGCTGTTCGTGTGACGGCCATGGGCATCAGGAGAAGGAAGAGGCCTCCTTTCTCTTTGTACAGGCGAGATCGCGCCAGGCCGGGACTGCGTGTCCTGCTGAAGAAACACAGGACTATTTGAACGAACTTGGCTGCGACTTTGAGTCTGGATGCCGCGAGGATCGAATGACTGGTGTCTAGCCGGTCGATAGAGGCGGTCCGCGTGCGTGGGCGGATAACTTGGATAGGAATAAGATTGAGATTGCTGCATCAATCGAACAGCGGGTTTTCGACCTTCGTTCGTTGTTTCTCGACGCGCTGTTCGGTGTCAATAATAGTAAATACCTCCCTCTGCTACTTTCGGTTCTGTTAAACATCCGTCTATTCATAGATCTCTGCTTCAGCCTAGGTCTTTCCGCCCAAAACCACCACACTGGGCAAAGGACGACCGTTGAGACGAACTATCTTGTTCACAACTGAATCGAGTATCAGCGATCGGATGCCACTCTTTCTGAATCGCTCCTCTGCTTCACCCTGTGAAAAATCCTGAAATAGTAGATATCGTACAGTATTTCCGCCCTAGTTTTATGTCCCCAGACGGAAATTTCAATGAAATAGGTGTGCGTACGCGTTGAGATTAGGGTCTGTATTCGCGTGCCCAGTTTCAGACTGCGAGACACTTCTTGGTTGTGACCATCGCGACAAATGAGTATTGAGATAGCTGCATATTGTGCATGTCCTTCAATTTGTACGGAGGCGTGTGGTGCCTAGAACTTGCTATTGAAGCCTTATCGCATACATTAAAGTCCATGGCCTCACCAAGTCGTCACTTTTCGAACCTCTGTCATTCCAATGAGGTCGCACTTCCTCAATGCGCATGTGAATCCCTAGACTTCACTTTTCACCGGCACATTTCGACGATCCAGTCGCTAATGTATTTTCGTTCTTTGCATGAACGTCGACTCTGATGGCCGATCCCCCTTTGATAATCGTAGCATCGCTAGAGCGCCGTCCCATTCCCATATGGCGCTCTACATCTGAACGCGCCTCGTGGCTAAATCCATATAAGCGGCAGAGTGGGGGCAAGGCTTGACAACAGATTTTATAATGTCTGCCACGACCACTACCCCTGCATCCGGCGGCTACGTTCAGCGATTGAACAACTGGTGAGTTTCCATGCGTCCAGTTCAACCTAAGTGTCGCTGGCTGAATGTTTTGGACCAGGCTCCAGCAGGCAGTATGGCAATAACGTTCCACATTGCGATTCATCAGACGCTTATTTGATGTTTCATTATGCAGGGAAAAAATCCTCAACTAACTTGGAGTGAGGTATGCAATCACTCAGATCAATTGACTTTGATTAGCAGTAACCAAGCTCTAATTCTCTAGAAACAAGAAGGCCCACAGAATGCTCCGGAATGGACTTCTACGGTCTTAGGTGGGCTACACTCACCTAGGATGAAGCCATATATTTTATCGATTGCACTGATGTTTTTTCTTTCAGTTGAGGGTAAATCCCTAGGCACTTCGTCTGCGTCCAAGAAAGCCTTGGCACGTGATGGGGCGGCCAAAATTGTGGGTGGTTGACTCAACGATGATGCGAAGCTTGTGATCGATTTCCTGCTATTGATAGGCTCTCGAAGCGCTGGAAAGTGAACGATATGGAGCTTCGACTTCCGATGAGTAGTTAGAGGTTTGGTTGCGGTTTGCCTCGATGTTCATGCTTGCTTTGTCTCATCGAGTTTTTGGTGTCATTCTCGGCTTCTGTCTCTAGTTTCGTTTGCTTCCCTGGAGGAAATACAGTTCTATCTGGATGGCTCCTTATTGGAATTGAGAGTGTTCCTCTTAATTGAGCAAGGTTGTGAGATCGAGGGCGCCTATATCTGAGGCGGTGCGTTAGCCAGGAGGCCAAACACGTGCCCTTGCGCCGCTTTGAACCTGGCCTCCACAATCGTCCTGAGTTTGAGGGCAGAACCTTGTGAGATTGTAAGCCCAGGTTCTACATAAGCCTCAGAACTGTTCCTTACGAGCACCAAAGGAATGTGCTTTACTTTCAGTCGCACCCCGAATATGTCTCGACCTTCCTCCTCCACCGTGCCATCGAGAATCTTGCGGATCACTGCTCCCGACACTGAAAACAACAGGGAATCTTCCTCTACGCCTGCACATCATGCTACTCATGGACTTGCTCGTTTCCGCAACCCCTGGCTTTCATATACAAATCCTGTCACTCCAAAGTCCCTTGTTAAGGCAAGGCATCCTGCTTCTCTGCCAACTAACAGTACCAGTGACCGGAAAAATCAGGCAGCTTGGCAGTTTAGCCCTCCAGTAATCCCCGATAACATCGCGACTCTTATTCCTGTGCATAAACCTCTTTGGGGGGCTGATCCCGCCGACAAATCAAAGCTTAAAGCAACATGGCTGGGGTGTGGACCATTTCCTACCGCCTTATGTGGATGTATTGATGTTCCCGCCTCGTAGACATGCGTCATTTATGTTGGAGTTGCCAACTCCCCCTGGCGCTAGTCGTGGGGCTCGTATACTCTTCGACCCTGTGTTTAGCGATCGTTGTTTCATGGTGCAGTTTGCGGGCCCAAAGCGCTACACAAGTCAGTTATGACCTTTCATAGCTCACACCCATCTCGCGTAATGACCACCACAATATTCAATGGCTTATTAGAGGCACCCTGTCAAGTTGAGGATCTCCCAGAATTCGACTTGGTACTGATATCCGTAAGTCTTGAGTGCTCCCTCGTGCTCGATTGCACTTAGCTGGATCCCATAGCATAATCATTATGACCAGTATGGACTCATGAGTGATCCCCACCCAAGTTGAAGTATTGATCATATTCACAGCATGGACACAAATACGTTAACCAAAATCGCCCGACGTCAGTCTGTGTATGTCCTCAGCACACTGGGGAATGAGTATTATTGGACCACCCTAGCATTTGCCAAGGGAACCGTCCAGTGCCTTGACTGGTGGCAGGATCGCATAGTTGATATTGCACTTCCCGCCGAGGACGACCCCGACAAAGCAGTCGAAACACAATTTATGGTGACATGTGTCCCTGCTCAACATCAAGCGAATCGCGGCATCCTGGATCGGAATCAGTCACTATGGGCTGGCTTTGTCGTTACCTCTGTTGCAGAAAAGAGGCATCCCATGGAGAAGGACTTCAAAGTGTACTTCACTGGCGATACTGGATACCGCTATGTCCCTGACGGAGCCGAAGAGGACGATCGAAACGTATGTCCTGCATTCAAAGAAATAGGAGAGAAATTCGGTGGCTTCGATCTCGCTTTCTTGCCGATCGGGTACGATCCTCTATCCCTCATCACTTTCTCGCATTAAGGTCTATTTAGTGCTTATCTGCCGCGCGAGTTCATGTCATCGATCCATTGTGCGCCTCAGGATGCAGCGCTAATTTATAGGGATGTCAAGGCGAAGCGAGCGATAGGAATGCATTGGGGGTACGCGCAGAGACCTCTGGTCCTGGATCCTTCTACTGAAATATTTTTACAGCACCTGGGTGCTCACTAGTGAACCGGTAATGGAACCACCTCAGAAGCTGAGGGAAGCTTGCCAGAAGTTGGGGATACCGGATGGCCACTTTGTTGTCTCGGATCTCGGTGAGACGAAAACTTTCGATTGTTGACATGTTCGTTCAGTGTACTATATTGCGAGTCTATGCTTTAATCAAACTCTTGAGTATAATTTTGGCAAAGGTTCACGCGCAAATGCGGGCCCCTCTTCACATAGCACGAGGATCGAAGTTGAAGGCATCACGACGATGAATACGAAACTCAATGGGTTTAACGAGCAATGTCAGTCATCTAGAATTCCCGAAGATAAGGGGTGTTCGGCGGAGCTGCTTTTTGAAAATATCCCATTAGACGTTGTAATTCGGAACGATGCTATTGTGATTCTGAACTCAAAATCATGAAGGGAGGGTGATGCAGGGATGAACGAGCCTGCAAGTCATGCATGGACCTGAACTTTCGCATTGGTCGAGTACGCCCAGCTTGCGCGGGAATGGGGTATCACTAGAAAGAGAAAGCCAGCCTTGCCGAGGATCCCTCGATGGTCCATTGCCTTGGGTAAATGCACGAGTTACAATTTACAGAGGGGGTCGGTTGCTCCTTCACAAAATCGCTACTCTCATGCCCAGAGAACAGTGCGTCGCTTCTGTCGGAGCTCCCAGGGGCACCTGAAGTTTCCCAAGTACCCTCAGATTCAGAGCGTCCTGTTCTGCTTTCATGAGCACCTCGACGATGGATGCCCTAACAGCTGCGCAGGAGGATTCAAAGGCATCCCGAAAGAAAGCCGAGCCGGCATGCACTCAGCACCGCCGGCAGTGGCGACGCAAGCAAGGCAAAGCCTGTGACAAACGACGCACTTGATCCAGGGAAAGCCTCCAGATACGACGACGGATGCATCGTCCTTCTACGCAACCTAGTCCGCCCAAGCCTCATTCCAAACTCTGGCCGTGAGATTTTGCACCGCGGTGAATTGAATGATCCCAGAAGTTTTTCAAATTTCGAAGCGGAACCGTGCCTTTCGACCTTTGAGGCCGAAAGTCAAACAGTCAATGCATGAGAGACGGATGAGTTGATGGACACGCAAAATTGGCCCCAAAACAGTGAGAGAAGCCTGTCCACATTGAGCGACGCGTCAGTGAAGCGTTTGATGAAAATGAAGTTCCCACGTTCGACGCGGAGAATGCCCGATTGCGTCCAACAGGAAAGACGACTATGGCAGACCACTCGCAGATAATTGATTTGACTCTAGAATCGGGTTCGGAGTCCGATGAAGTGGCGATAATCAATGATCCATGCGTTAGCTCTACTGCAACGCCATATGTAACCGCAGCAGACGAGCGACAAAGGTTGCGACCCGACGAGCACACGGGAGCCGATAGTGCTGGTGACTTCACCATAAACTTCTTGAGTTAACTCTCGATTGATTTTCCTTCTCCACGCTAGATCTATCACATATTCTTGATATCGATCTTGGTCCTGCACCGAAATATGGTGTCCGCCGACCTCAAGATGAGCCAGATGAGCTTGAGAAATTATGGAAGGAACGGCTTGCAAGGGTAAATAAGGGTATCAAAGCTTACAAAGTAACGAGTTTCCAGCATGACCGTACATCAGAACGTCGGGTAAGACGATGTCGCTTCAAACAGTGACGCTTTTCTAATCGTCGCTCCGTCCAGGAACTAATTTATGGTTACGGTGACAAGAGGTACAACTATGCTGATCTTGAGAAACTGAGTGGTTGGCCCTTGCGCACAACTCAAATTCGGCTTCAGCATTTCGGCCTCCCTCTCAGCAAGCAGCGTGCATTATATCACTCGCAGCTGCACGGCTGCCTCCTTCATCCGGAGCACAGAATAGAATTTTCCCCAATTCAGTTTGAAGCCAGCACGTCAGGGGGTAAGTAAGTCACCCCCATTGATTTTTTGCAAACTAAGATGGGCGTCATATCCCGAGGGGTCAACATTATCATCCAGCACGGCCCCTATGCCGTCACAGCTAGTACTGTGCAGGCTGGGACTCGTGCTAATGTCCCGGATTGGGATTCGCGCAGCCAGACCGTGGACAACAGTTCATCATCTCGTTCTGGAAGCATCCTTTATAAGAAACATGGTATTTTTTTTCCGCTCTTCCATCTTGCCGTTCTATCGAGACATTTCAAAGAGTTCAGTCTCCACAACGACGAGAAATATTGGGAGACAGTTAATTCACATTTCGTGAAGGCACGAACCACAAAAATGTACATCAGTATGTTAAGTGTCCATATTACCCCTCGCTATAACTCATGTGGTGTGGCAGGAGGCACAAATGAAATATTTAACACAATAGACTCAGAAGGGGGTGACATCTTGACGCCAAGGGGGGTTTTACTCGAGCCACGTCATGACACCGAATATAACCACTACTTCAGCTGTAATGATGTTGCATTTGACCCGACTAAGTCGGTTTATGGCACCCAGACTCTTAAGCGCGCTGATTTTGCTTTTTTCAGCCCGGGTTCATTCATCTCTGCCTCCGCTGATGGGACTATCAAAAGCTGGACGCCCACGGAAGGGAGTATCCCCTTCTTTGAGCCGGATTCTTTAGATGAAACCCAACCCTCATTCGACGAGGATATGCTGGGCCCAAACTATCAATTCCAGCGCGGAGAATCTATCCCGGCTGCGACATGGGGACAAGGTGATTATGAAACACTCTTTTATCAGAAGGTCTTCTGTACAAATCTGGCCCTTTCCTAGATATACTTGATCCCGGAGGATTGGAAGCGTCGCCGAATCAGGTTATTTTCAAGCCAGACTCATCTATTCTCGCAATCTGCACCGACAAGACCGGAGTAATACACCTGGTGGATAACCGGGATGCGGGCAAGGGAGCAACGTCACTAGAAGTTTCAAGGTCCTCTGTCCACAATACTTATGAAACACAGGCGGTATGGGGTCGGGGATATTCACTCAACCGATTGTTCGGAGGCACATGCCGCAATGATGAACCTGGTGGAGGTTGTGTGACAATGTTTTCCCCAGGTGACGCGACTTGGGTCTCAGACCCTCTCTCCAGGGAGAGTGAAGATTGCCAGGGTCTTGCGCTGGACAGTCAGGGTAGGTCGGACCACTTATTCTCTCCATCTAACTCAACGTCAGGCTAGGCAGTCGACTGCTTGTGGTCTCCAGTTTTACGCGCACTGAAGATGAGGCTGCGTACGCTTGCCGTGTATATGATGTGCGTGCCAGCTGCAATGTGGCTTCAATGACTCTTCCCCCAAAACTTCTCCAAGATACTGGCTACGCCACAACCTTGCCCACCAGTACATTAGTAACAAATGTCACCATCAGTCCCGATAATGTGTTGTTTTCTATTTCCCAGTCCGATGATACCGTGGACGTTTTCGATTTCAGATATATCCGACTCTCGGATCCCTTATACCATTGTATGCATGATGCCTCAGCTGATGTCCCAAATGGTTATTACGGTGTGACCTGCATGCAGTGGTATACTAATTATCACCGTGGGCCAAATATACTCTTGAGTGGCGGTGGGGACGGTGGGTTCAGACGATTACCTTTGCCTGGTATCTGCTCAAGTTTCCTTAGGCGCTGTTCGGCTGTGGGATCTCAGACGTTCCTCCGAAGACACCGGGAAGGCAATCTGCGAGATGTCCTCAGGTATCGGATACTTCCATTGTGGAGATATCTATAGAGATGAACTGCCGCTCATCGTGTATGTCTGTCTCCTCCACTATCTCGATCATTTCAGTAAATCCTCTTCTCGTTATGCCAGCGGTGACTGTGACGGAAGAATTCTTGAGTTTAGAGAACCAATATACATAACTTGATTTTGTGGGACCTTGATTGTTTCTGTCATCTTCTTGGTCAACCGAGTTGTCTTTGCACTTGCGTGGGTCTTCACATCAGGAGACTCTTTCAGGTCATTTCCGCCACCAGAGTGAGGGCTGTCACTTGCACTACAAGCACATAATTGTAGGGGCAGCGGAAATGAATACAAAGGTTTGAACATGTAAAGAAGAGAGCGGCGTCAAGCAATGAACGCGTCGATAGGGCCTTGGTGGTTTCGGGGTACTTTGGGAGTAGCAGGACCTTTCCACCGTATCGTACAAGGCTACGACACTGGCTGGTTTCAAAGTGCGACGCTGTTCTCGAGCTGTCGAAGCGCATCATCGCTCGATAAGGACGATAAGGCATGGTGTCCTCGCCGTAGGGCTCCAGAAGGCAACTGGTCAGCGGCCTGAGACATGGACCCAGGATCTCCTAGATGCATGTGCGACACTCGACCGCTCAGCGCGCGGCTCCGAATGCCAGGATCGATAAAGACAGCGCGGGAGCTGGGAAGAGATATAGTGGAGGGTGGATGTCACTTTAAAAATGCGGGATGTCGAGCGCGTATCAAACATCTAAGTAAAGCCATTGGGCTGCATAGTGAATATAAAGGTGTCACTCATGGAGCTGGAATAGGAGCGCATTGTCGGCTCCGGCCCTCTATCTTCTGATGGTTCGGAGACGGTTATGGAGGGCAAGCTGTGAGGCATCCGCGGGGAAGCGACAATAGATACGAACAGTTATCAACAGTGCCATTCAATTGTACACCACAATTCCGAGACGCAGCCATGGACAGGGCACTTTCCGCAACCTCGTCCGCACTCATTGGTCGATATTCATTCGTTCAGGTAGGCTGCCCAAATTTCTGGACAGTCTCCCAGCGCCCTTACATTTCGGTCCCCCCGCGAAAGCTCCCTTGTGCCAGTGGACAAAAAGGGAGAACGTCAGTGGAAAGCTTGGAGTTGGATGACCACTGACTCCCGAGGAAGGAATGGTCTTTTGCCTTGGCGTCTTGCGCTCAAGCTTAGTTTCTGGTCCGGCAGAAGTTGACGAGAATCATCTAGGTACGTAAGATACGAGAATTTTCACCCTGAGGATTTGTGCGTAATTAACGACCTCGCGCAACACGCAGAGCCATAAAATTGTCCTAGCCACGACAATCACGAAAAGGGTATGTGAGAAACAACACAAGCAATATGAAAGAGGAGATGAGCTTCATGAATATCTAGGCAGCGTGGACAGCGACTTCTAAGTACGAGGACTCGCAAAGGTCTCCCGTGATGCTCTGATAGGTCTTATTATTGGAAACATCATCTCAAATAGCCAATAAAGCATTGATGCTCGCCCATGCAAGGGGCGGTGGAGAAGGAGCGTGCAGCAGAATCCGGGGGACTGCGACGCTCGCGACGAAGTCCCCCCGTGGCCACAGACATGTCGGAAAATCGCGAAATCGATCAAAAACACAAGACTTGACATTTAAAACGCCAAAATTTGACGTTTAAACGTGAATTTTGGCATCCAAACGTTGTGATAAATTGTTTATGGCGTTTTTATACCCCTCAAACGCTCTGAATACGTTTTTAATAACTTAATAAATGTGTCATAAATGCTTCCCACAGCATCAAAATCGTCAAAAACCTGTCTCATATAACACACAAAGTACCACCACATCTGACCAATGCATTCTCATCGGCTGTTGGATAGTTGTTGTAAAAAACGCCATGAAACGTTTCCTGGGCGTTTAAACGATATACGGGATTTTCCGACACACGATTAGCTGTGGCACGTGTTGTTAAAGGCGGAGAATGCCGATTCAAATTTTCTCTCATCCATCTCCCATTCTCGTCTGCCCTTCCCCCCCAACGTTAGGGTTCATCTCGCCCTACAAGAACATTAGATTTCAACTTAGATCAATAAGAACCAATAACATTGTCAAATGGTAAGTTGTCTCTTGTCATGGCATGCCAGTTGAACCCCTGTTGATGAACCCCGGCTAGTCTTACGGAGGCGGTTATCGTGGCGGTTTTGGTCAAACCGGAGTCTACAATGGCTTTGGCGAAAGTGGCCTTGGCAATAATTTGAGGGATGTTGATTGGAAGAGCGCCCACTTAACGAAGTTTGAAAAGAACTTCTACCGAGAGGATCCTCGAGTCACTGCTCGCACTGAATTCCAAGTCGAAGAGTTCCGGAGGGCTAAGGAGATAAAGGTTGGGTATTATTGTACTTTACAAGAACATTACCTCACATGTTGTCGTCAAGTGTCGAGGGACCGAGATCCCACGTCCAGTAACCAGTTTTGAGGAAGCCGGGTTTCCCGATTACATTATGGCCTCAATCAAGGCTCAGGGCTTCAAGGAACCATCAGCCATCCAGTGTCAAGCGTGGCCTATGGCTTTGTCAGGTATGATTTGCCCACGATCAGAAGGCCGGGCGCTTATTAATCATCCACTAGGCCGCGACGTAATTGCCATCGCACAAACTGGAAGCGGGAAAACCATTGCCTTTGCTCTTCCTGCCATGTTACACATCAATGCGTGAGCTCAGCTGATTGCTCATAAAAGCTGTCATGAACTCCGATTCTTCTAGGCAACCTTTGTTGTCCCCAGGCGATGGTCCAATCGCTCTTGTTCTGGCCCCCACTCGTGAATTGGCAGTCCAAATCCAGCAAGAATGCACTAAATTTGGGTACATATTTTACACACTTTTATTTTGATTACTGATCATTACTGACATACTCTTCCAGTGCGAGCTCCCGCATTCGTAACACAGCCATATATGGCGGTGCCGCCAAAGGGCCTCAGATTCGGGATCTTCAAAGAGGCGTTGAAATTGTCATTGCTACTCCTGGGCGCTTGATCGACATGCTAGAGGCAGGTAAAACTAACTTGCGAAGAATCACATACTTGGTCATGGACGAGGCGGATCGAATGCTGGATATGGGCTTCGAACCGCAAATCCGGAAGATCGTCTCCCAAATCAGGCCTGATCGACAAACTCTGATGTTCAGCGCCACATGGCCAAAGGACGTTCAGAAGCTCGCTGCGGTAGGCCCAATATGAGCTGGAGATGATGTTAGCATTGAATTATTACTGCAGGCTTTCTTGAAGAACCCTATGCAGGTTAACATAGGTTCAACGGAACTCACGGCAAACCATAATATCGAACAAATCCTTGAAATTTGCACTGAGTACGAGAAGCGTGGGAAGCTGCTTAAACACCTGGACCAGATCAGCAGTGAAAATGCCAAAGTCCTTATATTCGTTGCTACGAAGCGTGTCGCGGATGAGATTACCAAGTTTCTTCGCCAGGATGGCTGGCCTGCTTTGGCCATACACGGTGACAAGGAGCAGTAAGTGCCAACGATCTGCGCTGCCTGCCTATTGCTAATCATGTTTCCAGACGTGAGAGGGACTGGGTTCTAGGCGAATTTAGGGCTGGCCGTTCGCCGATTTTGATTGCAACAGACGTTGCCAGTCGTGGTCTTGGTATGATTTATTGCTCTCATTCTAACCATTCCGTGCCATAGCGGCGTTGTACCATCGTCATGACAAGTGGGCATCTGCCTTGAGGGCTGACACCTTCTGTTCTGTCGACGGTCAAAGATGTGTGAAGACGAAAGGTGAACTCAGACGAGGCAGGTATGCGGCAATCTCGCTCTACAGACTAGACTCGCGGCGTACATCATGCACTTCTCCACTTCTGGTGAGCAAACAAATCTATCGACTCTGGTGTCCGTCAGTTGCATTGGGGCCGTCGTCTGGCTGATGGCTCCTATTCTGTCTTGACGATGAGAGGTGCATCGCCAAGCCCCTGTGCAACTCCAAGGTGCTAGAAACCGTTGGATGATTGCTTACCCTACGACCACCTGGGTGGTCATGTACGTTTCCGCTGTCTGTGGGTTTGACTGGGTCAATACTGTCATCAAGTGTCTTCGTCAAGAAAGTGTTCATCCTTTGCATTTTGGTTGGCTGGTTGCTCTCTTCCCCAACACGTCTTCACTGTCGGTTGATCGAAAGGACACGTCTCGGCGCGACTGCTGCACATTCCGTATCCTGCTTCTGATTATCTGACTTTTCTTCTGCATATGTCTGTGCTCCATCGTTTCGGTTCATTGTGTTGTTCGTGCTGCTGCTCTCTTTCGTAAAATGCAGACGTGAAAGACGTCGGCTATGTCATCGTGAGATTTTTTTTCGCGTCCCAGGTGTCATTGCTCAGTCACTTTTCTTAGAACTACGATTTCCCTAATAATTGTGAAGACTACATCCACCGAATTGGTCGCACTGGGGTACGTGTCATGTATTTCTTCTCTGGAGTTAGCGATTTGCTGACTATCGAGCCCCTTCCACAGCGTGCGGGTGCGAAGGGTGTTTCGTATACTTACTTCACCGCCGACAACTCAAAAGCTGCTCGTGAACTCGTAGCTATCTTAAGAGAAGCCAAGTCTGCAGTTCCTCCTGAGTTAGAGCAAATGGCCATGTACGGCGGTGGTACGCATCTTCCCTTGCTTTGCTGATCAGTCACTAAATCTTCCCGTCTCAGGAGGTGGCAATCGCAGTGAGCACTCAGATCGCGCCCTTGAAAAATATTATTTGCTTATTTGACTCGTTCATAGGTCGTTTCGGTAGCGGTGGCGGCAGTGGCGGTGGTGGTGGTCGCGGGGGTAATCGTGGTGGTCGTGGAGGATTCGGTGGAGGTCGCGGCAGCTACAGTCGCTGGTAGATCCTTGAGATGCTGCTTCGCGAGTCCCCCTTTATTCGTCTAGACGTGGTTTGATCGGTATTTCTGCCTTCAAGGCCTTTAATACGCTTCTAATAGAGATTGTTGCTGTGTATTTGATAATGGGCGCTTCTGGAAGCACGTGCTCGGGTTGATGCCCCCGCAAGTCCAATGCAGCTGGTTAGCGTGTTGCGCGACTTTCTAGGCTGAGGTAGCCGTCATAGTTGTCTTGGCTGAACATATTGTCGCCTCCTTCCTTGAAAACTTGAACGTCCGTGCAACATGGCCACCAAAGAGTTGCGATTTGCACCTAGTCGCAACGAAATCTTGGACGCCATTGAAGCCAACGATTGGGCCACCATGCGAAAATTAAGCCTCCAGCCAGGAGGACTGGCTTCTGCAAGAAAGGAGGCTTGGTAAGTTACTATGAGACCTCCCGTTAATTTCTAACTGATGCAAGACCAGGGAGTTCCTTCTACGTGTGCGTGGTTCGGAACGATCGCCATCGGAAGAGCCTTTGGACACTCTCGCACCTCATTCAGACGAGCGACAAGTCAAACTTGATACTGACAGAAGCTTTGTAACATATCCGGTTGGTAGGATAATGGCTCCTTGATCCCCCGTGCCATTGCTCACGCAGCAAACCACCTAGTTAGCCCACCGGAGAAGGAACGTCTCAAAGAAGAGCTTAACAATATCATTGTTTCAACTCTGAGGCGATATCCCAAATTATCCTATTTCCAGGTAAACATCTTTTGCTGCCGGTCTGTCGGCAGTTGTTCCTTATACAAATTAATTTATCTTAGGGCTATCACGATATAGTCTCCGTCTTCCTTCTAACCTTTACGAACCACTCGCGCATAGACGATAATGATTTACGAAAGATGCAAACATGTATTGATAAGTTGAGCATCCACAGACTTAGAGATGCGATGGGGGAAGGCCTAGGCCCATTGCTAGGAGGGCTACGGTGGGCTATTCTGTGCATTTCCCGCATAGTTTTAAATGCTTACAACCCATTCCAGAATCCTTCGAAGATTGATACGCTTTGCTGATCCACCCTTCTCTGAATTGCTAGAAAGGTACCACAGATCTCTGTTCAGGTTTCCCTGATCTGTGGATTTGATTATCTTTTCCTAGGATATCACCTTTGCCTTATTTTGCATTATCGAATACCCTGACGCTGCTCTCTCACGATGTTCCCACTCTTTCCTTAATCCAGCACGTCTTTGACTATCTTCTAGCAAGACCCCCTATTGCTATCATATATCTCGAAGCAGCGGTGTGTCTATGTTAGAAACCAATAATCCACCGTTGGCTGACACGGGAAACGTACAGATCATTCTGAGCCGCAAAGATGACGTTGAACGTTTGTCCAAAGACGACGACGAAGGCATGTTACACGCCCTCCTATCGCAACTACCGGAGCTCTCAGATGATGCCCGATTGCATTGTTCCGAGCTACTGGAAGATTATGATTTGCCACGAGAACCTAGTGCTGGTGATGGTGGCTGCTGCCATTCTGGGAGTGAGATGCAACGGGAGCATTTCATTCAATCACCCGTAGGCTTGGACCACTCCCAAGTACCTCTATTTCCATTTTCTGAGTTGGGGGGCCCGCAATGTGCAGCCACGGTCACTGGGCAGAGTTTGGATAGCTCTACTCTCATTGAGTCCTTGAGTACCGAAGAAAACACTCGGGTTGATATCCAAGTGGCTTCGTCTGAACCGAATGATAGATCGGCAGACCATCTTGGGCCACCTTTATCGCACATAGCGCCCATTCTCACTTCATCTCCGTCAGCGGACTTTGGATCTCCGAACACCGATCAAGGATCACCATTACAGCGTGGAATGGAAACTACAGAGGCGACCAATTACAGCACAGCAAATTCATATCCGGTGCCACTCACGCGAATTCTCACCACCGCGGATGCACTATACCAGAAGTACCCTCCTCTTCCATATAAACACCCCCCTGCGCAAGCAACACCGAGCAATCCCACCCGGACGGAATCAGACACTCCACACCTCCCTTCCACTAACTCTATCTCGCTTCGCATTGATGAGATACTCGGTCCATCAAGTGTCTGCTTTACTTGGTTTCCGAACGCCATGCAGGAACTTTCAGATAAAGAGGCGGAGCAGCTCATAGAACAACCCTTGGAGACTGTGGTCCTACCAAACGACGGCTCCTCGGATCGAGACTTTACGGAGAACATGGAAGAAGAGAGAGATAAGTCAGCAGAGATGGGGCGAAATAAGGGACTTCCAGAACGAAAGCAACGTCAGCTGATTATACCTTCGATTGGGATTGGTGCCGCAATCATCGTTGGCATTGCTGCTGTGATGTTATACTCGTCTCCACAAAGAAACAGCGGATTGAAGGGATGGCGCGACTTGACACAATGGGCACGAACGTTGGTGTTGGACCCAGGGGTGGGGATCGTCGGAGTTCCATAAATAATAGTTATCTCCTAGCCATTATGTAAACGTTCTTAAAAGTGACGAGACTGAAGATAGGAATGAGTAAAGGACTTGCTTTGTTGATCACAAGGTGTCGATTCTATTGAAACAGCATTAGCAGCTGTACCTAGAGTCTGCTTGATCGGGTAAGTCGGATGCAAGCTCGTGCTAAGTAAGGTTAGTGACGCATGGAGGCACTAGTTCTGAGACGCAGGTATAAGTTGAGCAATATCAAGCAAGAAAGGCACTGACTCACGCTAAAACAATGTAGCACAAACAGTCGCGGCCCTCCAAGGAACATGTCGGAAAATCCACCGATGGTGCCCGTAACCAGGCATAGCGAGGCACTGCATCTGCGTCCAGTCAACGTAACCACTCAGAAGAGAGGGTCCGGTTGTGAAGTAACTTTGACAGTCGGGCAAGATGGGCCTCGCCATGACTGAGGAAGGGGCACGCAGGTGAGGATTCATGCGAACAGGTTCACAGTGAGCTAAACCACTGAAGAGGTGCTGCGGGGGGGGATTGGGGGAGATTGGAAACTAAAGGGTGACGACCGACATTCGGGGCCGACCTCCCGAATTCGCCCCATCATGGTTGATGTAGCAACACTATCATTGTGGCTAGGTTTTCGCAGGTGGGGCCAGAAGAAAGGGGACATGAGAACGGGAAGACTCCCCAGGAAAGGGGGACCTATTTATGCCTGGGCGACGGGTGGAATTCGCCGTTCTCCGCACCACATAAATGCCCAATATACTGGATCACTGTGCTAAATTGTGCTACGTTGAGTTCCAAAGACGGAGGACAAAAGGAGGCAGGCGGCCGCTCCGTTTCATCCGTGGCCTAGATTTGCCCTCCCCACTGTTTAGAAATAAACCAAAGGGTCTACAAGATCAACTATCTCAAATAGGGCCTCGCGGCTCTTGAAGATAACCCCAGTAAAGAGCAGGGCTCCATCCTTTCTAAACCCCATGCAATAATCGTGAGCATATCGATCCACATAAGGTGGCAGCATGTGATATAGATATTGCAGGAAATTCAGCCGCTGGACGCATGGGAATGGGGCGGAGAACGACAAAGCTTCAGGGCACAGACCAAGTGAGACTGGAGACCGATGATCAGTCGAACGATTCTGCAATTTCCAATGCGAAGATTGCGACTCATGTTGACGGGCCACAGTCTGAACGGCGTTCTACTCAGCTGATTCATGTAACGATCCAACGAACGAAATTAGGACCCTCAAGGCATGGCGAGGTCAAAATGTAGACAAGGGCATGAGCACGAAAGTGGAAATATCTCTTTCAGAACGATGGGGCATCGGCCACAAGGTACATGTTCTTGGAGCATATCAAATTGCACTGTTATTCTGTTCAAAAATGCCCCCAAATGATCACTTCAGGGTCAGATCGAGATTTCATTGATTCGGTCGTCCAAGAGGTAACCAATTATATGAGGGGACCAGGATTCGCCATAAATCGCGCGACGACTGGCAGCAAGTGAATCACGGGAATGACACTATTGGGGAGATTCGCTCTCGTCCATACGCAGCCCGAGAAAAGAAAAATCTGCCTAGAACACACGAGGCTTTAACGCGTAACACGCGCCAGATGCGCGAGGCAGACGAGACAGAATGCTCGTGAGGGGGGGGGTTCGTTAGTGAGGGAAAGAATCAGGTGTAGCGTTGATTGCTGGCAGCAGACAACTTATTGGGGCAGCTTTTGGGACTTACCCGATTGGGCGGCGCCATTCGCCGGAAACTCGGGACTTGAGAGCTGTTTCACGATTCCTCTCATGGGTTGGCGTAGTTTTCTAGCGTACACTGCGCTCTATCTCCGTGTTTTCCTTCATCTTCTGGTCCCGCTCGTGGGAGGGGATTGTCCAATTATGTCCACCCCCACGTATGGCACCAAAGGCGCTGTCTTCACCGCTTGCGCCAACATCACGATCCCCGCAACCCCGGACTTGATTTTCGACATTGTGTTAGACTTCCCGTCCTATCCTGAATGGAATACGTTCGTTGTCAAAGTGGACGCAGCTCCCGGAAGCCCTTGGGTTGGTGAGAGTATCACACTCCACACAGTGGGGTTACTTCCATTCAGTTCCACATCAACAGAGATAATCACTGTACTCGATCGCGCTGCCATGACTGTGGCATGGCGCTACGATGACGGTCTGAACGGGATAATCACTGCCGCTGAGCATGTTCAGCTTGTACGCGACATTGGAGGCGGAATGTGTGAATATCTTAGTTGGGAGACATATTACCGACCATTATCCCTTGCTCTAGACGTCCTGTTTGAGGAGCGGTTGAACGCGGGATTCGCTGTTCAGGCAGAAGATTTAAGACGGAGAGCAATTTCGCTTGTCACCCCTTAAGGACGAGAATTACAGCGGCCTCTGCTTCCCTATCGCCTATCAGATATTGGTGTCGTAATGGTACCAACTTTCTACACCCCTGGGCACCCATCATCCTCATCACCTCATTGGTTCCCATCGCCTCAATCCATCCTTCTCCCATTTCTCCATTAGCAATTTCAATCGTACCCTACCAGCTTTCCCTTCTGGCCCCCCAATAAGGCTACTTCCAGGCTGCTCCGGTTCGGAGGCTTTTTGAAGCAAGACGGACCGTAGTTTAGCCATCTGTCTAGGCCACATTGCCGAGGCGACCTCGCCCGTTGCTTCCAATATGCAAGATAAGATGACGGGAGCCGCACGGTCGGCCATCAGCCCAGGGTGATTCACAAGCCTGATGATCCAAGTCCACAAACGAGGCAGACGGACATAAGTAGGAATCTGATGTAGTTGCTCCGCTGGAAGATTCGACTGATATGGAGTCTGGAGGATTGCCGCGTACAGTGTAACCAATCCGCCCAGACGTTCTATATATTGGACCGTTGTTTCGCCCGATGATTCAGGTCGCCGACCAAGTGCAATACGATAGTCTTCATCTGATTGTCCCTGAAGAACAGCTCAATGCCATACCCGAAACGTAACCGTAGTCGCACTTACTGATTCACGAGTTATTACGGCGCCAACTACCCAATGGCTGGACATTTGGACCAGTTTCGCCATGAAGACATTCCCTAGTTGGAAATGCCCCTTTTCCAGCAGGCCAACGAATACATGCGCCAGCGGGAAGGCGGTGTCCGGTTTGGCGGTGACCTCTTCCTCTGCCTGCTTAAGGAAAGCTTTCGAAAGCACATAAAGAAGAGCGATGTACAATGGCTCTGGATGGCCGGGAGTAGGTGAGAGCAACCCATGTAGTTGAGCCGTCTGAGACAGCAAGTAAGACAGGCGAGAGAACCGAAAATGTGAAGGGACACACAATTCGCTGAATCTCGATTCGAACGTTTGTGACTTGGCCGATCTTTGGGATAATTTGTCTTCTCAATTTCGCAAGTTCTTTTTTCCAGTCGGCGTTAGGCGTGATGTCGGGGTGGAGCTTCGCTGATTTGACTTGGGGAAGCACCTCAGATTTAATAGTCTAAGGGACAGGCCAGATCTGAGGCCAATCAATGGTGCGGGCGCGATACGAACCTTTATCAATTTCCGGCATTCCTGCAATTCTCGTGATGCAGTCATGGGACGAAATGAAGTGCTTGCTGCTTCCGCCTTAGCCTCCTCCTCTTTGCGCGCCTTCTCCTCCACTGCCTTCTGTTTCTCCGCTTCCTCTTCAACACGCTTTCTCTCAGCTGCAGCATTCTCTGCCTCTTTCTTGGCCTTTTCAGCAGTAGCGCGAGCCCTGGCTTCTTCCTCCTCCTTGGCTTTCCTGACTCGAGCTTCTTCTTCTTCCCTGACAAGTCGTTCTAGACGTGCACGTTCTTCCGCTATCTTCCGGAGCTCGGCCTCGTGTACTGCAATGCTTCTTTCAATAGACTGTCATTGCATTCGGTAAGGCTTATCTTTAACTTATGAGGAAGTAGAATGCTTACCTCCTGAAATGCCTTATCCTCTTGTTCATATTCCCGCCTTCTACGGGCTTCTTCTTCGGATCTTTCCAGAGCCATTCCCTCAAGAATGTGCGAAACCTCGTCAATCTGGTTAGCCTTTAATGCAGAAAGACGTTTCGTTATCCTCTCAGGTGTCTTCTCAAATATCCACGCTATTGGGTGCCATTGTTCTCTGTTCTTTTCCAGAGCAAGACGCTACCTCGCAAGAAAGGTCAGATACACATTTAACGTCGACATATATTGTTTAATACCCTAAACATACCCTAGCTTCCCTGAGTGTGCTGTCTTCATATTCTTGTACTGGATCACGCCGATGTCGAAGCCGTATCGCAGCGTAAAACTCATCTTGTTCACGCTGCTCTTTGTTTCGTGGTGTTCGCTTAGAAGATCTAAGGATCATAAGGAAAATGAGTTTTATTCAAAGTAAAGGGGAAAAGAAGGATACTCGCGGGGGGGTAGTTGGTGGCGGAGTAGATTGCTCATTGAGCCCCTTCCTCGGGCTCTTCGTCAGGCCTCTTCGTCGGCCGCAATATTTGTATGGTCTCTACGGGAAAGCCCCTCCTCCTCTGTATCAAACCCATCCGTACTGGACACATCCGAATCAAGTCCAAAGCGGTTAGCAGGGCGAGGCGACTTGACAGCCTTTGGAGTTGAACGACGTTCGGACTCATTGCTTCTGCGTGGCCGATGCCGAGGGCTAACACGCATCTCTTCATCCGAAGATGATGGCTCTGATGGAATAGATGCTAGACTAACCCTCATTGTATCAGGAGTTCAAGGAGAAAGGTACGCTAGTAAGTTGGGTTTGATCGTGTTCAAGCGCTTCGCCGTGTTTGTCGACACGTGACCTCAATAACTTGAAGAAATATTATCAATTCATTCCCTCTCCATCGCCATGAGTCATCTGAGTGACCAAAAAATCTTTATTCGGCCCCTCAGGCATGCATGGGCATCCGGGCATACCTTCGTACTTGGATCGGTGAGTGGGCAACACTGATCGGCGCCGCCCGTCGCCACAGATGCCCGCTGCCCAGTGGTTGCATGGGAAGGACTCCAATCACCCGTTCTTTTTCATACATCCACATAGACCTCCCGGGGTGAGGGGTGTGATTCATTCATCAGCGTAAGGGCATTCGCTGGGAATCGCAACATAAGTACAAAAGGATAATAACAAGGGCAACCACGAGAAGATGAGTCCATAAGTGTCCGGTGCATGATGGGTGTATATAATGAAGGAACAGAAGAGCACGAGGAAGACATCTACAACTTGGAAACACCAGTTGCATACTTTGCCTATCTAAAGTTTGAGCATATTGTACGAAGCACAGCCAAACGCTACACACCATTTCGCGCTCCTTTTCCTCGTATCCGCATTTTTGATAGAACGCTTATAGAAACGGGGTAGAAATGTCAGCTTTCATTCAATGCAGTCTAACCACAGAGACTCACGAATATTATCGGTGCTACAGTTCAGGATGGTCTTGTAAGCACCCTGACCTTCGCTAATCGCAGTAAGAGTTTGAATAATTCTTAGTCCGAGTTTGTGACCCTGAGATTGTTTGTCCACTGCGATATCTTCGATGTGGCCCACGACACCTAATCCACGTAGGAATTTGCGTTCCATAAAGACAGTACCAACGCCTACGACTCTATCCAGGGCCTTATCAACTATGGCAATGGCGTAATACGTGTTCGGGGTGGAACGCATGAGGCCGAAGGCTGCACTCCATGCTGCCGCACCAACATCTGGTGTTTGTGTTAGGACAGAGAGAACAGAGAGGTGACCGCGACCATAATCCGTTAGTGAAAGTGGACGAATCTGTGGAAAAGGTCAGAAAACATGCGTTGCTAAACAAGCATGGGGGCCGCGCACATGAAGGTGGTTGGGCAAAGCGGCCTTGACATCATTCGGAATGAGTTTGGGGTCAAACAATAGCTCGAGTTTGTCATCTGGAGTAAAGGAAAGTGTCTGCGAAGTAGCACTGGCAGTCCCAGCAACGTTCGACATGGCTTGAAGCAGGATTGATTGAAACGAAGGCTTGACGTCTAGTATTTGGAGAGGTTCGGTTAACTCCGCCTCCACGTAACTCCAATCTGATCAACTCTCAGCCTGAATTCGACGTTGGAAAGAGTATTAAGTATAGGGTAGACAGAAAGGTAGATACATGAACAATAGGGCTAAGAAACGATATATAGAAAGTGGCGCAATCATAACGGCAAGCACACAAAACGACAACATAGCCATTTTTCCCCTATTTGACAGCCTTTACAATAGGAACGACAATGATGACAATCAACACTGCGATACCAATGCCAATGATGATCCGCATCTAGATGCATTCATTTAGAGACGCCAATGTTGTTAAGGCAATGTTGTATCGTACCTTCATGTCCTTCCACCTAAGAAGCGTGGTGAGGTCTGTGAGATGCTGACTACGAGAATCTGCTTAAAGAGACATACCACATATTCTGTTGCGAAGATAAGATATTGCATGAGTAACGGCATAGTGAGCAGATAGGGGATGGACGCACTTTTCGCACTTTATTGGCACCCCGCCGGAACCCCTGAGCAGAAACAGCCAGTGTTTCTGAGCGGCACGAGTCGTTAGCAACACAGGAGTTCTCAAAGCCAACGAGGACCGAGCGCCAAGAATGGGAACTAACCAGTCTTGTCCTGCAGGTCATCGATTCTTTCTCCACGCTCGGCAACCTTGTTGATATTGCTCTTCATGATATCGACGGTGTTGTCGATTTGAGCCTGTATAGCAGCAGTTTTGGAGTTACCAGGGCGAGGAGCGCCGCTGGGGTCTCCGCGGGGGACGTAAGGGTCGTATGGTTCAGACCTTCAACACAGAGAATATAAGATTCAAGCAGCCTAAGACAATCCATAGACACACATTTCAAGTGGTCGTTAAAGTGGCCCTATTAAGACTGGAGAGATGACTTTGGTGACTTGTGTCCTTGCAGGACGCGGGCAGCTTACTTTTGGAGCCGGGTGAGCACTTCAACGACAGCCAGAAGGAGACAAAATAAGGCCGCAAAAAGCGAAATTTGGCAGCTACCGACCTGTTTAGTTTACTGATAGCTCAGTAAGAGTACTTCCGTAGGATGGATGTGAAGATGCAACCTGGTTTGCGCAGCGACGATGTGATGTGCTAATGTCCGCAACTTGCCGAATCCCACACCGCCTCTTTCGGCCACCGTCGGGATCTCTCTTCCCCTAAAGAGAGGCTGGGTCACCTGCCTAGTCGGGATCGCTTTTGCTACCACCGAATAGCAGGTCATCCTCAGTTGGTCCTGTTATCAAGCTAGGAGTATTCCAACCTCTTTCCCCAAGGCCTACAGTATTCTGGTGTTCAATTCTGGCTTGAATTTTGCTCACGTCAGAAAAGCCGCGTATTCCGCAGGCGCTTTGGTCCCGATTGGCACGGGTCATTGATTCCTGAACACGCTATAGTCTTACCTGGCCTGAATACGTCAAAGAGAGACAGTGAAAACGCCATGGCTCCCTTTTCTTTTTCAGGTAGTATGGTTGTGAGAACCCTTGAATTCCGAGACACACGTTTCGCGGATGCCGGACATGGCTGGGTGATATTTTCCACTTATCAGGCCTGGGTCAGGCTAGAGCCAGGAACAGTTTCTTGGAGCGGGACGACCCAACGCGGACATGGGCCTTGTCTCCTAGGTCCTCATGAATCCGCTGTCATCATCGCTAGGCGCCTCACGGAGAGTTTAAGCGCACGGACACTCCGGACGTCCTTGGCAGCAGGTCTCCATAGTCTTGATGATTCCCCATTTTCGCGACGTGCAATGAGAACAGTGCTTCAGCCGGGGTCTGAGCCGATCGTCGCAGCCCGTCCTGAGCCTCTCCATCTATACGCACAAGCGCCAAATAGTGCAGCTAGCATTACGGATGCATTTTCCGAAATCCAACCCTCCACTTTCGCACGAGACCCCCCGTCAGCAACGGGCTGAGAGCCAGTTCCGTATCAACTGTCGGCTTCTTCATTCATTCACATGTTCACGCTGTTACGCAGTGCCATCTTCGCGTAATCACATTGAAAATCGTTGTACTGGTTAGCAAGGTGCCCTGGTTTTTAGTCAGAATGCCCTAGGCCCTTGTAGGTGGCCCCACAAGACGCAAAGTTAAGCCAATTCCTGTAACGAAGACTCCAGCATTCTTCATTCTTGAATAGTTGTTCCGCTGCATCATATTTGCATGCGCCTGAGTGACCACCGTCTATCGACAAGGTTCTGACATCGAAGCTGTGTACCTAAGCACCTCCCCAAGTCGCCATGCCGGGATTGGGTCCTGGTCCATTACGTGTCCGCATTGCACCGTCGGGCAGAATAGCTCGGCTGGTGCCGATCCCGGCGAAAAAGTGACTGATTTTGGGCTCGAATCCTGGATATTTCTGGGGGGGGGGTTGTTTTTTTGGTGTTGCCTACCGTAGCTTTCGCCAACAACGGTTATCCTTGGCAAGGAGGATTACAACAAAAGTCAGCCTTGTTGACTTTCGGCAACCCCTTCACTCTGTGTGACTTGAACGTGCGTTGGCACCTATGGATAGCCTGAATGGCACAACCATTAAACCTATGATTCGAATGTTTGGGTTCTATGGCGGCGATGTTCGAGCGTCGAGTATATGGGGAAAATCGTGTTATCATTACTCCCCCAAGTGAGCACTTATAGTTATCGTGGAAGGGAGAATGTCAAAACATCAATGGAAAGAAAGGAGTAGGCAATAAGGGGGGGGGCGGTGTAAGCAGCTTCTGCAAGTAATATTAGTGTCATGACATGCAGCATTATGAGCACCGGGCGCCGTGATGACTTGTCCGTCCAACACTGAGAGAGACATGCATGCTGTGGTTCGTTCTGGGAGGTACAAAGTGCATATGGGATTGAAGCATGTTATCGATACGTTTAACGCCTGATGGCTGCTCGACATGCCGTGTCACACCGCGTAAATCCTATCCATCCATCTGGTTGCAGGCAAACCTGTTTTCGTTACGGGGATCACTTGTTGAGGGGTAGATTCAACCCTACACTGCGGCTTTCGGTATATAACTATAACGGTTCGGCGCATTACTTAGGATATGGTACCGTGTCGGTTCATATTGCTGGCAGGAATTGCCGAAACCAAGGAGGAACGAGTCGCTACCAAACCCTATTAAACAAACACACTGGTGGGATCAAGCGGCGCATAGCTCAGATCAGAAATAAGGAAACTTCAGCGCCTTGAGCCCTAGCGCGCTTACAGTTAAAGTTTTACGCTCATTCATGCAATGCTGCCCGCAATATAATTAATTGTCAGGACCTTGTTATGAGTTGATGATATTCGAGCGTTGGGCGGGGGGCCAGGAGAGAGAGCGGTTATTATTACTCGCAATCGTTTGATGTGAGGCAGAGAAGTATAAAAAACTACGGTTAAGATCAGCAACCCCGCGGCCGCACCGATGAGCGAAGTGTGGGGCTGGGCAGCTCGTAAATTTGGCACTATAAATTTTTTTTTCGGCGCATCGCTGCATAGACAATTGAATGCTATTAGGAGGAGAATGATCAGTCTCATCATCATACCAGGAAGCTGAAAAAAAAGCCTCTTGCTTATGTACTACGAAAACGAAATATGTATCGGGGTCGGAAAGTTATGTGAGCCAGAACCCCGCCAGCATTCTTCTTGGAGTAATGTAAGTGGAATAAATTGTTGAGGCCGCTCTGGTTCTTTCACCGCTTATATTCATTTCCGAAAAAAAAAGAAAAGTATAGAAGAAGAGAGAACTAGTAATCACAGTAAAAAAAGATTGGGATATGAAAAGATTTGAGACAAGAAAACTAAGCTTTTGACATTACATATCTCAACACTTTCAGCGAGAAAACAATGCAATCGGCATGAACTGCCGGCAGTACAAACATCTCAATTCAAGTCAACGGAGAACTTCGGTCCAGCACGAGGGAATTCAGCAGGATAGACAGATGGCAAATGAATGAGATGTCAAACATCAAATGGTCAATGACAGAAAAGGATAAAGTAATAGAAGGACGGCGGCACAGGGCGGTGACATGTCAACAATATTATCCAATCATTCGGACATCAGACACCGCCACAGCTTGACATCAAAATGCGCAACAATACGAAGCAGACATCCTCACCAGCGACTTAAAATGTCCTTACGTGATCACCATAAGCAACTGACCTTTAGTTATTCCACGCGATTGTGACTCTTCCGACTCTTGAGCGAAAATAACGAGACAACACTCAACTTTTCATTCCCGAGAAACAGGAGAAAAAAATAAAGACACCAGCAACAATTAAATGACTGAGATATGGAAAGATTCGATAAGAAACTAGCTTTGACATTATCAACAGCCCCATTGTGTCAAAGAGAAAGAGCATGAACTGAACAACCCAGTACCTTCCTCAGAAAGGGAGGACTTTTATAACCCAAGGACAGCAAGGGTGGCCTTGATGCCAACCTCAACACAGACATGAAGATAAACTTTGATGCTGCAAGGGACCATTCATTAGGGTGCTGACATAGCCTGGGAACGAAAAGTGTACTTACACAGCCGCAATGAGACCGCCAATGGCAGGGCAGCATGAGATGAGAACGGCAACGAGAGCCTTGAGGGCAACGTCGAGGTGGGCAATAACTTCGGCCTTGATTTCGACCCCACACTCGGTAATGGCAATGCAAATAGCCTATCCAATGCATATAAATATGCTGACAGAGACGGAACTAATCAACACAACACGTACCAAGATAATGCTAACGCAAATGTGAACACATGCAGCGAGGACAACTCCGATGTCGCACACGGAAAGGCGGATTTTAGCAAGAAGGGCAACGGCAGCATTGATATCGACAATAATGTCGGCAATGACGGCAACAGGGTCATGGACCTTGTCAGCTGTACACGGTGAAGCGAAGTGAAAATGAATGTCCCACTCATCGCGATCATTACAATACTTGACTTACTGATGAGAACAACCGCAGCCTTGACCTTGACGTCCAAATCCACGAGGATCTCCTTGACCTCACCAATAGTGCAACCTGACAGTGGCGACCTTCATAAACCAAAATCGATAAAGTTCCTCTACTACTCACCACAGCGGGGAGCAAGCTCAGCGGAGCGAGCAGCCAAGGCGGAGGTGTCAATCGGCTTCGCATAGACGAAGAGACCAAAGGAGACGAGGAAGAAGAGAATGGAGAGGACACGGGAGGAGAACATGGCGATATAAAAGAGTGGTTTGAAGAGAGTGTAGTAGTGCTGAGAAGCGTTGAGGAAGGCTGAGAGAGAGGTGGGATGAGGGAAAGGGAACCATGCTGCCTCGCCGTTTTTATACGCTGTCGTCCCCAGGTGTCCCACGGTCAAATAATAATATTAAGCCACACGAAAATCATTTTGCAGTATATAGAGCGAAATTGACCCAATTCGGGTCACCGAGAACTTGGACCCGAACGAGGAATCGAGGGTGTTAGACAGAAGCCCTCGAGTGACTCACACAATATTACTTACCAACTTAAAATAGCGTATTGCTAATATTATGGGATGACAGAGAAAGTTGACCGAAATGATGGCTTGGCTCCAATTCACGTCTAATGGTGTTTGGGTCCTTTCGAAGTCGATGTGAACCCTGTGCACGTTCTACACAACATGGTCAACGGACACGGTCAACCGGAAGACTTGGCGATTTGAATTACGTATGCGCTGCCAACGGCCGACGAAAAAACAAAAAGGGTTCTTGCACCGCACCCAAACGACTTGCAACAACAAAGCGGGCCGGAATATTCTTGATGCTGGTGAATCCCCCTTGCTCACATGCATGCACAGATCTGAAAAATCTGTGCCTTTTGCCGTCCGTGTATGTAAGTCCTCCCCAAGGCTTGGCTTCGATTGCAAGAGAAGCGTCGAAGTCCTTGCTCGCGGGCCACAAAAAAAAAGTCTGGATTGTGACATGCTCCTCCACCTCATGAGCCAACGCACAATTGATGAACGCCCACCCATTCCCGGGGCCGTCTCACGGCTGAACAAAAATGCCTCGCTGAATGGGCACAATCTGATCTCCCCCCAGCCCGTCAATATTTCAATACTTCCAGCTTCTTTCAGGGAAGCAGGGCGGATTTGGATCCATAAGCAGAGTCTTCTGATCCATGCATATAGTTGTACCCGTTCCACCAGCAAAGTACTATGCATGTCTGCAACGCGGAGTCCAACTAGCTCTGTTCGAACCACCTAGTATGAACGGGTCGAGTTACATATGTATTTCCATCAGTGTCGGTGACATTGAGGTGAGTGGTTCTGTCGCAGGGTTCATCTGCGCAAGAGAGTTGAATTTTCAAATTTGGCAGCCGCCCAATTCAGGTTCGTGAGACAGCGTTTGAACGGCGATGGAAGCATGTAAATTACAAATTTGAAGCAGCATTATGTAACGGTGTTGTTGTACGTACAATTCATCAATATTAGACACATGCCCACGAGAGAGCGAGTTCCCAGGAAACGGAACATGACAGATTACCAATGATCAAGCAAAAATTCGGTATATTCCTGCTCAATTTACAGTCAGACAGCCATCCGCAACAATCTAAAAAAAATCACTCGCCTTCAGCATTCCCAAATTATGGTACGATGCGACATTTACGACTGTACGGAGTTTACGTCTTGTCTCGACTTTTCCGTCAGTGAGTGCATAGGGGCCCGAACATTTGCAATGCGCCATCAAATTGTCTGACTTGATTTGTCCACACTTTGAACACTTCAAGTCTTGCACTTGATACAAAGTCGTCAATCGTCTGATCGAGTCGATGAGTGAAACTTCGATCGCACGGCGGTCGTATTCGCATTTGCAAACCGGACATTGCCAAAGGGGTGGCCCTCGACGGTGCCCGTCGCCCTCGATGGCCAGCAGATCAGGGTCACGGCAAAAATCCAAGTCTCGCATGTGGTTACAATGACGACAAATCACCATCGGTAGAACGAATGGGTCACACGGGTTTCGGAACTCCGCCTCCTCCGAAAATTCACGAACCCCGATGAACTGAAGAAGATTACGCTTCAACAGCCCTACTTCCAGCTTGTAATCCTGAGCCGCAGAGAAGATAGCGCAAGTGAACTTTATGAACTCGAGCGCAGGGTTGGTCATCGTCAAGTGTGATCCTGGCAGAAGGGGAAACCGGAACTCGTTCGGCAGTTGTGGTTCCAGCAGAGCCTCACGGTGTTCCTCGACAATTTCAGTTACAGCGTGCAACATCCTTCTCGTCAGAGTCCCCGCGATGAAATCTCGCGTCTCTTCATTCTCTTCCCTTTCGGCATCGTCAAGGGGTTTCAGGTTGTCGTCTTGTGTCAGTTGCTGGCGAACCTTGAGAGGTGAACGGCTCCAGACTGAATGGTTCCTGTGAATTAGATACAGCGTCTTGATGAAGTGATTGACAAAGCGGCCAAAGTACTCTTGAACGAATGGCGGCAAGAAGGACTGGATATTCCATGTTGCTTCCATAGGCACTTTCGGGGGCGGCTCCAAGGCTTCCGGGTCAATACACACGACTCCGCCTCGGTTAGCTTTGTCCAAGTAGAGCAAGTGGTCGTAGAACCGATCAGTGCGAAGGGCGACATACTTGAACAGGTCGTTACCATTGATGGCGGATGCCAGGTAATTCGCGTAAGCATATGCTGTCCCTGGTGGCTTGGATGTAACGAGAAGGAGGCTCCCGAAATCCCCATGAACAACTCTAGAGCCAAGTCTCTTGAATTCAGCTACCATTTGAAGAAAGACTTTCTTCATCAATCCATGGACGAAGCGATGAATGCCTGGATCGTACATGCATGAGCTTTTCGTGCCAATCCATCTTCCAAAATGCTCAATGATGTTTCGGGAGGCCACGCTGGTTGTCCGATCAGCATGCCAGAATCGTAACAATGCTTTCAATTCCGCAAGGATGTGAGGTGCTAACACGGTGTCACCAAATGTTGCCGAAACATTAGTTTCTCCTTTGGCGAGTTCATCCAGGGTGTGAGATGTGGAGTCAAATGCAGTCGTACCACCACTGCCTTCCAATTCGTTAACGAAGGCAGCTTGCATCACAGAATTGAACGCCAAATCCTTGACCTCGATGGACAAACACACGTTGGAATAGTTCCCGGGAACGCATATTTCAGCCCCAGAGAGCTCATCTGACTCGCCTGCCGAATCGTGTTCTCGTCCACCAAGATCCGGTTTCGGATTTGGAGACCACCATAAAAGACAATCTCTCTTCCACATCCGTCGCGCAAATTCAACGTCCGCAAAAAATAATGCCTCATCCCCAATAACGTTGCCAAGAGGAACATTATGGTAGGAGCAATGTTCATGTCTTTCCTGGATCCAAACTCCAACATGAAGGAAGCGAGTCAGCATCTTCTTGACAACGTCTGGCTGCCAGGGAAAGGCATCCAAGCTGTGGGTCCGTTTGTTTCCTGGCATCATGAAGACCGGGTGATTTATGATTCGAGGCATGCCTGATTCGAAATAGGACATTGTCTTCATCGAAGAGACAACCAGGAGGGTGGATTTATTAGCTCTCACGCCGAGTTCACGGGAGAGTGCCCTCATCGCGATAGCATCGCTAGAGTGATACGTGATCTCGAAGTCCAACTCCGGTGGATATCGAATGAAGGACCAATTACCAAGCTTTGCTTTGTAGTCCTTCAGGAGATTGGAATAGGTTTCTCTTAGACGCGAAAGCGGTTCTCTATTTTTCCCATTATCAACGATATGGATTTTGACAGTGTTATTCGGAAAGAATACTCCGAACACGTGTCGCGGGGCTGTGGTGGAATGGAAAAGGAAAATGATATTAGACGGGCGAAGCTGAGGAAGATATTTGGCAGTGCTGGATCGAGCAGAGAACATCAATTGTTGTAGGTCGAAGCCCACATCTTTGGCTCGATTGAGGCTAATGTTTGTCGTGTCGTTGGTAGTGCAGCGTGTGCCCAGTTGCAGAACGCCTCTAAGATCTGGGGAGAGCTACAGTGTCAAAAGCAGTTAGTTGATACCTGGACTATATACGGGATCCAATTCACCTGAGTCTCGTAAACTCCATCTACATTGGGATGGTTCAGCAGATTGGCAAAGTGTGACTCTGATCTGAGGTAAACATCTTCTGCGACAGTGATTCTGTACAGGTGTAGACAGGGTTGACTTCTCGGGAGCGAGCGAGTAACTGCTTCAGCCGTGTAGGAGGATTGGAATGTGAAATCGGAAGGGGCGACCTTGAAATTAATGTAGAACTGTCTGGGGATGCGAAGTGGCACGGACACAAATTCATCATCCATGGCAACCCACATAGTGAATCTGCCAGGCGTGTTTGTCACCCGAATCTGGACGATGTCCCAGGCTCGGTAAGAGCGTGTTAGCGACGTGTGGAACATTGATGGAACATTGAAGCTAATTCCATCACTCTCCCCACGAGCGCGGTATTCACGAGCAGCCTTCCATCGCGGTCTCATATACTTCAGCCACTTGGAGTAGTTAACGGAATAATCAGGAAGTGGTTCAGCGTCCGACGTCGTCTGCTGCCTGGTGACTTTCGCCACTTTTGGCTGCAATTCCGTGTTTTCCACTGAATTGCCAATATCTTCGATATCTCCGGTGCCCAAAGACCTAGAAGAGATAGGTGCAGTCGCAGGATCTTTTTTTTTGAAGAAGTCAGTGACTTTGTGCTGTTCATAATCACGATTCAGTACTCGTTTATGGAGCCAATCAGGGTGGCGTATGCGTGGAACTGGGTTCGAGACCTTTTGCATTGCGGCAGGTATTGTGATGAGCTTTTGGATAACAGAACCTAAGCGTTCGATATAGTAATCCCAGTCCAGTATGGTCCGAATGTCAAAATCTGTGAGTCTGCTGTCGTGTAGCCATTTGCGTAAATAGGACCTCTTGACATTCTCTTCGGCAGAGAAGATAGCAACAGGTACCGCACGGTCGGTCACAGGAGCACCCGCTGGTTTCGCCGAGATGATGAATTTGCAGGCAAGGCCTCTGTCTTTCACCATCTGAGAACCAAGAAATTCTGCAAGTCGCTTCGCGGTACTGATAGAGGTTGACTTCTGGCCCCCGTACTCCGCAAGTGTTTTCGACATACTACGGTTTTCTGCGATGAGGTCGACGAGTTCTTCATCGCTCAAACTCTTTCCTTTGCTGAAGAGCACGTCCAACCATTGATCCGCTACCTTCGCAACCGCAGCATAACACTCCTCCGTGGTTGACCCAAGGAGGAATTTTTCGAAGAGTTGGGTTTGAAATATCTTGATCAATTGCAGTTCTCCGCGTCGCTTCACCTCGAAACCTTTCAGCTCCGCCAAACTTCCATCTTCGTTGAACACAGCGTAGCGCTTCTTGAGGAGTTTGTCTTCCTCTTTGGAGGAGGGTAGAATCATGGCTTTGTATGGGCCATCAAGCTCGAAAAAGATGGAGTTCTCGCTATGAATGGCGTACGACTCGGTGGTTTTATCGAAAGAGTGGTACTGGTGGTTGGTAAATTGGTCATAAACTAGATGGTTGAGCATAGTGCATGGATACGAAAATGCAAGGGGCTTTCCACTTTTGACTTGGAAAGCAAAATTTTCGGGGAAGCACCCAGGCAGCATGCACCATATCCCATCTGTGTCAAGCTCCAACGGACGGCCGATCTGTTCGACCAACTGACGAGCCATCTGAATAATGCGGGCCCCAGTAAGACACGTTATCCCAGCCATCTCCATAGAATGCCAGCGAGCACCTTTCCTCATCACATAACCGTAAAAGGAGTTGAGGATACACTTGTGAGCGAGTTGGAGAGAATCCCACAACACAATCATTTTCCTGGCCTCCTCAATCTCCGTGAAAGAATTGCCTCCGAGGGCCACATCGAGCTTCTTCTTCCATTCCTTATGTAAACCCTTGTATTCATATCGGCGATCACGGAAATTGCGGACAGTGTCGATATAGAAGGGATTTTCCCGTTGGCAAATGATTGCCTCACGCTCGACAACTTTGGTGTCCTTAGTTCTGCGGTACACCTTGCGCGAGTAGTCACCCAGACGCTTGTGGAGGAGGGCAGTCTGCTCGGCTTCAGTGAGATCATCAAAACGCCGCTTTGGTCCATCAGGGTGTTTTGGTGGTAACATTTCTGAGTCCAACGCGTTCCGTACCATGTTAAATTCGTCGCGATGTGCTGGGAAGAACTCTCCGCGCCAAGCCCATGTCATTCTTCGATCGCACTGCTTTCCAGGCCGGTTGTAGTCGCAGACAGCACACATTGCTTCACTCACAACAGAGTCCGGCTGCAAGCGATTTGACAACATGATATTGGGGTACATAGCAGCCACATCGAGATGATAGATGAGGGGCTTGTCGGTACGGAGCGGATTGTCTCGAAGTTCTTCCAGTTTACTCTGGATGCTCGCTTTCACGTCATCGTAATTGGTTATGTCGGAAAGATCCTTTTTGAATTCTTGTTGTATGCAGAACTTTAATGCACGGTCCAAATCCAGGATCAACTAGAAATGAATGTACTTAGGGGGCGGGTAACTTCGGGGAAACTGGATGCAAGGGCTCACCTGGTTGACACCTTCCGGGACGATTCTGAAATGCGTAGGAATATCACTCCGAAATACACCGGCTTCAAGGGCTTCAACATGACCTCCGACGTATGTCTCAGAAGCAAGCAGATGTCCCTGATACATGATGCCAGTAGGATCTTCATGACGATTTGGCATGATGATTTTGCCGCGATAGGCCTCCACCTGCAACAATACTTGGCATGGTTTTTCTCAAAAAAATGAGTAACAGCTCACCATAAGAAGCGTTTCACAAAGGGTGCCAGATCCTTTTCTGAGGACGTCGTCCGGGTTAAGCGGGATGATGTTGCACAGGGAGAAAATGAACGGATGGACGTATTTCATATATAGATAGTACGTTGCTACGGCATCAGATACCGAATATTGAGCCAAGATCTGAGGATGCTCTGAGGCGTATCTATTATGTTTGCTCAGCGTCAGGCCAAATAGCTCACTGATGAACCAAGGCACTCACGGTGTCATGAGCTCAGGGTCTAATTCCATGGGATTATATCCTAACTTTGCAGTCGTGACAGCTTTCAAGCCCTGGCTTCCCTGCGGAAGATACGAATCACGCTTCACCCACCGGAAACAATCCATGTGAGCGCAAGCCCTGCTCTTGTACTCGTCTTCAGAGTCTTTCGCGAAACCGATCTCTGCGAACATATCCATCCCGTGAGCTTTTGCCCGAGCGTCGACGAAAGGAAAGTCGAACAAGTCTCCGTTGAATGTAGCCATAACGGTCGGCTTCGCCTCGCGAATGTGTTCAAACCAACGTCTGAGAACACCTTCCTCATCTGCCTCGTTGAATATAGTGAAAGGACCTTCATATTCGGGCTTGGGTGTGTAATCAAAGTCCTCGATATCCTCGCTGACAATGTCACGATTTGTAATGAGGAACCCTTGCCCGTCGATCATGTACGATATCATCATAACTTGATCAATAGCCTGGTCAGGGAACTTGAGTGGAGCTTTGGTGGTCTCGATATCAAACGCCATAACCACTGGTTCCGCACGCTTGACACGGTCTGTGATGCGAGACAGAGTCACTTCCCCTTGTGACGCTGTCACTGTGTACCAGTAGCCAACGCGATAGTCTAGGGGGATGATAATTATACGGTTCTAGACATCTAGACGGCGCTCGTACCATTGTCAATTGCGACTCGAAGATAGTAAGCGACATCATATTCCCGAATATCCGTAATCAGTTCGCGGGGATCAAGGTGAGTCTGCCCTCGAAGGGGCGCAGATTCGACACCACCCAGGAACCCCCCACCAAGCTGTCCTGTTGCATGCGAAGCAGCTTGGATGACCTCAGCGTAAGCATCCACTGCGCTGCGTTTCGCGCTGTTCGCCTGTGCGACTGGGAGAAGATCTTTTCGAACTGATAGAAGGTCGGAAACATTTCGAAAGTTCAGCTGCAAATATAATTGCTGGTATCCCAAAAGGTGGTTGGGCTAATCGAAGAGTGTTCAGATGTGGACACCTGGTAGGAAGTGTGTACTTACCATCTTTAAATCTTCCTTCTTCTCCCTCAGAATGCGATAGATTAAACCCTCGTATCTCTTGAGAAGCCACTCTTCCACTATGCCCTCATTCCCTTTCTACGCGGCGCACGATAAGTAACGGCGCGTTATTTAATACTCATTTCATTCTCACCTTGCACGCGATGTAGAAGTAGGGTTCATATGGAACTGTAGCTTTGAACATGCCGCCATCATCTTGTATAAAGTAATAGTCTATTCCAGCCCTGCCCCCTGGCACATCATCATCTTTAATAAGGGTCTGTATAACGTGCCGATTGTGTCAGCGCTTTCAAGTACAAACCACCAGCAGAAGGACAAACAGGGCGCATATTAATCATCCATCCGTCTCGAGGGCGTCCCTCCTGATAGCGAGAAAATCCTAATTTTTCCTCGATCCCATCTTCAATGCGGGCCAGTTCGAAACGGGCCTCGACTTTACTTCCATCGTCATCTTTAACAGCGGCAGGTGTGTTGGCGGTGGCACCTCCCCGGCCACGACCGCCGCGCCCTCGAACGCCACCAACTCTCCCACGAAAGTTCCCTCGGAAACCTCGCCCCCTGGACGCATATCCACGCGCCATTCTGCAAGATGGATTGGACGCGTCTCGTTGTGGCACGGTGCGCAAATTGCCGTGCCCAAAAAGGAAGTACAATCCTGTATTTGTGCGACCCACTTTGGATCGTTGGGCGGGGCAGCGGCTAACGATTTTTTCTTGACACAGCAGAACGGCGATGACGAGCATCATACACCCCATTTCATAGTTGGATCACAATGCATGCACCAATCCTCCTTAGTGTGCGGCAGGCGGCCACCCAATAAGGTCCAGCATTCGGTATCAATCAACAGTGATAAGGCATTGGGAAGATTCAACGGTCAAAGCGCGGGTAATGTACATTGCTTGTTGGGACATTGACACAAGGAGAAACGGCGCAATAGCAGAAAAGACGACTGACCATGCCGCAGTGGCCGCGATGGGCAATGAAGAGAACTCAAGTGGCATCGCAGACACAGGCGACCTTCTTATAACTCTGGAGTCAATCAGCGTCTTGGGCGATCGGCGTCTTGGGCGGAAGTAACCTGGACGTCGCTTGGGGTGAACTCGGCCCGAAACACACCACGGTCGGTCTGGTATTCAAATTCATAAGCTGTGGGCTCATTAGGCTGGAAACGATGAGAAATGAGTCGGTTATAACGGAAGACAGGTGCCAGGGAACTTGCAGGCCCAATCGCAAGCACGACCACGAGCCACGCGACGATCCAAAGATCATTGGATATCTTCAGTCTCACTCGGTCTCCTGGTTGAGGCTATGTGATCGCGTCGGGTGAGTGATTAACGAAAAAAGAAAAAGAAAACGGGACACACTGGCATTAGAAGGTTGTGATAAGAGGGAATTGTGAGTCTAGGGGTTCAGGAAAAATCGGTGCGGAGGCAACTTTTATGCCGCAGAGACTGAATAGATGGCATTATGTACGCCTATTTGCACCTCTGCACGCGACGAAAAGCACTCTCTACGGAAATGTACAGCAAGGGTCATTGCCTTGGTCGCCAGATGGCAGTCTAGTGATTAACACGTTGAGAGCGCTCCCGAGCGCCCAGAATATATTCAAGGACGTGCGACGTCACGCCCTGTTGCATGGGTAAGCCACAAATAATGAGGGCCTCGTCTCGGAGCTGCACCAGAATAGGCATAACCAAATCTGCAGAGACTGAAATGCATCGCGCCCGCAACACTGCAGAGCATGCTGCGTAGGATAGAACGATACAGGATTCAAACATTGACAGGAAACACGTCGGTAAGGGGATGGCAGTTCTACAGTTTGCGGAATTGGAGAGATGATGACTGGGAGATGCGTCCAAGAAAACCAGACACCTACAACCAACAAAGCTGTACGCTGTGGATCCTATTTACTGAAAAGGCATAGGGCCACGAGGGCTTGTGGCATCCCATAACGATCTGCATTCTTGAATGCCGTTACACAATGAAACACAGCCATTTGCATGTAAGGATAACTTGGTAAGGATGTTGCCTTAAATGGCAAGCACGTGGAAAGAGCTAACCGCGCGCCACAATGATAGAGTGCCCCAGCTTCCACATCTAATTTCAAGCGCAAAATTTTCTCGTTCAGTTGGGCAAAACCCCCATGGGCTAGGTCGCCGATGAGCGTGTACACCAACGGGGATGAGATACCCCTCCCCACCGCCAAAAGAGAATCCGGTGCGGACGAACGCTCGAAGCAGGAAGGACATTGATGTCTGTGACCCGCTGACATTGTCATACAGATCGGTTGACTATCTTTTTTTACAGTTCCTTTCAGCGGTCTGAAGAAAACATCGTCGCAGCAACCACGACTGCGAGCATTTTTTACCGTCCGCATCACTACCATTGACTTTTCCATCAAGACACACGACGGTTGATTCCTGATTCCCCTGAGCGATGAAACAGTACTCCAGCCCAAACACACAAGAAACTGCTTTTCAAGCATAGCCCAGCGATGGGACGGAGCATCGGCGGACTTCCCGTCCAAGCAATAAAAGTCCACAATAGGTAATTTTCAAACCATTGCAATTGGACAAACAAAGAGTTGCCCATTGCGAGTCTTGTAGTTGGACAGGAGGGGAAGCTCGATCCCAACAAAACACCAAGCATTCTCGCAGAAGACGCCACGATAGGCAACTACGCAAGTGACTGGGAGTTACCGTGCCCCAATGCGGTGATGACTCACGCCAAGTAAGCGCTCAGAGACGATTCGAGATAACAAGACCACGGTTAAAGCTCCGACAGTGGCACCACCCAAGCAGTTAATGTATGAAAGGGGTGGAAGATCGCACCCACGAATGAGCGAGGCGAACGACAGGGCCGTGATCGTGGGCGCCCGAAACCAACAATCCCAAACAGATGGATCAGCGTCGGAGTGAGTCCAAAAGTGTGGGGATGCCCGGACGTAGTACATGCCTAAAGGGCAGTCTTGCCACGTCGACATGTTTCAGGCTGTGCGCGACATCGTGCTCAACCAGCCACCATCTGAGACAGTCTCTCAGGCGTCAACAAGATCGCAGCTGGTTTTCAGGATCGAGCCGATACTGAAAGATGATGTTGGGTCTGTTAACAAGACACTTTATCTGCAGAGATTGCAGTTTTTCGGGCTTCGATGTTTTCTAACATCCCCGGTCCAGCACGTAAGAGAGCCAGCTATGGCACCCCACATGAACGGGTGCATTGTATCACTTGTGCTGCATCCACATCAGTGCGGTGGTGAAGAGCGTCAACCGTTATAGATAGTACCTATCGCTCAGTCAAAGTCGATTTGGAATCATCATGTGTGGAACAAGTTTCAGCGGAGTTTTAGCGGCCCTAAACCCCCAAGCTGACCAACAGCGCTCTAGATTAATGACATAAAAAGAGCCTAGCTGGAACCGTCGCTTTCTATATCTAGTCTCTCTGCCATTTGCCCTGATTCTTGAGAGGGCGCATCACACCCCTCGATTGGGGAATCTTTCCGGTCCCTCCACTTTTAGCAGAAGTTGAGGTAACAAACCTTGCAATTCCACGTTCGTAAGTCGAATCTTTCGCGGCTGTAGCTTACAGAAATGCACTCACCTCGCTTCCTTATCATCGCTTGTAGAATCGAGGCATTTGATTATCCCCCTTAGAAGTACAATGGCCCACCCGCGGAGTGGCTGCATTCAGAATCGTTCCGCTCAGGCTCAAGATGAGTGCCACCGCTCACCTTAGACGTAAGTTCAAGCATCTCATTCCTTTAGGTACTCCATGACTCCATCAATTAGGGTGATCCCAGTCTCTCCCCATACCGCGACAATATCGGGACGGATTTCGCCTCCTCATTAGTGCGTTTTTACGACGCGCTCTCGGAAGATACATCATCTTGTCGAAGGCAGCGCCGTCGAATGGGTAGGGCATATTGGAATCAGGAATGAAAATGCATGTCAGCAAAGACTCTATGCAGAACGATTGAGTTTATTGTAGGACGGCAGGAGTGTTCATAAATAGGCCTGTGGCTGGCTATATACTCCTCACTGGGTGCATGCACTATGAATTTCTTGGGGACATCGTCACTTGCGGCTACCCCTGGCTTGCAAGCCAACAATCCGGTCGCCTTGGCGAACGGAGAACTGTGCGTCTTCAGACGGAGAGAATTGGGGTAGTCATCGCTACAGTTGTATTGGCAGAGGCAAACCATCAAGATACAAACGGGTCCGACACACGCGGGACAGCTGAATTCAAACAAATTCCTCGCGAAAACACAAGCGCGAAATGACGGTGACAAAAACCCAAATACAAAAATTACCAAGAAAGATACGTATAACAAGACGATATGCAGAAATGGAAACAACTCTAGATCCAGGCTCGACCTGTAGGACTTGTGGGTGAGGAGATAGGCGAAGGAAGGAGGGTCGACTGAGTGACGGGTCTTCGTGAAGTCTTCGTCCGCACGTTTCCGTAGCATCGTGGTGGCCAACTTGACGGCCCAGTACTGAGTAGATCTGAAGGGTTACCTTCTTCCTGCTTCATCCCACGATCAACCTCGTCCTTCCCTTCATCATTAATTAACAGGGCGGGGATGGATATCCCCGAAGGACGTCTAGAAGGCGGATAATACGAAGAAGAGTTTTTTGAGTCTCGCGGTGTTCGTGAGGATTTAACGAAAGAGAGAAAACGCCCCTCGAGAGAAGTGGGCAGGGATGATGTCATTAGCGACGTGGTGGAGAGCAGTCGGGGACCATGCTGATGTTCAGGGGAGGAAGGACAAGGGGATGGTAGCGAGTGTGTGGAATCGGTCCCCTCTTCATCTGCTGAAGGAGAAGGACTGGCATTATCCCTCGAATGCGCGCGGGAGGATGCTTCTTCCAGGAGCTTGTTCAGTGCCATCTGACGACTGGCCGCGGCTTGCATCGCCTCTTCTGAATGACATGCTCGATCATGTCTGCGTGCGTTGCTGGAGATAGAGAACCGCTTCCCACATACATGGCATTCATAAGCTGGAATCGGACATGGTATGGGATGGCAGAGGAAGAGCGGTAGTTTAAATACGATGAAGCCGTCAGCATCGCAATGTTCCAACAATGGAAAAAACAACGCACGCTTTTCGCCGGTATGAACGCGCATATGCTGCCTGAGGGAGCTTGGCCGTTCAAATACTGTTCTGCAGGTAGGATACTCGCACGGATACCTCCGAGGCCGTGAGCCGTTGGAACCGCGCCCTGACTCCGTATCTTGTTGAGTCGGCCAATTGAATACAGGGGCCACAATAGCAGGTTTGAAACGGAACTCCTTCGTAGAGCGGCGTGGTGGACGGGGTGTACGTGGTGGTCGGAGCTGCATCGGAGGAAGAGTTGCGGAGAACAACTCTGCAGGGGTAAGATGTGTCTTGGGCTCCGCGGGTGTAGGAGACGGCTCTAGACTCTGAGGGGCAGGATGATTTGTTGGTGCATGACCATCTTCTCGCACTGGATCCCAGTAAGCACGAGAAACGGGAGGGCTAGGATTTGAGGAGCAGAGCTCAATGCGATGGCTGGGCTTTTGAAGCGATGTGGGCGATGTTAAACGAGGAGACACAGGTTCAGACTTCATACTCGACTGAGGTCCCCCAGCGACGAAGATAAAGAGGGAAAGATGACAAGCTCGAGGGTTGGAAAAGCGGAGTGGAGCCTCAGATTGTTTATATCACTCGCACAAGGAGCAGTTGGCTGATGCATCCGAGTACATTGACACTCACATTGAGGCAGCCACTCGTAAGTGGGCAGATCGGCTCAGGAAGAGATGCATCAGGAGTGCTACATACTATAGAGCGAGCACACATGCAACAGTCGCACAACGCGCAAAAGGCATTTCCCGTATAGGGAAAACGGGACTAGTGCTTGCAAGAAAGGATGCTGCCGTTCACGAGAATGGGACAATGTATATGGAGCAAGCGGGAAGCAGGTGCTCGTGGGGCCCAGCTGTATAGATTTGCCCATTCCCTCAACTTCCCAACAAACACCAACACTGTATTCAAATGGCCTCTCGGTAGGGTAGGAACACAGAAGCAGGTCGGCGATCTCGACGTTGTTAAAACAGACACACTGAGGCGTGGGAATAAATCTTCGCATTTTGCCGTATTTGAAACTGTCATTTAGGGAGCGAAGGATGGGCCAACCAGTTGTTACCATATTTTATAACCTACACGTATCCCAATCCGCCTTATCTCGGCACACAAGCACGGGATTTGCGGCCCAGCCTCGGAAAACCCTTTCTTCCCCCCTACCTAACACGGCTTTAACTCCATCAAATGCCACGTATTATCACAGCTTGGCCCAGGCGCTCAGATCGGCCATCAATGAGATAGGATTGGATCTCACGGCATGGCGTGATGCCGTTTCCAATGACGAGAGAGATAAAGAAATCGTTCTGGTGGCATCTTCTTCAGATGAAGGGGAAGACCCCGAATAATCGATAACACCTGCTCCCTTCGAAAAAGTACAAAGTGGTTAGCACTTCTCTCTGGGATCCTCCCCCGATGCCTGTTTACTGGTGTGCTACAGTTCTACGAGCGAACGTCCTGGATGGGCGCCAGTTGTCCAGCCACCAGTGATCGATCCCTGAACGCCACATGCACCCATTTGCTCTCATTCTGGAAGATCCTTTGATCGATTTATCTTCGTCCCGGATCTGGTACACCCTTACTGGCTTACTACCCATTAACTTTCCCAACACTCGTGCTCATTTCCAACGGTAGTTCTGACTCCTGTTTCCGCGATAGAGCTGTTCCATATCCACTTTGAGATTGGCGCTCTTTTTCCTATCGTGTTTTACAGTCCTAAAAACAGATTTATGGAAAACATGGATCTGTGTTCTTGACCCCAGATTCGCATTCGTTGCATGTGCTACTTGGAGGTCGCCTCGCCTGACCCCATTGCGCTGAATAGCTTTGCCATTCCCCTCCTCGGCTCAAACAAGAAAGGCGTTCGTATTCTGAATTGGACGTTTTCTCCAGCTTAAGCATACCACACCATGAATGATTTGAATTTCATTCTCATATTCCTATGTCTTGTGCTGCATGACGGGACTTGGCGACCATACGATGAAATATGGCTCGTCTTTTGTGCCCCGCGCAAGTATCATACTATTTCTCTCTGCATACCCCACTAAGGCCTGATTGGCGGGTGAGAAACCCTATCTGGGCCTTACCAATTCGCCGAGTCTCCTGGGCCTCAACGCTATTTATGTGCCTATCTCTTTTTTAGCTACGGTACCCTTCTCACCCCCATTCACAGCTTTAGGAAGTGATGTCTCCCATAGAGCGGAAGATGTTGATGAGCGAATATCATCCTGATAGGCCAGGCTTTGTATAAGCCACGTCTGCTTTCGAGGGCATTTTATCAACATTTCTGGCTCGTAAGCAGTCGTCATGTTCTCTGCCACTCAGGAGTGTTCGTCACACTCGTTTGTCGGATTGCGCTTTGGGGTTAGGGCGGTCCGTCTCCTTGACGACCGCGCCACAGTAGTGTGTGCCTTTGGTCCCACTGCACACGGTCTATTTTGTCGCCATCCTCCCACTTTTCCACTTTTGGCTTTCCCAATGTGTCGCCTCGATCGGTTAAATTATCTGCTCGTTTCCGAGGCGTGGTTGGGGTATCCGAGCCCCTCTCACCCTTAGCCTCCACTTTCTATATTCAAGCTTTTCTTTCTCAGCTTGTAGGACCCATCATCATTGCTGACTGACGTTTTGGCGACCTGAATTGCTCAGGTTTACTGGGTCAACCTCTTACTAATGGCTCGCTCAACCACAACTTGAGAATATTATGTCACTGGATGACTCAGATAATGCATTACGTGACGTTCGGGTCATTTGACTCACCTAGATACGACAACATGACAATAATTATACAGCATAATGATGAGCGGCATTCACAAGCCCGGCGCCGTGCTGATCAGTTCTTACTAAGATGCCTATCCAAGCAACTATCTCAAGTTCTACATGTCCAAAATGTATAAAGGAGTCTAAGGTTTTGGATCTTTAACATCTCCAACTCCATCCAGTTCCTCGAACCTCACTTGAAGTATCAACTACTACCAGCATGGCACCTTACAACGCCAAAACAACTGCCGAAGACGCCATCAACGAGCTCAAAGACCGAGTTATAGGGAAAAATGGTCGGTAGCCTCAATACACTTCTAAGCTGGATAACTGAGCTGGTCATAGTCGTTGTAACTGGCGTATCGCCTGGAGGACTCGGCACTGAGGTCGTTCGTACAATTGCTCCTTATGCCAAGTTGATCTATGTGACTGGTCGTAACAAGGATCGGTATGCTTCCCTCCATAGCGGGATTCCGTTCTCGAGATACGAATGATAGTCTTATCGCTTTCAATAGTATCCACGAGAGCATTGTTTCCATCAAGAAAGACGTGCCGTCGGCGAACATCATCCCGATAGTAGCCGATTTGACGTCTGTGGAGTCTATTCGTAGTGGCGCTTGGAGATCACAGAGCCTATTCATGTGGGTGCTCAAAGAATCTCGTCGGCCATAAGGCGGCGGGAACTAAAACCAGATCCTTTCGTAGATACTGATAAACAACGCTGCAACGGCACTGTTCGAGACCCTCCACCGCTCCAAAGAAGGGTTCGAGGCTCAGTTCGGAGGAAATCACCTCGGCCATTTTCTATTTACCAACCTCATCTTGCCACGTCTACGCGAGGCCGCGACACCAGAGTATCCGGCCCGTGTCGTCGTGGTCTCTAGTCTCGCCTACAGCTGGGCACAAGCTCCTGGCGGCTTTCGATGGGATGATCCTGCATTCATCAAACGACCGGAAGAATACGCCAAGTTCGAAGCTTATATGCTAAGCAAAACAGCGAACGTCCTTCATGCTCGTGGGATTGCGAGGAAGTTTGCAACGGACAACATTGTCGCGTACTCTTTGTCCCCTGGCATAGTGGAGACGAACATGAATTTATCTATTCCTTTGGATGAACAAGTGGCCTTTGGGTTTTTGAAAGAGGATGGTACCAAAGCCGAACATCCACATTGGAGGACCTTTGCTGAGGGTGTTGGAACGTAAGTCATCGTTGGCCTTTCCGGATTCTAATGTCATTTTTTTGGAATGGTTTAGTGAGGTCGTAGCCGCCTTAGATCCATCACTCCTGCCACATAGTGGGGCCTTCCTACTAGATAACCAGCCCGCCGCTGGAAAGGACGTGACTTCGGTAATAACAGATGTGCGTTCGCTTTTGGTGTTCCTGTTGAAATTTCATCTGCTGATCGGTGCCTAGGAGAATGCCGAAAGGTTGTGGCAACTCAGCGAGGAGCTCCTTGCTCCATTCTAGGGATTCTATGTCAATTTTGTAGGGTGGTCATTGCCATAAACGACTGATGAGGCGATCACCTGTGTAACCTGTAACTCATCCGGCGTAGGATAATGTAAATCGGGCGGTTTCATTCGCTATATTGGATCAAGAGGGGAATACATGGGGCACGCGCCAGAGTGTGGCACTTGTCCTGGATCATGTCTGCCCCCCGCTTCTTGAAGCCATGAAGAAATCATTCGAGGTGGCGTAAATCCAAAAGACTGAAATTGCTTATACTCTTCCATTTTCTCTGGCGATTGGTACCCACTATCACCAACCAGGGCCGCTGTTTTTCGTCGAAGCTCGGAAGCCCAGATTTGAGCGGGTTGCAACACACCTATGTGAGAAAGCGCTTTGGCAGTCATAAACACAAACGGCTACTCGTGAAGGCCAAGTCTGGTATATACACTGCGATGACTCTATGAAGGGAGACAGATTTTTTGCGAACTAAGCATACGTTAAAGTGTGGCCGACAAAACCTGCATGTTTCTCATCGTTTGGGGAAAGGATTAGGCATGGGAACGATCTTTTTGTGACCCACGGGAAGGAGCTAGCTAGTACCAACTGACCTGCCGTGGAGGTTGACTCCTTTTTGTTTGAACCAGGGCGTTGGTGAGCTACACGTTTGGGTGGGCAGGAATCAAGGGCACTGGCTTGGGAGGGGGGATCCGCCCAAATTCCGCGGAGGTCGAAGGGTGCTTCGGGGGGAAGCGACTAATATGACTTCGGAACCCCTCTGAAATTGGTGTTAACGGGACAATAGGATTTCGACAATCGTGCTTAATCTCATTACCTACAGAGGCAGCCCTATATCCGTCGAAAAATCACTCAAGAATTGGTCGTATCTTGGTCGTATAGGTGCCAAGGAGAGGAATTTTTGCTCCAGTGAATAGTGGAATCTTTCTGGAAATGCATAATTCATTGAACTCGTGCTTACCACATGGGCCTAAGCCTGGCCCGACCAATACCATATTCACGGCCCAAGAATATCGATCATCAGAGAAGATTTGTAGCTAACAAGGGATCTCGCTGGTGGAAACAGATAAGATAATCTCGTGGGGTGAAACTCCCTGTAGCCCAAACGTCAGGGCAGGTAAATTGTTTCCTACCGTTACATTAATGTTGATGGTCCGCTGCTACAGTCGATGTATATCGATGCTGACACGAGCATTCGAAAGAAAACTACTGGCGGTTAGGTCCCGAGACGTATGATGCTGAAGGAAAGGCGGAAAAGGACCAAATTATTGGGAAGCGTGCCATGCATGCCACTCCGCTCCGAAAGGAATTAGCGCATATTTAAAGGCGCCGCAATCAGTATTCGAAGAACATACGATATGTGGGAAAGCAACTGCAACAGAGCCTCATCATTAATTTCAGAAGTTACGCCACTCATAACCAATGGGACAATCATTGATATTACAGTTCGATTGTAGTTTGGCTTAAGTAAAGCGATGATAAGCAAAAGGTCCCACAATCTCAATCAGAACATCCGTGCATGTTCGCATGTTTGTCTCGTAATAGTCCACCTAATTAGAAGTGTGCTTGCGGCACTATCATGCATGGCGACATGATTAATTAGGAAAAGAAATGGATGGTCAATATCAGGGTAGGGCATATTGACACACGCATGATTTTTGAATGATGGCGGACTTAGCCCGTTGGCACGTAATTCATATGTGTGCGTGCAGGAACATCATGCATCAATGGGACGAGCGTGTATGAGGAACTGACATTTGAAGGGAAAGCAGCGAATGCTACCAGTTACACGGAATGAAATTATAGTAAAATCTGATGTCCCCGGAACAGCAAGGTGACTAAATTACGTGGATCGTCTCCGAGCAGCAAGGGCCTTTATACCCTGGCGTTGATACATAGACAAATAGACAAATAGATTCGACCAACTCATGCCTCTGGATTGAAACGGACAACTCCATACAATTCATTCGAAGCACAACTGGGCATTGCCACGAGAGCGACCATTCGGTGTTGGACGGCACTTGATTCCCCGTGCCCATCGTAGGCCTTGCAATTATAAGCTCTCTATAGAGAAGTCTAGAGAAACCAGCTTGCCCTGTGCACCGTGCAACATCAATCACCCAAAGCCGGTGTCGAGTAACAGCACTGCTGTCACCTAGCTTTTTCTAGCGCGTCACGTCACTGCCTCTTTCGCTCTACACTCTGCTTTACCTGTCTTTCCGGGATGCCCCCGTCTAACGTACAATATCATGTTGAGCCCACACCGGCAGTTTCATCCACTAATGTATTTCGAGACGAACTGTTCGTTGGCAAAGTCGTTTTCTGCACCGGGGGAAGTAGTGGAATATGCAAGGCCATTGTGGCCGCGCTGATGCGTCATGGTGCGAGCGCTTTTATCGTCGGTAGAAAGTGCGTTGAAGTTATCAGCATCTGCTGTTGCGAACCATTCTGGCGGAAATGGCTGAGACGTAGATCTTTGTTACTAGTGCTGACAAAGCTCGAATTGCTGCCTCTGAGCTGACGTGTAACAGTGGCAGGACATGCGGATACCATCCAGCAGATGTGAGGACGCCAGATAACATTAAAGAAGCTGTAAGGCGATGTATTGGGATGTTTGGAAAGATCGACTTTGTTGTGTGCGGTGAGTCCCTCCTGTCTGTCTGTCGCTAATGTGATGTGCCTTCGGACTTATCTTTTCCCACCCTCTTTAGGTGCAGCAGGGAATTTTCTCTCTACAATTGATAACCTATCAGAGAATGGTTTCAAGACCGTAATTGAAATCGACACCTTGGGCACCTTCAACACAGTAAAGGTACGTTCCTCATTCTCTGGTCCAACTCTTAATATCGATCCGCGCAGGCGACTCTTCCCTACGTAAGGGAGTCAAGAGGCGCGTACCTCCATATAAGCGCCACACTTCACTATCGTGGGACACCATACCAAGGTTGGACACTTTGATACATGCGCATCCACTTACTCACTTCGGGGAAAATATTATAGCCCACGTATCTGCGGCGAAGGCAGGAGTTGATGCCCTCTCAGCTGTCTTGGCTGTAGAAGAAGGGCCAAGGGGCGTGAGATCGAACGTGATCGCTCCGGGTCCCATTGCCGAGACTGAAGGTAACCCTCTAGGTCACAGCTGCACAACCCTAGACTTTGTACTTATTCTCCACTTCCCTCAATAGGCTACTCCCGACTTTCCACTGGATCGGAAGAGACTATCAGAGCGTCGCAGTCAAGGTATCCCTTGGGTCGTGCTGGGGACCTTAGAGACGTCAGCAATGCTGCAATCTGGCTCTTCAGCCCAGCAGCTAATTGGATCACAGGCCAAGTACTTGTTCGTATTTTGAATTTCTTTCACCAGACTCTCGTGTTATTGACGGTTACCTTCACGTTAGGCTGTAGACGGTGGAGAGTACCATGTGTAAGTATGTCATAGCTCTTGGTTTATGCAAATCCTCATGCGTCTTTCGCCCACAGAACCAGTGGCATGGTGCCCGATTACCCTCAGAACGTGTTAGACCCCGACTCCATGAAGGGATTGATAAAAAACACAAAAGGAGTTAGAAGCACCTTGGTACCTCAAGGGAGCAAGCTATAATAGTCCACGCTCTGGAATTTTTAGAGAAGTGATGCGACGATTACTGCAAGAGTGTACATGTTCCAACTTATATATAATGTATCATTGCCTTTTCTATATTGTCATCTCTTCTATATGTGGATGGTGACTTAGTATTCTCATAAGGGATCCTCCAATTCCATTTTCAGACTGTTTATCAGTTTCAAGAGAGCTGTAGAGACACTTTGGGATACACGTCTCCATTAGCCAAGTTAGCACCTCAACACATCTCCATGGCCTCTTGCGGCTGGATCGGCGGAAACTCCCAATACCAGGCAAGGCAACCTTTCTAGTTGACGTTTCCATTTGTGTCCGGGCTTCCTTGTTAGGCAAGCTACTTGACAGCCTTGATTTCGGGTGGAGAGTGTGTCCAGCGCGGCCCGCGGACCACACCTAGCCTCAGGACTTGATGCAGATGCGTAGCAGAAGTTCGCCAGCAAGTTCGGTTCAAGCTCGAGTGATCCGCCAATTCAAGCTTCAGGATACTGCCATCAATGGACATCTCCAGTACCTTGTGCTCCATTGGTCAATCAAGATGTACAGTTTCAATTGGAAATGACAAGACCTTCTTCTTCTGTCGTCTGGGATATAAGTAATTGCCATTCCCATAACTGCATAACTATTCACGCCTAGTACGAGAGCTCCTGATCACCCTTCGTTCGGATCAATTGCGGCCAAAGCCGACCCATAGGACGTTCTCAGTGATTGACAAGACTTGGTCGCATCATTGCGTCATGATGGCGCCCCCGATCCAGCTGATACACTGCGATCGGAGCACTGGGAGGATCAAGGGCTTGACGCTATTGGCACGCGTACGTTCGCTACTACGTGTCCATCTCAATGCGCTTGTGCTGCATTCATCGTTGGGATTATACCAAGGATCGTGTTGGTCAGGCTTGTGCTTCATGTTCCGTCAGGGAATTGAACGATCTTCGTTCCCTGAAAATGCACTGACACGCTGATATTCGACCATCCCCTGAACGGACATCCCATGTGCTGTGCGCATCACCTTGCGCCCCCCGCCAATTGTAAACGGCTCGGACCAGAACAATAATGTGGAATTTGGCTGCAGGCCAGATTTCACATACCATCGCACCCCTTCCATTTCCAATCTTGTGAGGAAAGGTTTTCCGAATTGTCCCTTCCTTGTGTTATTTTATCAGGATGTGGTTGGAAAGGCTTCACGGGCATCGCACACCGGCAATGAGGCGGGGGGAGTAACATGTTGGTTGTTTGGTCGTTAAAAGCCATTCAACGCCCCTCTCCAAGTATAAGATTCACCTTACTGCATTACCGTCAATACACTTTGCAATGCAGGTATGTTTATCGCTGGTGATAAGGCGGGAGGGTTACTCAACGATGCGATCCCTCATGAGCTTTCTGGTCAACGCAGGGTTCGTTCGACCCTTCATGCACTCTTCGGGTCGGTTAGTCATCGGAAATCACCAGGTGCTGAGGGCTGTAGGAGGGACCAACGACACGAGACGGGTGATGTGGCGTGGTATCTTCGCGGCAATGCTGTTGGTAGGGTGAATAGAAAGCAGTTGGGGTGCTTTCTCCCGATTGAGCTTGAAAGATTGCGATGCATCCTGAGGGTCCACAGCACAGATGGAGTAATTTATTACATCCTGTATGAAATAATCTAAGGTGGTGGCTTGGGGCGTGATGAGGACAGGATCGAGACAAACGCGCGTGAACGAGCAGCCTTCCCTGTACCAGACTCGTGCAAACGAACTAAAACACCTGATACCCGGTGGAGTATTCCGCCAAAGACTAACACGTTCTCGAGAATGCAGCAAGGGGCAGATGATGGATTCTTTGCTTGATCTGTCGCATACAATTTTTTCCCTATTCGCTCGTGGCCATTCCGTGTCCACAGCCGACTGCGGCAATGACCAATTCCTTCCTAACGGCAATACAAAGGCACTCGCATTGGTCCTTTTATCGATATTATTGAGACTCAAACTTATCGATGGACTGAAGCTTCAGACCCCGACTTGAGATCTCCTGTTCGTGGCACTTAGAAAGTTCTGCACTGGAGCATAGTCAAAGCTAGGACGGCAAAGACCCCCCTTCCTATACCAAAAGAAAGGAGGTGGTCGTTCATGTGTCCCAGTCACCAACAGGAAGACAGTAGTCATCCGAAGCAGCAGAAAACCAACCGAAACCATTCGAATACGCCGTACGCGTCTAGAAGCGTTGACATCAATCCGCCTCCCAGCATAAGGATGAGCAGCACTGCTTTCCGATCAGGCTCGTTGAGCACATGGAGGTAAGCGGATAGTTGGAATGTCATGGGGCAGTGCTCATGGGGTCCCAGATCTGAGCTTCAATGGCCCGTGTTGTTTATCGTGTTCTGGGCACAATGAGCCTACTTCTGGCTCGGTGGCTAGCTGTTCTCACTGAGTGGGGTCGCATGAGCTTGCTGGGACAGAACGCGGCGTTGTTTAAAGTCGAAAGGAAGTAAGGCTCAGCGAAGCATGCGCCGACCTAGATAGGGTCAAAGTCCCAGTAGAAAGGACACGAGTGCTCGAAGCTCAGAGGATCGGGACTGTATAAGGTCTAACTGCCCGCACTTGACGCTGCCTACAGACCGAAAATATGGATTGCGCTGCTCAGGCGAGAAGCCCCGAGTGTTACGGCGTACATGATAAGCAATGTCATCATGAAACATGGAGTGCCCTGCAGGGGACCATATCGCCTTTTTACGCTTTGGGGTGTGTTATGATGGACGAAAGGACCCACTTGCTTTTAGCCGACTCAAAAGGGAGCACTTTTAGCGCCTGCAATACCCCATCCGATAACTCTCGGGGTTCATCCGATGGCTCTCGTACGCTCCGCACCGTAGATCGAGAACAGATTTTGTATCTGCGAATGTCCGGTAGGTGGCGAAGAACGTCTCTCGGAATTTAGCCTCCAACGACTTTGCTATTTAAGGGAAGGAGGAAGTCAGTCGAAAAGCTCGGGTGTGCGATGTTTCTATGTGTTTCCTTTGTCATCGGCCTCCCGGAATGCTCTTATCAGGAGGATGTGCCTCCTGACATGAGTCTCGAAACAGGATGCCATAGTCTAGTCCCGGTGAACTGTGTTGGGCTTGTGAGTGCTGAGCTAGCTGATCCTTTCAATGCGGCTACAGCGGGTAAGCATCTTCATCAAATTGTCAACGTGAAGCCCTTGGAATTGACCTCTTCTGAATATAGGATCTGAAGTAGGGACCAGGGATGTTAGATTCAGGTAGTAAAGAACAGAGGTGGACCTGATATTAGGGATAGCGAAGTATGCGGACTAGGTTATATGCGTCCTAATGCAATCAGAAACACAGGCCTGCCTAAGAAACTTGATGTTTGGAAGTTGGCGGAAACCAAACCCAGTGTGTGTTTACGGCCATGGAGCGCTCCACAGCATCACAATACCCCTTGTTTTCCTGTATTTATTCCGAAGACCCCTGCCCTTGGATTCTGCAGGTTAAATATCCAGAATAAGATATTAGACTGAAGCAGCAACATCATCCCTGCGGACGTAGCTATGGGAAATGGCTCATCAGTCCCTAAGGTGACAGCTCAGGATCGGGCAGTACTGGAGTAAGTGAATTCCACACGTCGATGGTGTCCATGCTGACGGACACCTTTCCTACAGCTTGAAGAATCAGCGGGACAAGCTAAGGCGATATCAGAAGCAGGTCGGTGTGTACGGTTTTGTAAGCGGGATTTTAACTCGTTTCTGCGCCACCAGATCCAGCATGTGTTAGATCGAGAGCAGGCCATCGCGAAAGAAGCTCTCGCCGCCGGAAAGAAGGATCGTGCTCTCACAGCGCTAAGGAGGCGCAAATACCAGGAAGGCCTACTATCCAAAACGGATGCACAATTAGAAACTTTACAAGGCCTCGTGAGCATTGGCCAGTTCGTGTGACGATTTATCTCACCTCCGACACATCCAGGTATCATCCATTGAATTCTCGTTAGTGCAACGCGATGTATTACATGGGTTGAAGCTGGGTAACCATGTGCTCTCCGAACTTCACCGGCAAATGAAGATAGAAGATGTCGAGAAACTAATGTCCGAGACAGCGGACGGTATTGCGTATCAGAAAGTACGTGCCCGTAGACTGTCAGAGTGCCAATTGTTCCCGGACCAACAACGCATTATTAAGGAAATCAACGAACTCCTTATGAATGAAATAACAAATGAGGAAGAGGACGCCGTCCAGGAAGAATTGGCTCGATTGGAGAGAGAAGCCCTTCCCGTGAGTACACACCTGCATACTAAGAGACAGTGGCTGACCAGCATTCAAGCAACGAACCCAAACCGAAGGTATTCATCTCCCGGACGTTCCTGCGACGGAGCCGGAACGACAAACCGAGGACGCCACTGCAGGTGTGTCATCATCACCTTCCAGGACATGGTGTGTGTCAGAGAAATGGTATCTGATATCTTTGATTCAGCTTCTCCTGAGCGGGTTGCTCTTCCGGCCTGAGATGTCCTCAGATGCATTATTGTGAATCCGATATATTCGCCTTATAATAACGTCTCTTGCCTCCATTATCCCAGAACCGGGTACCATTAGATCGGTATACAACGGCGTACGGAAATATACAGCATAGTAACACATGTGTTCGGCTTTCCACCGCATCGCGTTACCAATTTTCGAAATTCCCAAAGCCAAGTTTTCGTTTCTTCTTGGGAGCATCCTCCGGGAGTGATAGAACGTCATCTGCGTCTCGCTTGGCGGCTGCCACAGGTGTTTGTGACTTGAGATACTTGCCTACACCACCGGCGCCAAGAGTGGACTCTTTGACGGATTCGGAGCCCAATTTCACTCCGAACCAGTTGACGTCGTCTCTTTCTTTTTTCGACTCCTTCCCCTCATGTTTGGTGGATACGGAGGGCAGTGAGAGGACGGATGATTTGGTGTCGAGGGAATTAGCTTGTAGTTTCCTCGCGAGACGCTCTTTATAATCCTCGAAAGGATCAGCATATCTGGGGGGATTCGCATTAGCATCAGTACAGGAACTTAAATGGGATACCCACATGACAATCTCTGTAATGGTGATTGGTTTTAGGGGCCGGTCTGTTTTTGGCTGCACAGGTAGTCCCTCAATTGCATCCAATATCTCCTCTCCCCCAACCAGCTTTCCAAACACCGTATGCTTCCCATCTAGGTGGGGTGTTGCTCGAAACGTTATGAAGAATTGCGATCTGCCGAAAGTTAGAACAGATCAATCACAGCGGAACGTCATACCCGTTCGTGTTCATTCCTTTGTTAGCCATAGAGAGCATACCCCGTTCTGAATGTTTCTCCGCCCCTTTGAGATCATATTCGTCACGGAATGGGGTTCCCCAATACGATTCGCCTCCTCGTCCCGTTCCAGTCGGATCTCCACCTTGCACCTGGTACAGCAATGTTAAAGACAGGCTCAGGTAGCATGATGGTTAAATCTCACCATGAAACCTTGAATTAGACGATGGAATGGACAATTATTGTACTTCCCTTGCCTGGCAAGCATGAGGAAATTATAGCACGTTTTCGGAGCCTGAAGCATTGGATTAAGATAGTCCCTAATAATCTTAGGAAGACTCACCTTTTCGCAGAATAACTCGAGGTTCAAACTGCCGCCCATGTTGGTAACTATTCGCACGTATGCCCGTTTTTTCGCGAGATCCTTCTCCTTCTTGACCCTCGATATTTCATCGTACATGAGCTCTTCCTTGAATCATAGGGCAGGCCAGAAAGTGCATGTAAATTCCAGGACTGCTGTGATAAGTATCGAGTGTCTCACCTCGTCAAAGAGTGCCACATCCGTCTCTGTTCGTGGCCCTACAGCTGTACTCGTGAGCGATGCCCCGGCATGGCCAGTGCTATAAGGAGAAATATTATCTGGGCGCGGGTTAGCACCACGTGAAATTGGCCGGTGACGAACGCGCACATGGCTGAGGTGCGGCAGCTTTGGACGTGGAAGGGTTAGTCATCCCTGGAGTGCTTGAAGGTGCTGGTTTCACTACAGTCGATGGTACTGTAATTTTCTATGGGGTAGTGTCAGTCTGCGGGCCCCGTTGGAGATGTATATGAGTGGCTGTCACCTTAGCTGTTGAGGATGGTTCGGATGGAGTGACAGATGAGGGGGCCCCAAAATTGTGAGGGTCCTGGAGTGTAATGATGTCTTCTCTGAGTTACGTATCAGTTGTTTGGAAAACGTGTGCGATGAAGCGTTCGATGCATACTTCTTAAAAGGTACATCAGACACAAGGTCCCTCCCAGCACTTCCAAATTGCTTCACGCTATCGGCAAGGAATACATTCCCAGTTGTAGATATAGCCACGATGTGGGAGTGCTCAGAGAGAATTTTGAAGGTGACGGGGTCATGTAGCTCGCCTCGTGCGTTACGAGCGTAATGCAAAGTGATTAGTGAGAAGGCTGGAGAGGCGTGCCAAGTGTCGGGTGCTTGTTGTCATTGTTTCTGGGGAAATCCTCAGAATGATACAGATTATGAGATTGCATGGGTGTATACTTGAGCCATGGTATTATGTGAACAAGATCAAACACTGTCCCTGTTCCGTCTGGGTTGCGCGCACAGACAGGGTGCGAGAAAGGCTGAAGCGACAATGCACAGCAGTCGAATGGAACGCGGTTCCCTGGATGAGGCGCTTCAGCTTTCCTAAATAATCGGAATAAGCGCTGCAAAGCCTCGAAAATGACGAGTGATTGCCTTCAACTTTCTGTGTCCTGATGAAGCACTGTGTTGCCCCAGAGCCCCAGAGTGCTCTGAGTGCGTGATATAGAGTTTATCATTTGCGCCGTGTCCCATGACTTCGAGGAGGGCTCCAAAGATGGTCGCTTAGGTGGTCGACAGCGCTACACGTGATCAAGACGTTTGAATTGTGCGAAAATTAGTTGACAAGCACGATGGCCTCGTCTTACACCCAGGCTGCGCTGGTCTCACAGACGACAGCAAATGCACAGGCTTCGCAGCAGCCTGCTCCTCCACCTCCTGTCACTGTTCTAGAAAAAATCCCTCCGTCTATGGCTAAGTATATGGACGTTGAAGCTGAAATCCCTGTCACAAAAGTCCAAGTCGATGGCATGGTAAGTGCGGACAACGAATAATGGTATCGGCGACCTAGCTTCAGATTAATTCTGAGTATTTAGGTTCTTATGAAGATTATAAAGCATGGCAAGGAAGCATCAGGAAATGCTGCTGGTTTACTTCTTGGCCTAGACCTTGATGGTACACTCGAAATTTCGAATTCATTCCCTCTCCCGCTTTCTTCTGAAGGAGAAGACAAGGTTCTGAGGACATCAGGTAAGAGATTTTCTTGACGTCGCAATCCCTTATCCTTACCTACTGGATATCTAGGTGGTCGTTACGAGTCCACTTTGCTGCGAATGCTCAAAGAAGCTCAATATGACGACAGCATCGTCGGATTCTATCAATCTATACCTCTGGGCGCGTTTCTGCGTCAGTCCCTCATCTCGACTCAAGCATCCCATCATGACACACTTCGGCAAGGTGGAATCGCCCTGGTACATGGTAAGATCGCTGGGTTCTCTGTGGGCGTGAGCTTAACTGGGAATTGACATCTCTTATAGACTCCGCTTTTGCATCACGAGGAAGCGCATCCTTGAAGGCCTTTCGACTTACAAAATCATTCCTCGCTGCCCACAAAGTCGGGACCTTCAATTCCCAAAGGTTAGCAAACCATCGACTCATTTGCGCTTGCGCTAATGCGATAACACTCCTCTAGCCTCATTGACCATAAGCTTACCTTTGCGAGCGTACTCGAGGAATTGCCCTTGTCAATCCGCAGTTCTCCGCTCTTGACAGCGTTCCTCTCGTCTCTTGCGTCGGAAGCATCTCAATCGGTCACCCCGTCTATTATATCGCCATCAATATCGACCAAAGCACCAAGCTTGCTCCCCAGCTTCGAACACATGGATAACCTCGCGCCAGGAACACTCGCCAAACCCATGGAAGCACTACTCGACACTCTTGACGCCTACAAAACGGAGGAAAATAATGTATCCTTTCATATTCGGCAGATTGCTCGTGAGAAAGCTCGTCAGGAAGCCTACATCGCGAAGCGAAAAGAGGAGAATGATCTCCGTATTGAGGAAGGATTGCCTCCCTTGCCTGAGGAGGATATGTCTCGTTTGTTCAAGTTCCCACCGGACCCAAATCGCCTCGAAGTGATGTTACTACTCGGGCAAGTTGATGGATATGCACGAAGTCTTGAGGATGTTAGTGCCAGTGCCATGTTAAAACTGTATGCTGCTCAGCCATAGACATGACACAACACTGTGTGCATATTTCAGCCTCTATCCTCTTGGAAAGACTGTGAGGAGGATCGCGTAAACGTCCTCTTCGGCCATCCGTAATCACTGATAAGTCGCGGGGTGCCCTCGTACTCTCGCAGTGAGCTGATCTGGGGCTCACCATCAATCATGACATGCCATTGATTGGTTAAAATGATTCGGATGAAGCTGACACATCTGCACAGTTTTTCTTTCGCATTTGTGACGCACGGACAGGGGTGCTGCAGCGCACACCTCCCACACTTGCATGCTCTCATCACTGTCTATCATGAAACTGCTGTGCGCCTTCCCAATCCCAAGGCCTGCCTCCCTAGGGTTCAACAACAATAAGTATTTCGGAAATATCGAATAAGTCCATTAAGGTGTTTTGTTCGGCGAGTATTTTGGTCTGTCCCCATTTTGAGGTCACGTCAATCACGGTTCCGGATACTCTGCCGTTCAAAAAGATGGGACCTTTGGTCTCTCCCCATCCGTCATCACACAAAGATCGAGTGTAAATTTGATCTGCAGGTTCCCGGCATCGGAATGCCACTTGTTCGATCTGAACTGGTCTCGAGAACGAGTTATTAGAATAAAGACTATGTCGCGTTAGACTCAGACTCGAATAAGAGTTCTATATTGTAAATACCTATGTCGCGTTAGACTGCGACAAGAGTTATACATGAGTTATAAAGTAAAATACTGAGAAATAGTTCTCACCTCAGACTCGAATAAGAGATCTGAGGGAGAAAAGTCTAAGAATTCCTCCCTGACATTCCTGAGTGGCAACGTTGTCGTACAAAGGGAGTTTTAAGTTGAATAAGAAAGGGCAAAACGCCCCCAACGCCTCACAGCGCCCCAGAATAATCGCTACGAATAACCGCCACACAACTTCCTGATGTAAACAAAGTTGGTGTTCTAATACGAGTGACTTAAGTTGCACGGGTAGTTTAGCGCATAAACGATCTTGGATATCGATACCATCGTAAACTGAAGTTTTCAGGTCACGGAAACCACAGGAAGCTTGCGCGGGACTTTGATGTGATACAGGTCAAGGAACAAAACCGTTATTCGGAGCGTTGTCAGATTGGTTGACGTCGCGAGGATCTGTTGAACATTTCTCCGCCATTGACTCGGAGAAAATTTATGGAGCGTTTGCGAGAGGTCAAGTATTCACTTTGGATGATGCTCTGCAATGGGGCGTTTTGAAGCCAGGGATCACTGGGCTGAAGCGACTCGGAGGAGCGAAGTTGAAACCATCTGGATATGCAGATTTTGTGACATCCGGTTCTATCCAACGATCTGCAAGGGTAAAAGGTTCACTAACCCCGAGGTCTTAAGTTCAAATTGAGTCCTTTCTCATCCATACATGTCATAGACTCGTTCGTGGACGCACAACAACAGGCGATTTCTGTCCATGTCTTGTTGCATGTTGACCTGGAGACATGCTTCTTAAGTCGTTGTAATCGCCACACTGCCAGGCCACACAAGCCTTTTACTTTAGTGGAGGCGATTACCAAACACCCATGCACGCTGAGGAGACTGGAAAACTGTCGAACTTTGACATGTCATCTTTTACTAGAGTGCTTGCGCTCCGCCGGACTCTGCACTACCTGCTTATTTCGTTTTGATCAAGCCCATGTCGCTATATTAAGAGAGAGAGGAAAGAGGAACAACGCAAAGTAGTGGGACAGAAGTGCAATTGATGCGTTTCATAGCGCAACGAACACAAGCGGAGATATTGCATGGACGGCAGGTGATCGGAATAGCGAAACAAGCTTGTATCTCGCTAGATATGGCCCACGAGTGGGAGATAAGGCAAGACCCAATACGTGCAGCGACAGGAAAGGGCTAGGGTAAATTTGTGGGACTCATGGTCGGAAACGCTGACATGTATCATGAAGGAGTTGATGAACGTGACGCAATGAATGTGTCCAGTTCCCATGCGCATATGGTATCATTTTGCAGAGAAACAGCGCGGGGAAGCTCTGGAGCAGTTTCAAATGATCCCACAAGCTGGGGGGACCAGACTTGTACCAGTCTGAGCTCGTGGCAGCGTCACGCATTGAACACAAAACGTGACCTGTTATGTATCGGCATCGGCGTGATTACATACATTGCGCAATTGAAATTGCGTGATACTAGTAAATTGCTGCGTGCGTCCACGAGTTCCCCAGATGGCTACGAGTCTGGCTTCGAGGTAAACTCCAGCGCATTTGAATTAGTCATGGTGGCCACGGCAGTCATTTGACTGCCGTGGCTGTGAGCATGTGTGACTGGTGTGAGTCACCATGCATAATTCAATTAATGCGCTGGAGTTTGTTCCAAAAGATGTCCAAGACCAACACAACAAGATCCGTCAACAAAACAGCACACCCTTTCAATAGGGCCAGTCTAGAAGCCCTTCTTAACCGTCGTTTCTTCTATGCACCAGCTTTTGAGATTTATGGAGGTCTGTGGATTGTCTTAATAACACCCATTTGAAAAAGCAACATTGTGCAACGGCGCTTTTTCATAGGCATCGCTGGGCTGTATGACTATGGCCCGCCCGGATCGAGTCTTCAGGCAAACATTATCGCTGAATGGCGGCGGCATTTTATCATCCAGGAACATATGCTTGAACTTGATACTACGATCTTGACCCCTTCGCCTGTCTTCGAGACTTCAGGACACGTAGCTCGTTTTGCTGATTGGATGGTGAAGGACACCAAGATAGGAGAAGTTTTGCGGGCCGATCATCTTGTTGAAGGTGTCCTCGAGGCCAGACTGAAGGGTGATAAGGAAGCGCGTGGAGCGTTGCAAGAGGCTTCCGCCGTGAATGACAAGGACAAGAAAAAGAAGAAAACGGTCAAGAGTACGGCGGTTAAGCTTGATGATGCTGTCATTGCCGAATACGAGAACGTGCTGGCACAGGTGTGCTTGTTTTCTTCAACTATGGACTTCACGCAGTTCAGGAGCGCTGAATATCGTACGCATAGATCGATAACTATACTGGCCCTGAGTTGGGACAGCTATTACGAAAATACAATATCACCAACCCCACCACTGGTAATGAAGTTGACGAACCTGTCCAGTTCAACCTCATGTTCGATTCCTCGATCGGTCCTACCGGGAAACAAAAAGGATACCTTCGTCCTGAAACCGCGCAGGGCCACTTCCTCAACTTCTCCCGGCTTCTCGACTTCAATAACAATAAACTCCCCTTTGCCTCAGCCCAAATTGGGCGGTCGTTCCGTAATGAAATTTCCCCCCGAGCGGGCCTCATTCGAGTCCGGGAGTTCACGATGGCCGAGATTGAACATTATGTTGATCCGCTTGACAAGTCACACGAGCGGTTCGATGAGGCAAAGGATATAAAGTTGAGGTTCCTACCTAGAGATGTCCAAAGTCGGGGTAAGACGGACCTTATAGAGATGAGTGTCGGTGAAGCAGTCGAGAAGAAGATCGTGGACAATCAAACGTTAGGGTATTTCCTTGCAAGGGTGTACCTCTATCTTTCGAGGATTGGGATTGACCCCGCCAGACTTCGGTTCAGACAACATATGGAGAACGAGATGGCCCATTATGCAAGTGACTGTTGGGATGCAGAGATTTTCACGAGTTATGGGTGGATCGAATGTGTTGGGTGTGCAGATCGATCGGCGTATGACCTGACGGTGCATGCGAAGAAGACTGGCGCACCGCTTGTGGCCCGTGTAGCACTGCCGGAACCTGTCATTACGGAGAGGGAAGTTGCCACATTCGATAAGAAGATTCTTGGTAAGACGTTCCAGAAGGACGGGGAAGCATTGCGAGTCCACGTCACTGAGCTGCCGAACGATGAACTGGAGATCATTAAGGATGCTTTGAAGACGAATGGGTGAGTCATTTCTCTTCATCCCAATGATCGAGTTGACTAAATCCTGGTGATTCAGCTCATACCCTGTGACTCTTCCCGATGGACGTCAGTTCAGTCTCACGTCAGAGCTTGTCACCATTGAGCGGAGGCAGCTCAAACAGTCAAGTAAGCAACTGCTAGAGTACATCAGTCCATTTACTGACATTTGTCCGATCGCTCCAAGTTCGCGAGTTCACTCCGAATGTTATCGAACCCTCTTTCGGCATTGGTCGCATCCTATACGCCTTGCTAGAGCACAGTTATTGGGCTCGCGAACAAGACATTCAGCGAGGCGTACTTTCTCTTCCCGCTGTGGTGGCGCCAACAAAAGTACTGGTCGTTCCACTCAGTGCGAACGAGAAGCTCGCCCCGGCCGTGGCGGAGATATGTAAGTTGACCTCTCATATGAGATTAACGTCGAGGCATGGCGTAAATTGATATCCCTCCCTCCAAATTTAGCGAGCAAGCTGCGGAAAGCTGGAGTCTTCTCGCGCGTTGATGACTCTACTGCTTCCATTGGAAAGCGATATTCGCGCAATGACGAGTTGGGAACGCCATATGGTATCACGATCGATTTTGCCAGTAGGGAACACTGTCCTTTTTCGCTTCTCGCTGCTGAAAATCGCCCCTTATTTCCCAGCTGTCTCGAATGGGACTGTCACCCTTCGGTAAGCTTCTCTCTTCGGTTCTGTGTCTTCATAATATAATCTATCTTGACCTAACAGCGAACGTGACACCACCGACCAGCTTATTGGGAAGATTGACGAAGTTACTGCGGTTGTGACAGAGCTGGTGGAGGGATCGCTTGATTGGGAGGGTGCGTGCCAACGACTTCCTGCGTATGATGGCGTGCAGGCTATCGATTGACGTTACGTCGAGTGCTCATGGTGCGGCTGGTTGTGGAGTTTCCACAACTTTCATCTCGGCGGTGGGGTAGATTTAGTGTAGAATTCTGCGTTGTGTGGTAAGGCTGCACTGTATGTGCTGTACTTCTGCAATTCAATTATATGTGCCACGATGGATCATATGTATTGATCACCGGGATGGGCACGCCAAGCACCGGGGAAAACGATTTGCGAGCTCCCCCTGCCTAACGCTTACACCTTGGGCCACCCCTGTGTAACGCCCCATATTACCTGCTGATTTCTTTTTTGATGGGTCACTAGTGGACTGGTGGTTTCTAAAGAAGCACAAATTGCCCTGGTCTCGAGTGTATCATACTGGCAGATCCGTGGGTTTCACGACATTGGATCACTCGATGTCTCCAATGATCGTTGATCCTTATATCGGTCAGCAGCAGCCGTGTTTGTCGTAGAAATTAGTGGAGCTTGACAACTAACCAACCACTCGAATAGCTGCCCGTTGACTCAGGTGAGCGTGGTGCTTATTTGCTCCAGGCCCTTTCGTTGAAATTTCCCGACAGCCAGCGGGTCTCCTTCGGATGCCCCTATCTAGCTATCTGGGGGAGCTATTCATGGCGTGCAAGTCTACACCAGTATTTCTGGAGATGCTCTCCGTTTTGTGGCTCTCTAGATGCGTTCAACGATTTTACGTCCGAAAAATGGTGTCGACAAACTCATCAAATGAGAATCGCTGCATTACCATTCTGGTCTCGTCATCCATTCCTCCTGCTCTCTATTTATGCAATGCAAGTCATAGACAATGACGCTGCCAGAAGAGCCGATCAACGTCTATGTGTGAAAGACATGGGGCGTTGTTACAAACGATAGGGTGGAATCTACACGCGTTTACAAATTGTACGGCCGGGAGGAGTCAACTACGGTGCCATCGAAATCCATCTAAAGGGTGTCATGAAAAGTAGTTCGGGCTTGGAGATCGCGGTGTCATAACGAGAGCCAGCAGTGGCGGAGGTGGTTTTCAAGACCATCACAGAGCCATATCATTTGAATCGACTGATCTTGATAATGTGAAAGGGGTATAGTTGCTATCCTGGCTCGAGGAGCCCCCAAGCTGGACATAATCTCCATATATAATGTGACAAGCGCCTGGTTTGCAGTTGTGTGTACACCGGTACCGTTGTAGCAGACAATTCTGGACACCTGACCAGCGTATCTGATCGGCCAGACATCTCAGGTTCGCAAAGCAGGGGGTATGGGATCGTATTAAAATAATGAACTAGTCGCATATAAGCGCTCAGTTCCAAAGACGTGAACTAATGTTATCGATCATTACCGAGTCACGTATTAGCGCTAGGAGAGGAAAGAAAAAAATCGCGCGAGGTGGCTTTTAAGCCATCCTCGACTGCATCCATCAACTTGGATGCCAAAAGTAGAAGCATCGGACAATCCTTCATGGAAATGTCCGTGCGCAAGATCTATAGTCCGTGGGACATAGTCGAGTAGTCCACAGCGTACAACAAACCAAGAAACAAGAGATTTCAACACATCGGAGTCACACTTCGCGAAATTTCCGCTACTTGGTGGTGGGTCCTGCAATCCAGATTGAATGCATCTGATGACAGTCTTCAATTCTGCATAACCCAGGATTCTCCAATCACTAACCAATAATTTCACTTGTGCTTGAGCACTCTCATCTCTTCCCCTTCACTTGTGTCGCATATTTGTGAGTCGAAATCCATGACGATGAGTATGGATGGGTGTACAATCACCGCATGCCATACATTCATCTCATCACACAATGTTCAAGGTGGTCTGCGCACCATTAACCAAAGCATGTAAAAAAATCAGTCTCGTGGAAGCGTTCGAATGTACGTCCCAATTTTGTGCCAATTCGTCACTGAGTGCATGCTAGATAGAGCCCACAACGTCCACAGAAGGCAAGTTCTGCTACCGAAGCTGCTGCCCATCCTACCATACTGTCGCGTCCACACTGGCCATTTTCGACGAGCTACTTGTTCCAACTACCATCGCTTAAAGCGGGCCCGGAATACCCCACTCACTACCCAGTTGTCCGGAAGACTTCCTTCCTCATGTAAGTTCTCATGTGTAAGACCGGCTTATAGGGCCTTTGCGCTCATATTTTTTTGGATTCGACAGGTGCATTTTAGTGACATGCATTTTGAGCACATGTGACTGTACATTTCTCAGCACTGGTTCCTTTCAATAGCAACTGTCCCTAGCATTTTCGTCAGGGTATTTGTAGTTCGCACATTCATATCATGTGTTAATCTGACATTCCTACAGCACGATGACTGTCGCCATAATCTTGGGTCGTCGAATTGACCTCCCAACTTCCGTATTCCTTCACGGTCTCGCCTTAGCATTTTATGGACTCTACTTGACCTTCTACCCCACTTCCACACCCTCACGAGCCAATGACCGCTCTGCCATGATGGGCATCGCAGTGACGTGTTTAGGCCTCGGTTACCTCGGGACGGCGTACATGCCTCAGGAGCAGAACGCTTTCCTTTACGCAAGCGTTCCCGTTCGTGTGGGCGTAGCCATACTCTCTGGGCTCAAGCTTTTGTTGTATGGGAATACCTTAGGCACTGCTGGGAAGAGGGATTTTCTTGCGGTTCTCATATACGATGGAATTGGAGGGTTGATTCTGGGATGGAATCTCGGCACCTGGAGTGGTATCGCTCCCGCTTACCGGTGACTTTGTGGCGGATGGGTTTGTATCAATACGTGTTATGTGTTATGCGTATCCAGAGCATGTCAAAAAGCAAGAAAAGATAGAACATAGCTATGTATTGCATGGACAAAATAAACGTTGAAATCGAGAAATTCCCCGAAGAGGCTAACGCTCGAGTTCTTTTCTTATTCGTTCCTTCACATCCCGCAAAGAGAACCCACTGGACCTACTTCCTCCTAGCGTCATCCTTCCTGGGCTTCCCTGATTAGCGGCAGCAGCACTCCTCTTCAGTTCTTCTTCATCATCCCACTTTGACGACGGCGAGAGTGGGGCCACTATTCCACCTGCAGTTACTTGAAGCCATTCTTCTTTATCAATTACCACGGATTTGAGGAAGTCGGGACAAAGAGAGGCAAGTGTCCTAAGGGCTTCAGCGGCCTCGGCTGCCGAACAGAGGTAAGCAATGAGGCAATAGTGTCCAGCAAGTCCAGGATGAATGAAAGCCATGAGAAATACCTGTGGACATCGGAGTACGAGAACTTTTGATAACTACGGAAAGAACCTCATTGAATGGGATGGCTCTCCGCCGCCGAGTTGGAGGGGTAGGGTTTGATGAAGGGCTCTGGGAGGGTGCTTGGAAAAGCCTGCACAGAAAGGTCTTCGTAAAGGATGACATAACAGAAATGACATGAACCAACATCCAAACTGAGTCTGCAACACTGTTGAGACGTCCGAGTACCAATCGTCGCTTCAGCTCCTCTGGAGTAATTGTCCGCGTTGTCTCCACGCCACTGAAAGAGTCCCTCGTCTTGATCACAACGGATCCTTTACTTGGAGTGTTGAGAGACTTTCGTCGAATTCGCTCAGACAATGCGGCGCGTCTCGAAGTTGTGGGTGTTTCAGGTATTTCGGAAGATTGCTTATCTGTGGGAGTCTGGGGACGCGGCACCAGGGCTGGAGCAGGTATTGGAGGTTTCTTAAGCAAATCAGACCTAGCAGGAGCAGGCGGCTTCTTTACTGAGGGACTGGGGGTTGGGAAGGGAATGGATGATGGAGGCAAACTTAATTGCTTAGCAGATGCTGGGGTTCGCGAAGAGGTATTTTTCGGAGGAGAGAGAAGCAAGGTGCGCGTCAACGAGGACATGTTGCTCGAGGTAATATTGGCCAATGGAGGGAGACCAGCAAATGGTATATTTGGTATGGCGGATGGCGTTGGTGAAGAGGCCCTTGACGATTCGCGTTCTCTCACCCGCTCGCAAACATGGAGCTAGCCAATGACGGGGGTTTTAGAGTGATTCAGTGCATGCTCTGAGGGTGAATCATACCTCGGTCCACTTCGCGAGCTTGTCAGTCAATGCAGCGCGCCGTTCTTCTGATCCGGCCGTCCATCGTGCAATACTAGCCATTCCCCCTTTCCGGTCAGTGGAGGACTCCACCTCGATGCCAATGCCATAGGCTGGTACGCGCTTCCCGTGGGTACGCGAAAGATGCGTGGTGGGTGTGAGGACCAGCCCCAATCCACCACGGATCCACTCAGCCGACGGAACAAGGAAAGGGTTGTCATCGTCGCTTCTGGATATGGCAGCATTATGAGAAAACGATTCCGGCTTCGTTATCCCATCCCACTCCCATAACCAGACGAGACGAGAGAGATCTTCAACACTCAATCGTTTGCCCATACCGACGCTTTGGAGAGATATATGATTCACCACATTTGGAATGGCACTCGAGTTTTCCTTTGAGCTTAAGCTCCTGCTGGAGTTACTTAGGCCCATTGAAGATGTGGCGAGTGCGATCGAGATTGCTTGTTCAATGGAACTATGCAGAGACAGTAGGCGGGAAAGATGGGAAGGAAATGACTTTATGTCATTTCGCTGAAATTTGGTTGTCGGTGGCGGGGTCAACGGTCTATAAATAAGGTGGTTTGAGTGCAGCGGCATCTCTGAACAACAATGTGCACTTACGCTGAACGTAATTTCTTGGGTGTAATGACCGAATCATCCTCGTCAATATACAGCCGTTTCTTCTTCGGGGTTGCAAACGCGTCCATGCGCGATTGTTGCCGAGGAATATCAGAAGAGGGACAGTTGAACGCAGCCTCAACAACCAGTTGGCTTCAGAGGGTGTTGTTGACAGTTGTTGATATCGGGGCCGGCTCCTGCTTTGGGGACGCGTCACCTTGAATCCCACTTAACTATTCTTCCCACCTTTGACCATCACTCCGCGTTAGCCACAAAGAGCATGGTGCCTCGCACCCAAACCTCTGCGGCGGGAGTACTCGCTCTTCTCAGTGAACAGGAACCATTGCTGCAGCAACATGCCCTCAAGCAACTGAACATACTTGTGCCTCAATTTTGGGCCGAAATCTCGGAGTCAGTCTCTGTCATAGAGGCATTGTTTGAGAGCAGAGAACTGTCAAAAGATGCTCGGGATTTAGCTGCCCTAATTGCCAGCAAAGTTTACTACTATTTAGGCGAATACGACGAAGCACTGTCATTCGCTCTAGGCGCCGGGAATGCTTTCGAAACAGAGAGGGACGTCGAAAGTTCGGAGGAATACGTAGAAACAATTGTGTCCAAAGCAATTGACCGCTACATTGATATTCGGGCATCAGAGGAGTCAGGCGCAACCTATGTCAAAATTGACCCTCGGTTAGCCGGCATCATCGAGGGTATTTTCAACAAGTGCATTGAGGATGGTGAACACAAGCAGGCGAGTCATTCCTTCTTTCCTCATTTTTCATCGTCTGGAACGCGTCATTGCCTTGGATTCACAGGCTTTGGGTATTGCGCTCGAAAGCTCCAGACTTGACATAATCACTCAAATTTACGAACTAACAAGAGACACGGATATTCTATCGTATATAATGGAGGCGGTACTTGATACAGGTTTCACTTTGGCGTTTCGTGATAAGGTGCCAAGATATTCTTGCCATTCTGAACATTGCAAGGTCCGGCTTACCTCCCCGGTTCACAGGTGTTACATCATATTCTTCCCTTATTTCCTCCTCTCGCTCCAAAAGCGCGCCATATCCACACTTTGACCCGAATTCATGTCGCGTTGTCTTCACCTCCCCTGACTATCCCTCTCTTAAGCGGCCTCGTGGAAGAAGGTCTGAATGGTGACAAAGATCAGCTTGCCGTTGCCTACCAGATTGCGTTTGACCTCGTGGAGGGAGCGACGCAGGACTTCCTGGAAGCTGTCCGATCTGGCTTCCCGGAGCTAGCCCCGACCGAAGAGGGTTCCGCACCAATAAAAACACCCCGAAGCGACGCCACCGAACGATTACGCACGATTCTATCCGGAGAGACAAGCATCCTTTTCTATTCCGACTTCTTCGAACGCAACAACCACGGCGACCTTCTGGTTCTGAAAGATACCAAGGACTCTTTAGATGCGCGCTCATCTATCTTTCATTCCGCACTCACCTTTTCGAACGCTTTCATGCATGCTGGGACAAATTCGGATGAGTTTCTGCGGAATAATTTAGACTGGCTCGGTCGTGCATCAAATTGGTCTAAATTCAGTGCGACCGCTGCTCTTGGGGTCATACATAAGGGGAACATTCGGAGCGGCATGGAGCTCCTACGCCCATATCTACCGCAACCAGATGGATCATCGCAACCAGGCGGTAGCCAATGGTCAGAGGGTGGTGCTCTTTATGGATTGGGTCTTATACATGCTGGCCGGGGGAAAGAAATACTCGGCCAGCTTCGCGGTATTTTGCGGGGCACTTCGAACGAAGTTGTTCAACACGGTGCAGCTTTAGGTGTTGGTGTTGCAGGCATCGCAGGCCAGGATCGAGGTGAGTTCTAACCTCGATCACACTTGCCGACAGCATTGACGGATCATTTCAGAGGCGTATGATGATTTAAAGCAGGCTTTGTACACGGATAGTGCAATAGCAGGGGAAGCTGCTGGCTACTCTATGGGGTTGGTTATGCTCGGGTCTGGGTCCGTCGAAATAATCGATGAGATGTGGCAGTATGCACACGAAACACAACATGAGAAAATCATTCGTGGTTTGGCCATCGGTATTGCCTTCATTTGCTACGGGAAGCAGGAGCAAGCCGACTCTACGATCGAGAAACTTCTAACCGAGAAGGTTCGGTTGAAAAAGACTTGAGAGTAGCCATGAGCTCTAACTTTATTACTTCGCTTAGGATCCAATTCTTCGCTACGGAGGAGCATACACTCTCGCATTAGCGTATGCTGGGACTTCAGACAATGGCGCTGTTCAGAAGCTGCTGCACATTGCAGTTTCGGATACTTCGGATGATGTCCGGCGAGCTGCTGTGACTTCTCTCGCCTTCCTCCTTTTCAAAAACCCTAATCAGGTTCCGCGGATGGTTCAACTTCTCAGTGAAAGTTACAATCCACATGTTCGATGCGGTGCTACCTTGGCTCTCGGTATCTCATGTGCTGGTACTGGATCCCAGGTTCGTCTGGAATACAAGAATATCATGTTTTCTTTTGTTTATATTCCCCTTAGGATGCAATTGATCTATTAGAACCGATGACGAAGGATCCAGTTGACTTCGTTCGTCAGGGTGCATTTGTATCCCTCGCTATGATTCTCGTCCAACAGTCCGATGCATCACCCTCCCTAACGTCTACTCGTACCCTTTTTACGAAAATCGTCTCAGATAAGCACGAGGATCCTATGGCCCGCTTTGGTGCTGCCCTGGCCCAGGGATTGATCGGTGCAGGTGGACGAAACGCTACCATCAGCTTGCTCAGTCGTGCGGGAAGCAAGAATATGAACGCGATCGTGGGAATGACATTGTTCACCCAGTTCTGGTATTGGTACCCGTTAGCGCATTGTGCATGTCTTGCATTTGTTCCTACCGCGATCATTGGTGTTACAGATGAGTTGAGAGTGAGTACTTCGCATCCAACCTATTTAAACGCAACCTCATTGCTATTCTTAGACTCCCGTGTTCAGTTTTATTTCCGACGCGAAGCCAAGCCTGTTTGCCTATCCATCTATCACCAAACCCACTGCAGAAAAGCCCATTGAGAAGGTAGCGACTGCTGTTTTGTCGACTACGGCAAGGGTGAAAGCTCGCGAGAGAATCAAGGAGAAAAAGCAAGCAGAAGCTATGGAGACTGTGAGTCTCCCTTGTCTTCATTATGTCACTGGTGCTCATATTTCCCCCAGGATAAGCCAGCAGAAAAGGCAATGGAGGATGTGGACATGAAGGATGAATCATCGTCCATTACATCCACCGCTGTCCCTGCTTCTGGTAGCGTGACTACAGTCGCCGCATCGACCGCAGGAAGTGACGATGCTGGAACATTGGGTGCTTCCACGTCGGATAATGTGCCCTCCGCTTCATCGTCAAAACGTGAGAAGAAGCCAGCGGAACCGACTTCCGAAGTTCTGCAGAACCTCTCCCGTGTGACGCTCGCCCAGCTTGCATACATCGTCTTTCCACCCGAGAACCGCTTCCAGCCTGTCCGCGCTGTTGCATCCAGTCGCACTGTCTCTTCTCCAACTGGCAAGAAAGTCGATCGATACGCTGGCGGAGGCGGAATCCTTGTGCTTGTGGACTCGAAGCCTGAAGGTGAACCTGAGTGGGTGCTTTCGCTTGCTGAGCAAGCAGCAGCAGCCGCTGCTCCACCACAGGCTACTCCTCCGGCTTCTCAACTGGGCGCTGCATCAGCGCCAGCCCCTGCTTCAGGTTCGCATGGTGAACCTGCATTAGCAGCAGCACCATCCTCGGTGACTGACGATGAGCCAGTCCCGGATCCGCCAGCTTCGTTCGAGGTAAGAGAAGCTCCACCTAATGAGACTGGACGGTATCCATCGCTGAGTTTACTTGCTTTCTTCAGTACCCTTTCGATCACGATTCTTGATACCTGTGCATGGCTTTGTTGGCTCGCCCTAGTGTATTTAGCTCGCGAAAACTAATTTTTATTTCACCTCTTCTCAACAAGTCTTACGGCGCTGTTCATTTATATTGTGATGGAAGGTTGAGCGACAAAGAATCGGACGTTTCTGTGATAAACTCCTGAATTACTCGTCCTTCTCAAAATTCCTGTTAGCCTGTTGTGTGGTTAGTCCAAAACTCGCCACTTCTTTCACTCGAGCAAGACAGGTACAAACCTCGGGATTGAAGAATAGGCTGTTGTTACCCCAGGGGAAAGGTTTGGCACGCTTTCCAAGCCATGCGTAGTCGGGCTTAGGAATCTCACCACCGAGTTCAGCCTTGACATGCTCCATATGTTCATGATGCTCGTCTTCCACCTGCTTCACATAAAGCGCCAAAAGAAACACTGGGAACACGAAATATAAGTCAGATGGTAGGCAATCATACAAAAAATCAATCAAAGTACGCCTACCCCCTGGGACACAGGCAAAGAAGCTGTAACATCGAACCGCCAATCAGCGATAATGAGGTCAATGGACAAGTATCAGGCGTGAGATTTGTATGCGGGGGAGCTCCGAGGTTTGTACGCACCTAATTCGGCGCCATAACTCAGAAGTCTCTATGTCGGAGGATACCAGGGACGTCAGAAACGCTTCCAACATATGGAAAGTACGGTAGGCGGATGACCTAACCCCATAAAGCAAACTAACCATTGGCGTGAGTCTTGATTGCTTGTCGTTGGGCAATCCATTCCTCCCCTGTCGGAACATAGCCTGCTGGCTTCTCGGCTGCATGAGAAGCATACTTCCGGGTGATTAATACGCGAGAGGAGCGCATGGCCCTCGGTAGAGCTCTTGCGACCGACATATCGTCAGTGTGGTGTTGTGAAAGTTGACCGGTCTTCACCGTTGGATCACGTGTCATGTCTTCAACAACAACCGAACTGGATAAAGTGCTTGGCTTCTGGTTTGAAACGTATTGCAGCCTTCTGTGATATCTTTGTTCTCTTCTACTGTATCAGACCCTCTTGCGATGTTCTCTGTCACCCGAGAAGGAGCATACAAAAGGTATTTGGCACTAGAAATATAGACGGAAAACTCTACCAGTCACGGTGTTGCATTTCCAATCACCAACTCTATCATCCACGTCTGTACGCTCTCCACCCCATGGTTTGGCTCAGTACCTTCTACGCCAACTGAAAGAGGACCCCTTCCTACAGCTCTTGCTTCCGTCCTGATATATGCGAACTGTCGATTGCGCCGTCTTTGGTTCAGCAGCGTCAGGGAGATTGAGGAGGACCGCAGTGCATTCGAATTCGAATTAAACTCCCGGATGTTTAGGACCCATAATCCTGAACATCGGGATCCTGGAAGACAAGTCCGACGCCTTCGCAAAGCTTTGTTATACTCATGTCAACGAAGTTGCAGCGATCATAAGGTCCTCCTACTCATTGCAATTCTCATCCAAAATCAGGACTTTGGGACCGACGATCTCGGTGTTCTGGTAATCGTTAAAATAAAGTGACCACTTCTTGACTTGCTTCATTCGACAGAATGAGGTCCTCCTTGGTGATCTCCCCCACAAATGATGACACAGTTATCGTTTTTGGGCTCAGCCTCCGAGTCCACTCCTTTAATAACGCCAATCACCTGACGATAAGTTGGTAGACATCTCTCGTCGACCTTCCAAGCTTCTTGTGATCCTCGGGCTGAACCGAATTTCCAAAGTAATTTTCCGTGCAATTGGCGGAAATGAGCGCGAAGGTCCGATATGGGGCGCGAAGTGTCCGTCTGGGATATGTTCCGACAGCCGCTTCATCGCCGAAGAAAATCACGTTTTTCATACGTTTGGATGCTAGCACATCACACTCACTGTCTGAGTTGTGGGGATAGGCGTTGAACCCACAATCCTCACAACCAATTCTGTCGGCGTGATGTGCATTGCACCACACTTAGGATTGATTACACCTAAATTTATGCGCGGTGCTGCCCCAGCCAGGAACGAGTGTCGCAATTTTCGGAGCCCTACCAGCTGCATACTCTCTAGTGGTGTGGCGAGTGATAAATGCGCGTAGTTTCATCCTACAAAGCGTTGGGGTACATTTACATTTGTGAACTTGAACGCATCACACAGCTGACTTGTGCGATTGTTTTACAGCCCCATCCCGCCAAAACCTCCGCCAAAACCACCTCCCAGGCCACCGCCCAAACCAGCACCTCCGTGGCCTCCAGTCAGCATTTTGAAAGCGCTGTGCACCATGTGACTCCTGGCCTTATTTCTTTGCCATTTCTGAATTTGGTGCTGTCGCATGCCAAACGCCGTTGTTTGCTGCCAACTCTGAAAAGCACTCCGACTCTGCCAGTGCCATTGACTTGGAACTGCCGATGGGGGGATTGGCCCTGGGAATGGCTGATTCGTCGCTGGATCGTGGAGTCCCCATCTCGTGATGCTGTTGTTCACCTTCTATGGGTACAAAGGTCTTTCAGCTCGTACGTTGCGCTGCCTTATAGGGGTAACTTACCTGAAGACACATTGCTGGGTTGACCTTGAAACCTGAAATCACGGAATACAGAAACCCCTGCCTGTCTAGTCGCGGCCTCGGGCCCTTGGAAGTCTTTTTTGACTACATGCGTTAGGTCATGGTCCCTGGTTTCCCCACTAGAATCCTACCTCGACTGTGTGAAATGGGATCCCAAGGGTGGAGTATAGGGAAGCCATTGCGTATTGCGCAATATAACGATTCTGATAACCCAAAAGGCAAGTATAAGCAGTGCGTGCGATAGGAATTTGGATTATGTAACTTGTGTACCTGTTCAGGAGAGATCGGAATGGTGCCCATCGTTTGCGACCACCATAAGTTCTTCTCAGGCTCGATCCAACCCGAATTCTTATTTGGGCTATCGGCGTTTCTGTCAAGATAGAAGAAGATCGCATCGGTCAAACGGCAGAACTGCTCGCTGGGGTACCAGCCGTCGTCTAAAAGCCTGCGACCCTTTCAGCTGAGCCAAGGCAGGGCCGATCGTCGGTGTGCGGATACTCACGTTCCATATAAGTCAGCCGCTGGTGCGTAGTTGAACTGGACTGGGGTATACCCGTTGGCATAGGACGATGCACCTGTATTCATCACCTTCACTTGCAGATGGAATGGAGGAAAACACCGCACGATGGAGTAGGGCTATTAATGATCCTTTTTTTTATTACATAAGCGGCTTCAAGGCACGTTTATATGGAAGCAGGCACGCGAACTGCCAAGGCGATGACAAAGTGATAATCACAATTGCCAAATACAGCTTGTTGGGGTGCGGAGAAGGCTTTTGTTGCAGGCTGCTAATTTCAGAGCTAGAGCAACATGCGATGTAATATTTATGATGGACCAGCCTTCCTAACTATCACGCCGAAACTAGGACCTATGCTTCAGTCGGCAAGCTGTCCCATTCTATCACTAGAGTCTATGTATTTCCGAAAATACGCCTCAAAACCACAGCAGCCGGCCTGACGACGAGCGCAGGGTCATCCCCATCCCACATCCCTTTCGCGACCCACATATCTGCCCACCATCTCCCTGTGTGCAATAACCACATGAATGCAAACACTCTTCGCAACCCTGGTACCCTCTTTCGAAGTACTAACGCATCGAAGATGATTCCAATTGGTTGCACGATAAAGAACTTCATCGCCGATAGATTCCAGTACCGCATCCTTTCCAGCGAAAACAGTGGGAGAGTATACGTTATTGGATCCTTCGCAAGAGGGAGAGACTCCATCACGATTTCATGCAAGAATCCGGACTGCAAGAATGAGAGGACGGTGATTAAGAATTGGGCTATGTTAGGGTCGGTTGTGAATGGGTCGACGAAGAATTTGGATATGCTGACGAAGTTGTGTCTGTGGAAGAAGTGCCAGCCTTCACCCCAAAAAGAAGGGAGGGATCTGGATGAAAAAGGTCGGTTGAAAAATGGCGGCCATGAGTCCATGGAAGAAAGGCCTGAACCGACAAAGATAATCGAAAATGCGAGATTTTCCATCGTCATCCCAACATAAGCGTGTGCGCATAATACGATGACGCAGAACAATTGGAGGTGATACGGCAGCAACGTAGTAACGGGGCTTGGATTCAATGGGGAGAGCTGTTGAAGATGATGGAAATTGATGGCACGCTTGAGCAAGAAGTCCAGCGCATCATATGTCGCATACAGCATCACGATTCGCTGCAAAGCAGAAACAGCGAAGGTCCATCGAGAAAGTGAAGGCGGGGCACGATATGTCCTGATGCCCGGAGGAGCGAAGTCCCAGTGTCGATCATGGAAGCAGCTAGAACCTGTTATCGCAAGCGTTAGGTCGAGGGCGTATTGTGTTCGTCCTTTCAATGTTTGCGGAAGGGGCATGGGTTTCCCTGTGTTACGATCTATCCAACGAGGAGAAGGCTTATTGAAGCTCAGTACCCCGACCGCTAAAATACGAGAGATAAAATAAAATGCAATATTCGTCCAGGTCATTTGCGCCTTAGGTATTTGAAATAGAGAGAAGCGTATTGTTCTGTCAGGGCACAGACTGGGGACTTGGTTCGCGTTGGATACTTACTCCAGGGTCTATAGCGTTTTCTAACGTAGTACTATAATGAAAACCAAACTTGAAGAAGTAATAGACTGCCAGTGAAGCCAAGCCTATTCGGGCGAATTGGGCTGAAGAGCGTCGTTCAAAGGTCATCGTGAAGAGGAGCAAACCAAATGCGACCAGACCTTCGACGAGGGTCATGGCTTGGGGGAGCAAATCATCCCTCATCGAACGCGTAAAGCAGGTGGTGCTTGGGTGTAAGCGTATCTGTGAGCGAGCTAGTTTTTGTTCCGTGTTCCAACAGTCAGAACTAAACCGCACGCGCGCGAACGGGAACGCAATTCCAACGCACGGTAGGCAAGTTCTGGACGGCACTTTGGTGACCGTCGGTCTACATAAATTCGGGCATGCACAGCCTCGGCCGATCCTGAAGGTCGCGTCAACACTGTGCGGACATTGCATACGTTCTACCGCGCACCCGCACACCCGCGCTGGCGCAATGGCCCCGGAAGCCCTTTCAAATGCTCAGAACTTGCCTCAACGGAACAGTTGGCAAGATGGCAGCCTCCCAAGTTCGCACGAAACCGGATGGAAGGCTGCAATGAAGCTCATCACTTGCATGTTTCCTGTCATCGGATCCGTTGTCGACTCGCTACATCTCCCTTGTATGCCCCATCGAAGTGACCCGGGTATCCAAAGCTTGGTTCCAACTTCGACCCCCCAGGGTCGTACAAATCAATTGCTACTCCCCACAACACTTTGCAACTCTCACTTCTCGGTAGAGACGCTCGGTCTTGGCTCCGTGTTTCGATATAGTTTGTTAGCATCGACATTTCTGGCATTTTCCGTGTGTGCACGACCATTAAGAATTCATAATCCATGCCCAAGGCGGAACTTCCGCAGCATTGTGGTCCAATGTAAATCACAATGACGAGACAATGACGTCCGCCGGTGTACAACCACCACTCGAGCACCGCTCTCAACCCTTCGTGGCACTGGATGCGCTCAGGCCTCTATTCTTGAGACATTCAAGTCATTATGGTGCATGTCTGTGCAGGGTGGGTGATAATCAAACTCGATTCACGCTCCCCTGTGGCTTGACTTATATTTTTAACACATGTATCCGCTATCTTCGCCCAGCTTATCCTGGACGGCCAAGCGCGGACCCTGCGGTATTATCTGTTTTATCGATGGATCGAGCCTGGTTCTAGAATGTTTGGTTCCTTCCCGTTTTCCAACTATCTATGGATACTTCTGACATCCTCCCAGCTAGTTTACCAAGCCTCTCCTAGTTGGCAACTAAAGCGCAAATAACGTATTCATATTGTGATATAGGGTGTCTCCTACTTCTTAATTCAGGGGGAATATCCATGGTCTCGCTCTTTCCTTCTCCATGTGGCGGACGCTCCGACTTCATTTCTTTCTGAGTGTGCGGCCGCTCAGGAGTGTTTAAGCAGCGCCATTATTTTGTTCATTTCCCCGAAGCAGAATCTCAATGGGTGTGTTGTTTAATGTCTGCTGTGGCTTGGTCTGTCTTGGGCGGAACTATCAGTTCCATCCAATTAGGATGCTGAAGACGGCGCACATTACACTTCATGTTCCTCTGGCCGCCATTGGCTGCATTTGATTGATTGTCCGTTTCTGGAAATCACACTGATAGGGAGGCCCACTTTAATTGCCGGAATATGAGTCCACGTTCGGTCTCGAGTGAAATCGTGCCCTGTGATCATCTCTGTCCCTCGAGTGGCATTAGCAAAGACCCTAACCCTTCATTATATATTGATAACTTCCCCATCCAAGCCTGGGTACGGACGGAGCATTCTAATTACCGCAGATAAGATGTCTCTCTTGCCACAGAGCAATAAGCAGGATTCCCGCCCCTGACTTCATAATAGCAGAGCCAGGGCATTTGTGTTGCGCGGAAGACCATTGGAATGGGATCTATCATCAGATCAGGTGCACAACTGCAACTCGGTGGTGAAAACTCATTTCCGTGGCAACCTAGAAGATTGCCGTTAGCTCTCTTCGTCCTAGCCCTTCGGATGACCACTATGAGCGCTAGATGCCAAGTGGGGGTGCCAGCGGGACAATAAAGCGCTACATTGTCCAAACGCCAAAGAGGACACAACCCTTCGATGTCCCCACGTTCAAGTAAGATCAATGAAGTTACTGGCACTCAAGACAGCTATTTCCTAGTCACATGGGATTGCGAAGATGACCCCGAGAACCCATACGTAGGTCTCCTAATTCCTACACCGAAAGATCTACCATCAAACCTTTTTCGTTGCTCGCAGAATTGGGCCTTTTCTAAGCGCTGCTATGTGACTGTTTTAGCTGCAATGCTTGTTTTGAATGCGGCTTTCGCTAGTTCTGCAACGTCTGGTGTGTCGGAGAGCATCGGAAAAAGCCTGGGATTTTCACCATCGGTTGGGGGCCTACTCATCTCTCTGTTCGTGGCGGGGTATTGCGTGTATGTCATCAGACACTCAGCCCCATCTCGTTACTGACTTGTGACCCGAACCAGTGGACCCCTCCTTTGGGGACCCTTGTCTGAAGCTTATGGGCGACGTCCTATCCTCGTCTTGTCCTTTGCTGGACTTTTTGGCTCTCAAATCGGATGTGCTCTCTCGCGAAATAAAGCTACGCTCTTCAGTTTTCGATTTCTCGCCGGATGTTTTGCTGCCAGCCCATTTTCAACTAGCGGCGCCATCATGACGGATTTGTGGCAGCCATACGATCGGGGGCACGCCATGGCTGCTTTCGCGGTGTGTCTTGCCAAAGATGATGAACCCCATCTTGTTCAAACAGTTCTGGTCCTTAGGCCGTTCCATTCGGTGGTCAAACCCTCGGACCAATTGTCAGCGGACTTGTGGAAGCTTCGTCGTCAAGTTGGAGGTGCGTAGCTCTAAATAAATCTAATTAGCCTTAACTCCGTTCGCAGATGGGTTTTCTGGATCCTTTCCTTTGTCTCAGGAGCTTCTCTCGTTTTGATCCTCATAAGCATACCCGAGACTTATGGACCTCGAATACTAGAACTGAAGGCGCGTCGTTTGAGAATGGAAACTGGTAATGCAAGATGGCTTACTTCAAAGGGGCTCAACGATACTCCGTTTGGAACACGTGTCGGTGGTATCCTGCTGAAGCCATGGAGGATGTTCTTTCAAGAGCCGGTATTGATTGCAATCAATGCATATGTCGCTGTAGGGATGAATTCGGTCTCTTCCCTGCCAACTACTCAACCTTCTCTCTTCCAGTTCTGCACAGGACTCATTTAGTAATTATGATCGCTGCCGAGTAGTTTGCACAGTGCTTCTGACTTCCTGTCTTCAAGTCTGCTCTTCGGAGCATATCCAATTGTTTTTGGAGTCGGACATGGCTTTGATGCAACGAAGACTGGCCTCATGTTCATTCCCGTGTTTGTCGGAGGGGGGTTTTCCTGCCTGGCGGTAAGCGCTGGTTCGCCATATCCGTTATCATGGACGTTCAGATGGGGGGTTCCGAAAGGTGGCACTCTATTTCAATCCTCTGTATATACGAGCTACCCGTATTCGTGCTCCATTGCAAGTTCCACCCGAAGAGCGACTACCGATGGGCATGATCGGCAGCGTGCTGTTGACTGTCAGTCTATTCTGGTTTGGGTGGACGAGCGTTCCATCCATCTCATTTTGGGCTCCAGCTAGCGCCGGTACCCTTCTAGCATTCTCATTGACCTTGATATTCGTCAGTCACTTCGTTCTTATGCGGATCTTGACTAATCGATCGTTGTGGCTCCGTTAAGTTGTCTCTCATCAATTACATCGCGGATGTATACACCGAGGCAAGTCCACTCCGCTTCGCAATGCTCATGATCGTCATCAAACAAAATGAAATATCCAGGTTGCGGCGTCTGCACTTGCAACAAATACCGTTTGTAGGAGCTTGGTTGCAGCCGCTTTTCCGGTATGGTCCATTCCTCCTCCATTTTCTGCTGATTGATGTGACCGAACATCATGATGATACCAGTTATTCGCGACCAAGATGTATACCTCACTCGAGCCGAAATGGGCATCTACGATCCTTGGATGCATCGCACTCCTGTTCATGCCTATGCCCTTACTTTTCATGCGGTACGGGCCCTACCTTCGTTCGAAGTCTCGCTATTCTCCCTCAAATCGTTCTCCGTGAACGCAGCACAATTTGCATGCGATGGTGATTTTCTAAATTTGGCAGACATACAAGAACTTGTATTCTGCACCAATGACCTTTTGTGTACCGGGTCGTGATTGGACAGGGCGTGAGAGTGTTTGCATGATGACAAATTCAATGGATCCCCTGCGTTGAATCGGGCTTTCGCGTAAAGTAGAATACTGCTCCACCGTACCCTCAGCCGTAGAGTGTAGAGTAAGTAATGAATCCGAAAATTATAATTAAACCGAGGCAGCAGGGACCTGCGCTTCTTAGCATCCAGATCAACACCGTCGACACAAAAACTGTCCTATATTCTCGGGGGATTCGTCGGAACAGATAAAGCTAAAATTACACGATGTTTACATTGAGCACAGTCAGCAACAAGGGCGATGAAGACGCGCATCAAACACCACAAAAACTTTTAGGGAACACGCAGACTCGAGAACGGAAATTGAGATTAAAAAAAGCCAGCTTCAAGCTTCGAACAAAACAGTTCCGGCATGCAACTCGGGAGAATCGATACCATGCTGCACTGCATACTTCTCGTAAGCTAAAAAAGAAAGGTCATGTGGTCAGCCAATTCCATCCCCGTCATGCAGGGAGACCAACACTCACTTCGATTCATATGCTGGCACCATGATCGTAATTCGTGGCCCTATGTGTGAGTATTCGTAGAGTTAAAGAGAAGAATCGAGTCGAATTGAACCGGGTCAGCCCACCTTGACAGCGATGGGACCATTAGGATTAGCTACTGAGATGAGACCGATTGCATTGTCCACGATATCAAATCGCCCAGCTGAAAACCAAATCAAGGTAAGGACGAAATCAGGATAGTACGAACCAAAAATTCACGTACCTTTGTTCAAACGAAGCATTGACCAGGGCGTCGTCGTAGTACCCTCTTCAATCTAAAGGGAGAATATATATTTGATTTCGTCGCCTGCAGTCACTCGATTGGTCATATAACGTACGTAGCCCAAGACCTCGAATCTCTTCCTAGTAATTGACTGATTGCGTTCGAAGAGGAGAGCTTTGACATGAGCAGGATACCCATGGAAATTGATGACGACAGGGGTGTCGGTGCCGAACAATCCCTCGAAGCTCTCCTTGCTGAGCGCGTGAGGATGTGAGCCATATTCCCCGAGTACCATAAGATCTAAAGATTCTGTGTGTGAGAGGCGGCATCTTACCAAGACTGCTTCAGTACAGACTCACCGATGACATTGATGACTCGCACCCTAACACCCTCCTTCTTGAGGAGGCTAGCTGCAGCCTAAGGATAGTAGGGGCGAGTGGGTTAACCCAATCAAATCAGGACTAAACACGATGGACGCACGATTATTTCCGCCGTCGTCTCGACCCCGATACCAACCAAGACCACATCAGGATTGATACCGCCATCCGTGGAATACTTCTTCCACACGCTCACACCTATCGGCCGCTTCTTCAGTATCGCTTCGTCTTCGCAACCGAAGTCTGAGCTCTCACCTGCAATACAGTGTCGATCCGTCTCCTCAACAGTCAAATACGCAGGGGTGTCAGCTTTGCTGCCAATGATCTGTTGATGATATGGGAAGCCAATCATACAGGGTCGATACTTCAGTTGGAGAACGGCCACTCACGAGATTGACGTAATTCTTAGAACGAAGACAGTGAGCTATCACAGACACAGCAGTCGCAGCGTCGGGAGGAAGGTAAACCCGGACCATCGAACGTGGGAGAGTAAGGAGAGATCCAATGAAGCCAGGATTCTAGTCACTCCACCAGTTAGCTTCTGTTTCTGAACGACAATAACAAGAACGCGTGGACGACTTACCTGATGGGAATATCCATTACTGGGTTCGATAGGTCATCAGTCATGGATTTCGAGGGACATGAAAACACCACTTACTGCTCCTGTCTCCAGCTGTGGAAACAGATGGGACAAGGATGAGACACATCCTAGCAACAGGTGTGAAATGGCACGCACAGGGTGGAAGTCATAATATAGTTCAAACTCGGAACATCTGTCCTCCAATTCGTCTCCACGGCAATCTTAGCGAACTTCGCATACTGCTGAACCATGGTCGTAACGATTCCTTCGAAGAAGAGCATATATTAGCTCTGTCTTTCGCCTAGTACGATGATCACGGGGGAATAGATACCTAGGAAAGCTTCATACGAAGGGAAGAGACCCGTCCTTCCTGTGAGGCTGTATCCTTGCAAGAAACCTTGAAGAGCTGAAGAATGTAAATATTTAACACAACAGGAAGACTCCAAGCCAAATCCTTAGCTCACTGTGTTCGGATAGCATCTCGACCACTCGACCTCCAGCGTGAGCAGCTGTCATGACCCCGCAATGGATTAGCCAATCCTCCGCCAAATTCAAAAGCCAGCATGAGTGGCTCACTCTCTGGGTCCCATTGGAATAACCGGTGACTATAATTGAACACGAAAGTGAATATCCCATGGAGACACTAGGGTGCTAAAACGTACGTGACGTCAAAGACTTTATCAAGTTTGTTCGATCCGAGTTCTGGGATAATGTGCCAACCGGTTAGATGTTGATGCCGTTAGATTATTTGAAACCCACGAACCGTCAGGGCTGAATATCCTAAATGTCGTGGGATTCCTCTTGACAACTTCCACCAAATAGGCTAGCCGAGGTGAATAAGAATGAGCGTATGAGATATCTTCAACCCAACGGACATGCCCACGCACCTCCAACAGCTTTCATTGGGCTTTGCTCTTTCTTACTCGTGTCCACAAAGTCTTCAAATGCAGGAACGTCCAACGGTTCATACCCAGCATAGCTCTCCTTAATCATCCCTATCCTCCTCTCGACTTTCTTTGGTAAGATCCTCAACGCGGTGTGACTGAAAAGTGCTTCAGGGTGCACATCGCCAGGCAGCCTAGATACTTTCTCGCTCTGTCCCCTATCCCCCACGATGAGTGGGGTGACGTCATACGATTTCAGCCATTCGCCGAGTGACGCGAGCTGCTTATCGTCTGTCTTAGCCGCCGGAAGGGGGACTTGGTGAGCGCGGAACGATCCGAGTACAGGTAGGCCGTCAACACTTCGAGGACCGGTATATCCCTTTGGCGTGCGTAGGATAATGATAGGCCAACGAGGCTTTGTGATGGGGTTGCCTGAACGTGCAGCTTTTTGAATTTTCCTGGTGTTTCGCATAATATTATCGGTATAAGGGATGACAAAATGGTAAAAAAAGGACTTGTACCTAATTTCCTCATAGGCCCATTCTAAGCTGACGGCTGTATTGACGTTGAGCTCGTATTCCTTCCTCTTTTCCTCTTCCTTGGACTCTGCAAGAGGTCCGTACTCAACGAAACGAACTTGGTAACCGTACCCGGTGAAAAGCGCCGCAAGCTCTAGATCGTCCATCGTACCAGGGACGGTGCGTTCGGAAATCTAAGCCATGGTTAGGTGACGTGTCCGATAGAATGTGACGCTACGCAGACCTTATAGCCACTATAGAACACGTAAAGACGACATACCGTTGGAAAATAGACTTTGACTTACTTGAGATGGAGAATGGGAAGGACGGCACCGCTTTCCTTGGGATCGATGAACTGTGCACGACAAATAATGAGCGATTTGACCGCTAAGGGTGATGAGATTACTCATACCTTGTGCCTGTGAAGAGGGAGAAACGCCCAAAAAAAAAATTAGATGAACCTGTGAAAATGAAATCTTCGTAAAGAAGTGGGCCTACGCGTGCCAAGCGGTTGCGGTGGGACCAGTCTCAGATTCTCCATCTCCAATGACGCTACAGACGGGGAAATGACGTGAGAACCGTCCCCATACGATAGGGAAAGAAATTCGCGCACGCGACTGTAATGAGGTTAGGCTTGTCCATGACGGCGCCATAAGCCACAGCTAAAGCATAACCGAGTTCTCCACCTTCATGGATGGCTCCAGGGGTCTCAGCCTAGGAAATGAGCAGAAGGAAAGTCATCATTAGATCTAGGCCTGCATAATGACCCATAGAGGCGTACGTTTACGTGTGAGGGGAAGCCACCTGAATCACGATTGGAAGAGGTATCAATAGATCATAAGGAATGCATGTTCGTAGGAGAGGGACGGGTTGCGGGATATTAGCCGATAGAGAAGCTGTGTGATACTTGGAAAAGGAACGGACCAGGCCATGAGAATGCCTTGACGAATTTCTCAACTCCAGATTTGTTCAATTGATATTGAGGGTAAAATCGGGTGATCGTCCCCTGACATTTGTAAATGCCACGCGACCGAGGAACACGATATATAGCAGTCAAAAGTCCCAGAACAAGAAATTGCCAGTTCAGTCGACAGAGCCTCATACTGATATGCGAAAAAATGCGAGCCCACCTCTAGGTATAGAACGGAGAGAATCGCCGGAGCCCCATGTCCAGGGCCAGTGATATACAAGATTTGTACATCTTCACCTGCTTGTTCGTGTCGGCTTATCAATGCAGTGGCATGAGTATATGTGAGATTAAGTCCCCCGCATGTACCCCAATGTCCGAGCAGACGAGGTTTGACGTTGTCCTTGGTGAGTGGCTCTTCTAGGAGCGCATTGGATTGGAGGAAGATCTGAGCAGCAGAGAGGTAGTTGGCCAAACGTTGGAAGGCAAGGATGCCTTCAATGTCGTGGTTTCGGGATTTGAAGAGGGAATCGACGTCGAGCTGAACGGCAAGAGAACCGATGGAAGCGTTTGGATCGAGCTGGGAGGGTTTGGGCGGGGTGGTGTATTGGGCCATGTTTGCGAGTTTTGACGCAAGGTTGGGCGTTGGTTGGGAAGCAATGAGTGAGGTTGGGGTGCACCAGTGGGGTCATAGAAAGGTGACCACATTTTATACACCATGACAATATGCTGACGCAAGATCTATCACGACATTTGTGCATATGTGTGCCTAAGTCAATCTTAAGATTCCCTGGTCGTTCTGGGTGGTACCGGAGAACCACTGAACTCTCGGATGCGTGCTCAAGTGCGAAATACAAGCATATTCCCAGAGAGTCAAGCCACATAGGTATTTCATTTTGGCGCATACGACTTTGGCCGCAGAATTCAACCTAAGGCACGCACTCGCACACATGAGCATGAGTGCCCGGTCGACCCGATATTCCCCTGAAGCATCCACCACGCGTTGCGTTATTGTGTCAGGCACTACAGAAAGGGCTACACATTAATTGTGCGATCTTGACCTGCATCGGCAAAATGCGGACGGTATCACCCATCCATTTGAATTGCCACTGACGTCGTCACGTCCGGAGACCATCACCTTCCCAGCGCCGGTCTTACTCAACGAATTTTCCTTCGTTGGGCAAAGCAGAACTACAGCGCTACTGTCCATCTCCTGCCATCCAAAATGGATAAGCCCCTAAATATGTCGGAGGCGCAGTACTGCATGGTCAGTCTGACGTATGAGCGTGCTTCCGACTTTCGTGCGCACGTAGGAGGTAACCCGGACGATATCGATAGATATATCAAAATGGAGAACATGTGAGTCTACCATCTCATTCCCACCGCCATTGGCCGCTGAACTTTGCGCACGGGTGAATACGGATCTCACTGCTTTTTCTGCTTGACTGGATGAATGCTGTTAACGATGATAATACCTTGACCGCACACGCGTTTTTGCGGTGGGACTACATAGCACGACGAGTTGGTTTATTGATGTTCGACGAGCTGACAGAAAGTCGGCGAGGATTCTCATTCTCGCAAATAGGAATGAGGTCAAGCGTGTACTGGAGATGTTTCCTGAGCATCTCCCTGAACCATCCGATGACCCTAAGTCTGCGTCCACTCCAACCTTAGAGCCTGAACCGAGTCCCGCTTCGACGAGCAGATGTATTGAATGCTCCTCTAGTTACCCCGGACCTTCTACCAGCTCTGCTGCGTCGTCATCGACGTCTTCGGTGCCCCTATTCCCTCCTCTTAATGCTACTAACCCATGGACTTCGGTGTTCATCTCTGGAGATACCATACACGATCACCCAACGCCATCACACACACACACACCACCCTCGCACGCATCCTCATCAATGCCCGAATCTATAACGTCCTCCGCAACACTGACGCCCGATGCCTCCGCACCTCCTCCATCTCCTCCACCCTTGGTCGAGGACTTTCCGTCTTATTTTGAACCATCTACCTCATCAATCGCTTCGACCTTTAATGACGCGCCAGCAAGCTTACCACCTCTTTCATCATCACCCGCATTCGATGATGTATTCGGATTCTTTTCGTTTCAAGAACCTTCCTCCACTCTTCCCGATCTCCCAGCTCCCCTTACACCCCCTCATTCTCCTCACCTGCCACCTATGACCTTCCCTCCCCTGAGTCCTCTTCATCCCCATCATGCAATGCCACCCTTCCTAAGTTTCAACCCACCTTCTCCCATCTCTCCCACGAGCACGGTGTTCCCCTCTGCGTCCCCGTCGAACTGGCCCAAAGGTCGAGTGATTGCCGCTCCGTTCCCAGGACCATCTCAGGCTTTCCGAGAAACGATGGCTGTATTTTTGCCTGATTATGATTATAAAGGGTTATCAGCGAGTCGCTATAAGATTGCAGGAGAGGTAATGAGCAGGAAGCATGCGGAGGATCAAAAGGTTATTGAGAGATTGGAGATGCAGCAGAGGTTGAGTAAAGCGTATATTGAGTGTAGGAGGGAGAATGGAGCTGATTTCAAAGCTTGTGAGTGATTTTGTTGCACCCTTCTTTTTTTTCCCCTCGGTAGTTTGGGGCGCTTTTGGGTGTCGGATCGATTTCGCTCCTTGGCACTTTCATTTAACTTGAACCAGTTTTCGTCCCCTTTTCGCCTCTCCATGTTGGATAATTCAGATGTTTTTAGCATTACAAAGTCATGTTCTCTTCTCTCCCCCGCTTCCTCACTTCCAATATTGCGAATCATCTTGATCTGAGCTTCTCGCGATCGTATTCCTCTACCTCTATCCCCTCATCATACGTCCCCTCTTCCTCCTGTCCCTGGGCCTCACACTCGGACGTAAGACGTCAGCTTTCCGATGCGCATCTGAAGGCGATTCTCACTCTTCCTGCCATCTCTTCCCCAGTTCATCGTCTTCCTTCTTTGCATTCGACCTCCCCCCCCGTTATTGCTTTGTTCCCGTTCCCGATCACCTTATTCTTTCCCTTTCTTCCGTCTTCAACTTGCCCTTGATGGAAGAACGGACCGGAATATCCAGACACCTCTTTTTTCTTTTCATATGCGAACATCACCAGCAATAATACGAAATACCCGCCGCCGACGCCGCCAACTTCGCTTTGCACCCAACTTCTTTCCGTCTCCCTTTCTTCGATGTTCAACCCACCAAACCAACCACCACCACCACCACCACCACCACCACCGCTTCTTCTTTTTTTCTTCTCTTTGACACGCCCCCGGCCAAACCCCTGTATTACGTTTTGTTTTGTTTTTGTTTCATTCCAGTTTGGAAGGGGCTGGGGTGGCTTGGCTTGCTTTGGGATGGTTGACCCTCGGACATCTCAATATTGACGTATTTTATTTTTTATTCTTTTGGCATTTCGGATTACTTTTCTTTTATTAATTTATTTACTTGTTCTTGAGCTGACGAGGATTTTTTCTTGAAGATCATAATCTTCAGATGTGGACGAGTATGGTTAGGTTGGAGAGGGTTAGGTACAGACCAGAATTGTTGGGTACGTTTTTTTCTTTTTTTTTTCATCTCGTTTTGTTCATCAAATTATATCGACGTAGGAGACTCGAGACATCGAATGGGACACGGTGCTCATTCAGATGTTGGGATGACGGAGGATGGATTGGTGGTCGATCTGTTGAACGATGAGTGGAGAAAGTATTAGATGCCAGAAATGGAATCTTGGGTTGGGGAATTAGGGTTTGGAAGTTGAGGTAGGGGTGTCAGCACAGGTTCGAAGTGATGAGAACGTGGCAGCAATCTTTTCTTGCAATTGATCAGGGTTGGGTTGGGGGGTGGATGGAGGGGTTATTAACTCTATCCGAGTTTACTCGGTACCGTCTACGGGCGGGCAGGGCTGCGAACGGGTTTTGTCGGCGCATATGATTCTCTTCTCTTGGTGGAGGGTTGTACACAGGGAGAGGGGAATTCTTTGAGTGTTCGGGCGTTGGAGAGTTCTTTTTTGGGGGGGGGAAGGCGCTGTTGAACCAGTGGCAGTTTGGGCATGGCTAAAGTTTCTCTGTTGTTGATATGATGGCTTCTGACTTTCTTTTCTCTTTCTCTCATTTTCTCATATCCATGTTTCAGCGTTCGAGTGATTGTCTTGCTTGGAACGAGACTCGACGAAGACGACGCTTAATTCTATTGCTTTTTTTTTTTTTTCTTCCCTTATTAAATACCCACAGGCGCAAGTACGTACATGATTACGACAAGAACGCATCATCCTCGGATATTGAGGTGGTTTAGTTGGTGTTACCCGGATGTGCAACGGCATCCCTATCAGGGATCAATGACCGGGGACGGATAAATGGAGTTGCATGGGGGTTGGTGGACAGCGTCCCTAGCGCTAATGGGGATGTTGTGTCTCCAGGTGATCGATGATTCTTCCCTTCCCTGTGCATGTGCACGGTCGATGAAAGTATCACATCTACGCGAACACGGGCAATGGTAGAAGCGGGAGGTGCGATAACGACGAGAATGAAGAACAATCGCGCGCGCGCACGCGAGTAGTTGGATTGTTGTGTGAGAATATTGAGAGTCTAAGCAGCTTGTCATCCTCGTATCAGCTCTGGTATTTCTTCCCATGTATGAGCGTGGAATATGGCTGTGGTTTATGTAGTGGAACAAAGTAGGCGCTGTTATTATTATTATTTATTTTTTAGCGCCAGGGAATATATTGTGATGGGACGAATATAGAAAGAATTGACTGCGCACGGACGGATTGAATAGGACGGGAACGATCTAGATTTTTGGGTAAAAATTATAAATACAAATATAAAATGAATTGAATAGATAGGAGTTGAATACATAATAATGATTGTGTAATAATTTGAATGTGTGATATGATCTTAATTTGAAATCGGGGATTGGTATGGAGAGAGGTCACGCCGCCCAAACGCAAGGGAGAGAGAGATCGAGAGAGCTTTGGTGGTTTTGTTGGGTCCACAGCTCTTCCTTCACCGCTCACCGCTCCTCTTCTTGTTTTTTTTTCTCGCCTGCGCTTTTTGGGGGTGGGGGTGTGTTCTCTGCGTGTGTGGCGTGTGAATGAATGAGTGAGTGAGTTGTGTACAAGTACTTCGGTGAATTCATAACACATGGGGTGTGTATGTGGCAATAGAGCCGCTCTCTCCTCTCCCAACTAGTAGTACCAACTACTACATAACAATCATCAACATTCCCATTTCTCTCCTTCATTTACTCTTCCTTCTTCCCTCCTCCTACTCCTCCTACTCCTCCTCCGTCTATATAGCGAGCCGCTCTCTTAGTTACAGCCATCTTCACTTCTCCGTTATCCACCATCACCCACACCTTTTTAGAGTTCTCTCCTACGTACGTAAACGTTAGCAATCGAACGGCCAAACCTAAGTGAGTTTGTTTCTCCATTTACCCTTATATATGCGCACAAACCCACAAACCCACACATCGACCTCTTTGGCAATCCATCCTCACCCTTTACGGTATGGATCGCCTATAACCAATCCCATTCCATATCCATATCCATATCGCCTTTCATATCGCCTAACCCGTCCTTCTCTTCTTCTCTCTCTCGTCTCGATGCGCACGTAGCCCACCGAGCGATTTCGTTCCCCATCCCCATCCCCACCCCGCTCGGTCGTCAAAGGAACAAATTATCCTCATTCTCATTATTTGGGTTCGTTAGGTGTTTTGGCTTCTTCGGCTCCCCCTCCCACAACAAAATTATTCCGTTATTCCTTGTCGTGACTTGTCGCCTTCCCATTGGTACCTCCATATTGGACAGCATACCATATAAGATCGATTCTTCTCTCTCGAAACCATCTTCTCCTCGTCTTCCTTTCCTCTGGTTGTTCTCGATCTATCTATCTCTCTCGCTGCGCGCTTGCAACTCACTCTTCCCGCTACGTAAACCCGCTGACAACCTACCGGAGACCGAATCGAAGACCGAATCCTATACCCTCTTCCACCCCCCTATATCATTGACGATTTGAACTGAAAGTGACGATTGGAAAAGTAATAAATCGATGACCACCCCTATTGCTCCACTGCCACTGTGGGAGCTGCTGCTGCTGCTAATGTCGGTACGAGCACCGGTAAACGGACAACCTTGTTACGTCGGATATGGATCGTTCTGTTCGCTCTGTGCTATCTTCCCTACTTTGCTTCTGCTCAAGGAACTGGAACGACCTCTAACTCTAATAATAATGGCCCGTCAGGCACAGGTTCAGTCAACAGCACGACGTTCACAAGCACCGCTTTACCTCCTGATATGACTACGACGTTAATCAACATCACGACTTCCAATTGGATCCCTTTACCAGTCGTCACACAGCTTACCACTTCACGTACCCGTATATTCACCATCACCACCACCACTTCGATTCCACTTCCAACGACTATTACGACCATTTCGACGATCTCTATCGCCACAACCACAACCACCACCACCACCAATTCCACATCTACGTCTTCCCCTTCGCCAACGTCTAGGACCCCTCCTCCTAACGTCCTGCCACACGTCTTACAGCTCCTTTCGCCCTCCTCGGTATAATCCTCATCTTAACAGGCCTCCCTTCAGTCTTCTACGGCCACAAGAATCGTTGGTCATCTTACTTCCTCCTAGGCTTCTACGCTTTCTCCTTGGGCACCTGTGCACTCGTCCTACGCTATGGAGTCATCCCACATTTAAGAGACGATACGGATTTACCGGGTAACAAGGAACAAGGGCTTTATTTGCTTGCGGCGTTGTGGCGGGTGTGTTGGGAGGTGGAATTGGGATTTTCTTTTGGGGGATGAGTCGGTATTTGATTGGTGGATGGGGTGGGTTGGTCGTTGGGTTTTATGTGCAGTGTTTTAGGGATGGTGGGTTGATTAGGAGCATTGGTTTTAGGTGGTTGATGTTTATTGGTGAGATTTTTTTCCTGTTTGTTGGTTGGTTGGGCTGATTTCATGCTTTTGCTTTTTTATTATTCGATAGCTTGTAGTGCGGGTGGTTTCGTGTTGTGTACGATTCCGAGGTTGCATTATCATGTTTTGCTTGGATCGACGGCGATCGTTGGAGCGACTGCTTTGATGCTTGGCATTGATTGCTTTACGACCGCCGGTTTGAAAGAGGTAAAGTTTTTTTTTTTTATTTCTTCTTTTTAACTTCCTTTCATTCAAATCCTTTTTTCTCTCCCTAGTTCTACATCTACAACCTAGGGTTCCACGAACTCTTCCCCAAATTCGCTTCCTTGCACTCCGGTTTCCCTGTTTCCCAAACGATGCAAATCGAACTGGGTCTCATATCGGCCGTTGCGTTAATGGGAGCTGCGATCCAGTTCCGTGTGTTGACCATGTTACAGTACAAGCTGAGGCAGATATCGGAGGAGCATAGGAGAAAAGACGAGGAGCTCGAGCGAAAGGCGGCAGGCAAGTTCAAGACCGGAGGAAGGATTTCGGTGGAGAGGGAAGAGTGGGAGAAGAGACATGGGAGAGGGGATAGTTCTGGGAGCGGTGGGAGCGGCGGGAGTGGCGGGGATTTGGAAAAGGGTCTTGGTGGTGGCGTGGGAAGAAGGACTTCGATAGCCGGTGTGCCGCTTTTGAATCAGGATGGGGGTACGTCCTCTCCTGGTACGCCTAGCTATACGGATCGACCTCTTTCCCTTTCCTCCGTTCTCAACTTTGGTGGTGGTGGTGGTGGGTGGACCGATACCGCTCGATTCTGCGTTGGTGGAGAAACCGTCTCAGGCTCCTGGCATCTTACCTCCTATGGATTTGGGTACTCAAGTGAAGAGTCAGTTACCTGAGGAGTTGATATCCAAGACGTCGACGATCGATGAGCATCCGGAGATCAAGAAGCGGATTCAGTTGATTGAGGAGATTAGAGAGTTGAGGAGGAGCATTGGGAGTTTGGGTAGGAGCACGACGGATATGGGTGGTGGTGCGATTACAGGTTATGGTGAGATTGACAGAGATAGACAAGCGGCGCTGGAGAGGGCTGGTTCTGGATATGGTATTGGTAGCAGCGGCGGCTACTATAACGGTAACGATAGAACGCGAGTGAAATCGATGATCGCGATGCCGACTGGACGTCCTCTTTCCACACCATTACCTTATCAACTCCACTCGTATCAACAGTATGGACCACAGCAGCAGCAGCAGCAACAACAACAATCGTCGTCGTCCCACTCAGGCACGATGACGCCTCCTGCTACGATCAGGCGTCCTGGTAGTGCGCCCCTAACGAGGGGTGAAGAATGGGAGACGTACGTTTCCGAGAGAAAATTGTTTACGCCGCCTGCGGGTGTGACGGCTCCTATCCAACCCTCACCTCTTCCGGAGGGTTTGAAGGCGAATACTAGGATTGTACCGTCTGAGGCTGTTAGCGCTGCGGTTGAGGAGAGGAAGAGGAGGGAGAGTTTGTTTGGGTTGGGGAGTGATAAGGATGCGAGTGGTAGGAATTCATCTTCGTCCGGTGGTGGTGGTGGTGGCGGTGGTGGATCAGGACTTGGATTGAAACTCGGAGGCGAGAATGGTACCGGTCGGAGGTCGTCTTTGTTGGGTCTTGACTTCATGTTGTCCAGTCGGACGGGTGAGGGTGGTCAGCCTGAGAGTCCTTCCTCTCCACCCCCTCCTCGTATCAGTACTGGTGATTCTCCAGTGACACCTCCCGTGGCAGGACCATCTTCTCCATCCCGAGGAACTCACTCGCATCGACGATCACGTAGTCTAGGGAACGTCTTTTCACGTCTGACTCTCAATAAGAACGACCCGCCCGTCGTCCTCCCACCTCAACGTTCGGCTTCACCTCCACCTACCCCTCAACCACGCGTCGTGACGTATGAGGAACTGCAAGAGCGACATAAGGCGAAGATGAAGAGGATGCAGGAACCTATCAGTCGTGCTGCAACGGAGGAGGCTACGCTTGCCGAAGCGAGGAGTCGATGGGAACGATCGAAGGCTATCGAGAAGGAAGTTATGGAGCGGAAGCTAGCTGAGGCTCAGGCCAAGTTGAAGGATCGCGGTGGAGTTGGAACGAGGGTTGGTTCGCATCGACGATCGCTTTCGCAGACGCAAGTGCCGGAGCGGAACCCGCTTTCGTTGGAGAGGTTGAAGAGTGCGGCGGGTGGTGGTGGGTTGGGGAGGATGAGCGCGTCGAGTAAAGTGGAGGAGTGGAGGAAGTATCGGACGACGACGACGACGACAACGACGACTACTCCTCCTGCTGGTGCTGGTGCTAGGACCAGTGCTGAGGTTGATGAAGATCAGCCGCTGGCGCAATTGCAGTCACAGCAGAAGGATGTGGGTGGTGCAGGTATAGGTGTTGGTGTTGGTGTTGGTGGGGCGCGGAGAAGGTCTGTGAGTGGGAATCGAATGTCGTTGAGTGGGGGGTTGGAATATGAACGGAGGAGATCGACTAGCGGTGGTCTTCTTGGAGGTGTTGCTGCTGCTGCTGCTGCTGCTGCTGCTCCTACTGGCGTGCCACCTTCGTCGCCCAAGTGATGGAGTTGGTCGTCGGTCATCGTTCCGTGGTCACTACTAGTCTTTACATGTCAGGGTGTGGGGACAGCCGTCAGCGTTCGACGACGTGCGAGTTCAACACACACACACGCTTATTATCACTTCCCGTCGATATCCACCCACCTTTTTTTTGTTGTTCTTTTTGGCCGCGCATTTTCGTCGCCCCACCCCTCCATTCGGTTCTCACACTCATCTCTCCTCTGGTTCAGAGTTCTCGGCACCATTACCTGCTTTTGCTTTCCGGAGCTAGGGAAGTAAGAGAATAATGATGTCCTCTCTCCGCTCTCCCCATCTTGCATCCCTCCACCTCCATCTTTGTTATTCCATTTCACTTCTCACAAACAGACTCACTATCTCCCCCCCAAGTCTTGTCTCATTCAAATACTTTTGTTATTTCGATCTCATTTTGTTCCACGATGGACTTGCAACTATTTCTTCGAAGTCTTTTTCCTTTTTTTTTTTTTTTGTTTTCCCCTCTCTCATCCACGCATACATCAACGTAACACCTCGCACGACATACATAAACGTACAAATGCATTCCATTCAATCATGCATAACACTCATGCAACATTCGGCAACGCCGAAAAAAACAAAACAAAAAACAAAAACAAGGATCAAAAGCAGTTTTTGTACTTTCCTCACACCCTCCCAAAAATATACATATATACTGTATCCATTTTTTTCCCCTGTTTTCTCCTCGCAATCGATGTCGTCACCTCATTTCCCCCCTCCCCCACCGTTTCTCACCCATTTTCCCTCTTAACCCTAGTACTACTGTCAGCGCTTTCCATTCCTCGATCAATCAAATCAATCACACACCATGTCTTGGTTCTTTTGTTTTGGTTTTACCCGTGATTGGGATTTTGTTGTGGAAGAAATTCATCTATGAGCGCAAAATTTTTCCTGGAGAATGGAATACAACTAGTATTGTATTGTACGTACAACGACTTGCTATCACAACATGATTGCAACGGATCGTCGATCAAATCAAATGATATGTACATGGTTCATTGGCTATGATGTAGTTGTATAATACGGTTGCTGTAGCTGCGCTTGCGCAATTAACTGGCGTTATATGTAACAGGTTCGATCCAAAGCGGGTATAAAGTGGAAACTGTTATCTACAGATGGGGATGGGTAGTGTATTTCCTATCGTCTGGTGAGGCTCTACCATGTGGTACCGGTACCTCATACCTAAGCGAGCGGTTATCCATGCTCAACCTCAAAGATAAAGATCGGGTGGATGACCGACGTGAGGCCCAACCTGCAGTTTAATTCTTCCCAGCAATAATGGCCATGCATACAAAGAGGGTGGTTTTGCCCGACATCCTTGTCTGAATATCCCGGCACCATTCGATGGTGCATGAAACACAAATTGTCAGGATCAACACCACCGTCTTGCTGCACTGTCTACCTCGACCATACTTCCATCTAGTACGACTAGGCCTCCAGATCAGTCAAGCTGCCCCACCACCACAGTGCACGAACTGTGGGACGAACACGGCGACACCGTTATGGAGAAGGGGGGTGCTAACAAGGGAGAGATTAAGTTATGCAATGCTTGTGGTGACTAGTGCCGCCGACGAATTTCATGCCATCCAAAATTTCGGTTGAGAATATTCCCCCGATGATAGCGGCATGATTCGTGCCTGCCTAATTTGAAAGCGTATCAGACTAACGAGACGCGCTATTTCGCGGGACTGTACTTCAAGTTACAGAGGATATCCAGATGAACGGAAAGTCGGCTGCTTGTCAGGATCTGTCAACGTACCCTGGGCGTAAGTCTTGACACCTGTCGATTCGCTGAATTGAGTCCTCCTATTCGGGCAATCCTGACTCGTGTCTACCATTGCCTCGCGACATGTTAACTAAATAGTCTGACTGCGTAATATGAAACGTACTACGCCTTCCAGTAGTTAGGCACGGACCAATCAAGTGCCCGGTTGAGCCAAAATAGGGTCGTAGTGCACATGTATGCGGTGACAGAAGGAAGTTGTACTTGTACCCGGTCGTATCGCGCGCGTGGGGAAAGTACCAAGTTCATGATCCAGCAGTCGTCAGAGATGATGTATGCTTGCCCAGAAAATTCAACCCCCTTCACAAGCAGAGTGTTGAACCGTTTATATACGTAGTGACTATAGCTGACCAATGGGTCCGAGCATACTCAGGTGTTGTGGTGATAAATCAAATGCACAAACAGACCATTCGGTCTGCACTTGAGCAGCAGCCAGATCACATTTTCGCCGTTCTTGCATATTCTTCAATTGGACTCAGCGTGATGTCATCCGAGCCCTTGGTTATAATGTCTGTCACGCTTTCCCCCACTATCGCAACAAACACATGGTTTTCTGGGTTGGTCAATCTTCCCTCATTTCTTCCCAACGCCCCCATTTGAACTACACTCACTTCGGCCTCGACGGGCAAGCCCCAAATACGCAAAACAGTATCGAATACGTGCCTCCTGTAGACCATTGTTGTTGCCGTCGCTAGCACCATCCCGCAGAACTATTATGAAACCCTAGATGTCAATCGTAACGTCGTCGAGAGACTGCATTTCGTAATTTTGCTCGACGAAATCGCCCAGGTCGGGAGAGTTCCACCAAAACAAAAAGAAAGCCAAGGGAAAAAAACTAAGTGGAACTGCAGCACTCAGGATTCCCGTGTAGTCCCCTACCATAGTACTAGCTGAGCGGTACTCGGCTTAACTTCGCAGATCAGACGGGATGCGGTGCTTTCCAAGTCCTATGGCCACAGATGGTCTCGGCTGCATTCCCACCTCTGATGAATATCTATACTGCTAGGGGTTGACAGACAAAGGCAGTAGATTGAGGCTTGAACGTGATACATATAGGAACACGGATGTGAGGCAAGTGAACGCAGTCGGAATATTGTCGCTGGGCGAGAATCACTTCCGACGTGGTGTCAGTACGACGCCAAGCCGTCAAAAGTTCGCTGCAAAGCCAGCGAATGAGGAGGCCAGGAAGCGTGGGAGGAGCGAGGCAAGCCAATGAGAGAGCGAGAAATGCGAGGCGATCAATCCGAGCGCTTCGATCGTAGCTCGCCCCAGCTTTTGGTATATAGATGTCGTCCAGGCTGCGTTTTTCGAAAGGCGTGTGCTTAGATTCCTTCCCCACACCACCTAATTCGATCCCGGTACCCGCCTCATACAACTTGCCTTAGCTCCGGTGAAAAGAAAAATCCTATGCTTTTGAGCGAAGAACGCTGGTGCATCAAAAAGTTTCCCAAATGGCCTTTCTTAGAAGTAGTACGACACCAGGAAAGGTGTCAGTAGCTAGTTGATTGGCTGACTGGAATGCATTGAGTTTGTAAGCGCCGGATCGGGAGCCGCCGAGGCTGAAAACGAGTCACCTCGGTCCATCACACTTTGGCTTAGTTAGCACCCCGGAGGTCAAAAGCGTTTTCTCACTAGGTTGTCGTACATCGTGTGATCCCGATTCTTGATGGATTTCGTCCTCCAACCGCCGGTGCATCGCGTTCTTTGTGCCGATTGTGGTGGGCTTCGTACCTTTTTCAACAAAAGGGTTTATCTAATATGCGCTTCCCTCAGGGGATGTAATCGAGCCCAACTCCGCGAATCTTTGCGTGAATTGTTTGAGGAATTCGTGAGATCGCTTGCACCTTCACTTCTTCATTGTCCATAAATTCACAATGCTTCAGTGTAGATATTACAGAAGGCATCCCAAAGCAATGTAGGTGGTTTGCGTGACGAGCTCCGTGCGTGCGACTTGAACTGGTTCCTCATTTGTAATCATCAGCGTCAGTAAGCTACTGCAGGAACTGTGAACGATATTTGGCGCCACCCGCCACTTGGTCCGTTGTCCAGCTGGAGTCCCGCGAACTCCTTGCAATATGCCTAAAGAAGCTTAAGGGGCTAAATAGGGTCCGGCTTATTGATGCTGGGTTCATATGGACTGAGCCGCATTCAAAGCGCTTGCGAGTAAAACTGACAATCCAGAAAGAAGTAAAGAACATCTCACCCCGCGTGTGGGTCCTCGCTCACCAGTTTTGCAGGTATTCACATCCACAATCCTTCAACAAATATTTGAAGTGGAGTACATTATACAGTATGGACAGTGTCCCGATTGTTCGAAACTGGCTGCCAAGAACACTTGGAAGGCCCTAGTTCAAGTCCGCCAGAAAGTCAGCCACAAACGGACTTTCCTATATTTGGAACAGTTAATCTTGAAACATGGTGCGGACAAGGATACCATTTCGATAAAAGAAGTGAAGGATGGATTGGATTTCTACTTTTCTCAACGAAGCCACGCCATCAAAATGGTCGATTTCCTCAGCGCTGTCGTGCCTATTAGGTGGGAGGTTTCCATTTGAAGATGGTTTTGTATTCAACTTGGCCATAGGCAGAAGATTTCGGAACAGCTGTTGTCCGCAGACACACACTCAAATACGGCGAACTTCAAGTTCACATATTCTGTGGAAATAATACCTATTTGTCGTGATGACCTCATATGTTTAACTCCCAAACAGGCACGAGGTTTTAGCAGCATTAGGTCTGTGTTTTCTCGATAATTACGATGGAAGGTCGTATTCATCCGCTTCACCAGTCCTCTCACGCTGTGTAGTCGGGTTGGGAATTCTCTTCATCTCATTGATCCGAGTACACTCTCTGTTGCAGAAGTGGCATCGCCCGTATACTGGCGGAACCCTTTCGAATCCCTTGCCACTGTCTCTGATCTTGTGGAGTTTACTATCCTAGACATAGAACTGTCTGGAACAGCGAAGGGTAAATGGCTGCTCGCAGACGCTCAAGTCGCACCAGCTAGTGCCTTTCGATCGGGCGGCGTTACAAATGATATAGATATGGATGATATCGGTGGAACGGATGCGATATACCACACTCGTACACATTTAGGGGCTATTCTTCATCCAGGCGATTCAGCTCTCGGTTACTTCATATCTCGGAGCAATTTCAACTCGGATGCCTTCGATGAGTTGGATCCTGGTCGTATTCCTGACATCATATTAGTGAAAAAGAAATACCAGCGTCGTAAAAGAAGGGGTCGCCCGCGTAACTGGAAACTCAAATCCATCGCCAAGGAGGCGGAGGAAATTGAGGAAGGCACGAAAGGCTCTGGGCGTGGGGCAATCGGGCGACGAGGGGGTCTTGATCAAGCTCGCGTGGAGGCTGATTATGAGTTATTCCTTCAAGAACTAGAGGAGGATCCGGAGTTGCGTGGGGCTGTTAACTTGTACAAAGTCAGCAACAAGGACGCAAAAGCACCGGGCACCGAACACGAGGAAAAGGGCAAGGTTGCATTTGCGATGGACGTGGAGCCTACATCAACACCAGCTGGTGCTGATGAGGAAAGCGAGGCCGGAGAGGATGATGGTGACTTCCCAGAGATAAAGATGGAGGAGCTTTTGGACGAGTTTGAAGGGTTGGGCATTACAGACGGAGACACAGCAGGCGAGTAAGTACTTCAGTTTCCCTGTTGTGCTCCGATAGTGCATTTTGTAAATACATCATCTATTTGGTTCGGTTGGTTCGAACAACCTAGCTTTCATGCGCCAACCTTCCGTGTCCCAGCCTCTGAACTCAAACACGTAAAAGTCGGTCACCTTTTTGGGACTTTTAGGGTTCCCACGAAGTAGTTTCCCATTCTTATCGTATACCGCCAAGGACTAAATCCTCGGCTTAGTGAAGTTCCATTAAGTTAGGGTGAAACGCACTTGAAGTGTCACGAATTGAACCAACACCTGCTGAATACCAGCCCTAGGTCCTGTAACACCAATCCCTGCATCAGGGACATGGCGATACGAGACACATTGCGTCTTCTTGGCTTCTCCGTGATACGTCCATACCAGCTTGGTCCCGCTGGTCGTGAGTTTTTTTATCTTGGTTTCTGCTTCTTGGGCGATGGGGTCGCGGGCGACATCTCGTATAGCTTTCATGTCACCACTTAGCAGGGGTGGGAGAGTGAAGACCTTCAAGAACCATCCACAAGGTGGATCAATACACTGCGGCACTCACCTCGCCAACGCCTCGTTGTATTTCAAGTAACAGTCCAAGGCGAGTCGCCTCAGTGGTCCCAGAATTGCAGTTTCCCTCCCTGAGCGGAAGAAAAGTAGGCTCGGGCTGAAAACAAAGGGTCTGCGTTTGAGATGGGGGAAAACGGCAGGGTGTACTGTCGAAAGGTATAGACTAGGAAATATACTAGTTGCTACATCAAAAGGAGTAAGGTGGATAGGATGCGCACTGTGTGGAATTTTTGGCCCTTTCTTTCCATGCATCCTTCAACCAGTTCCAACAGCCCAGTATCCCCTGCCTCTCCCATGAAGCCTTGAATGGGGAAGGTACCCGTAAGTCTGGCATAATGTAAGCATGTCGACGTCCAGAAGATCTGGCGGCACACACCAAGCACAGGCATAATCTGTCCAGCAAGACTGAACTCCCCCAGCTCTGCCTGCTTTTTCTGCATTTCCAGCAATTTGTGCTGCCGTTCTACCTCGTCTAACTTCTCGAGCTCCAACGACATTGTTCTCATTCGCTTTGTCAGAGATTTGGGCCGAGTCGCATATTCTCTTATGCGTGATGGTCTGATGAGGATGCATTGCCGCTGGAAAGCGGGTTGTCGCAGACATATTTGGCGGGAGAGGAATTGGCCTTGCATCGTGAGAATGATAGCGTCTCTCACGATTCGGCATTCTCCATTGCCTGCATCCGACATCTACATACGCCAAAGAAAACTCATTCGTCCAGCATGCCTGTGGGTGGCGTTTTCTGAGCACCGGAGCTGTGGGCTTATTGACTTCTTATTGTTTACTCATGCGTAGCGTCAATCTCGATCCCGGCCCGCTGCTCGACCTGCGGCACCTGCTCCGTCTGCACAGCAAAGTCGGGGTGCTCACACTGCTGCCGCTCCGTCATATGGAGGAAGCGTTCCTCAGAATCCCTCTGCGGCACCACCCTCAGCTGCTCAAGCTAGATCTCGCGAACCAGGCTTGCTTACTCAGATGGCAGCGACAGCAGGTTCAGTAGCCGTTGGCTCTACCATTGGTCATGGTCTATCGAACATGCTCTTTGGTGGTTCCAGCCATCCCCCGGCACCTGTCGCGGAGGCTCCTCCAGCCCCTCAAAACTACCAGACCTCGCCCCTAGCTGTGATGTTCAAGCTCGGGGTCAGTTCTCACACGTCGACCTGACCTGGCATCGTTCATTACTAATATTTGTAATCTTCATCCCAGACTTTACGCGGTGCTTGGAAACCAATGACGCTTCACAATGTGGCTGGTTCTTGGAAAAGTTGAAAGAGGTAAGTCGCTGTTTCGGCAAGTTAATGTTTGTGCCGAGTGACGCGTAACTCCTCGCAGTGCCAAGCTGTCTCCCGTCAATATTAGATTTAAGCATTTATCAAATGCGGGATTAAATGAAAATTTACACAGAACCCCTGTCCCAACTTTTATGTAGAGTGGCAAAAAATTGCATGTCGACAAATACCTGGTACATACATATCACGCGACTTTACTATCGTCACAAGAACACGCCAGAATTTATCTCGTCTTACCATGCCTGTCTTGCCCCCTCCGCTTCTGAACCGGCAGGATGAGCAACACTTGTAAGGATTTGTGCTTAGTATCCCGGCTACCTGAAAGGTCACTATCATACTCCTTGAACATGAGGGAACAAGTTCCAGTATTAGCTGAGACTAGCAGGTTCTGTGAGGGTGAATGAACCCAAGATTTTGGCCCCAAAGACCCGAAATACGAGTGCCGCGGTTCCCGGATTTTGTGCAAGATTTCATTTATTCATTCGCATTCAATTCCCCTCCAGATTTACCGTTACTTATTAATAAAGTACAAGTGGCAAGCGTTCCAGTCGAGTTAAAGGTAGTAAGGTATACCGTAGATCACTGGAGCCGCCCCGGTCAGATATTGCAGCTTGCAGATGTCCCGAGAAGTGGCGACGGCGTCCACTACTGATGTACCAACGGCCCCATTGGTTTCCGCGCAGTCTTGGTCACTAGGATTCGCCCTTCGGCGTACTCCCTCCTTGCGGCGTCCCGCGGACGAGCACAAATGAGCATCGGAAAGCGATACCCATTTTCGTACGTTACTTTCGTCTAACCGCAGTTTCTGGAAAACAGATTCTGAAAACCTATCGATGTCTTTGTCCGTAACATCCCACAAATTCGCTATGAGGGAAGGGCTAAAGTAGATGCAGTATGGCTAAGCATTAAGCAAGCCGCATTGTAGTGGTACTCACCATCCCGCGATCATGTAGTGATATGGGTTTCCAACCCGATCGAACTCGCCCATGTCTTTCAGAACTCCCGACGAACAACCCCATAACATTGTCGATGCACACTTTGGCAAGTTCCTGATTTTATGTGATCGGATGTATTGTTCAGCGCCACCATGTCCAAAGTATCTAATAGATTTAGTTCCGTAAGGATTAGATGGTGACCCGATCAAGGAAAAGCAATCCGTCTAACATCACCAGATCATGTGTGGTGAGTGCACGAACGAGTTCTTCCTCAGCTGGCACTCGGCCAATAATTCCTTCCCATCCCACTTTTTTCATTTTGTTGAGCCAGTCCTCGAAGCGCTCCTGGGTGGACTTCAGATCGCCGCTTGGGTTTAGTATGAAGAAAGTTCTCTTGGGATTAATTGTTGCACGATCGACGATAGGAAGATGCAACCCCCCCAAAGACGAAAGAGTAAATCCTCTCAAATGGTGGGCTAGATGTACACGGTCAACGAGGAATGAAACTGACGGGATTCTGCTAACAGGGCGCCCTCTGAGAACTGGTATGGACTCCCATGGAATGCATTGCAGTTCCTTGCCAAGGACTAAGAAGAGGTGGTGATCCTTCGGTGGCAGTACATCATGCTTCGCGAGGGCTTGCGCATGTTCCTCAAGTACAGTCCGAAGATCGATGACGAGCTAACATGGAAAGTTTTAGCCTCGACTATCAATGACTGCAGAAGATGCTGAAAAGTACCTGATCAATATCTATCTCCGATGAGGCGACTTGAGCACCGTGGAGCTGGAACAAGTCCAGCACGAAGTATGCCAAGTCTTCGAGTTCCTCATCTCGGCATTTGGGAGATAGTGAGGAGAAACATTTCAAGATGGCATCATCTAGGTGCAGATGACTTTTGCTTTTCCTGTCACGAACACAACCATTTCTCCGCAACACACGCTCTAATTTCGTGCGAAACGAATCCACTACCTCCAATGGAACGTCACACGGTTCGCAGAAGGCGACCTTCCATTGAAACTGAGCCGATGATCCCATAGCCGTAGAGAAGCTACAAACCTTGAAAGCACCTAGCCAGCAGTATTCAACATTTTCAACAAATGCCTTTAATCGCTGATCCAGAGCCGCTCGCTCCGCCCACCACAATCTGCGACCTTCCCTTTCTTGGATGTTCTTTGCATTCTGGGCAGTCTCGTTGCTCCTCGCTATAATCGAGCCCAGCTCTTCCATGGCACCCTCAAAAGAGAAACGGGGCTCATCGTGATCTTCCCGCCGATCATGGCGACCGATAGGTAGGTGAAAAATAAGCGGTGGTTGGTAGGCTCTTTGTCTAGTCAGGATGAGAGTACTTCTGTCTTGGGTCACATTTACGCCTACGACAGTCCAGTGAGGGGGAATCAGATCGATCTGGGATGCAGTGAGGGAGACAGGGTCCCAGGAGTGAGACATGTAACGATGTCGGACTTCGCGCCAGTAATCATGCATCGGGGGATTCTTTGGGTTATCGACGTCGGAATCGTCGCTGTCAGCGAAGAGTGTAGTTTTCTTACGTGGTCCAGCTGGTGGAGCTCTGAGCGGAGATCCAGTTGCAGACATCCGATGCCATTGCAAGTCGTCCTGCATCATCGATAAAGACTTAACGTTGATACAGTCTAGAAGCTCATGTCGAAGTGTAAACGCAGTATTAAGATCTATAAGGGATGTCAGCGAGTGCGCCCTATTCCACAAGGGATGTAGCCTAACCGAGAAGCGACGCCGTCACTATCGACCCGTTCCTCGCCTTCACTCCTAGGCTTGATTGGAACGTCCTGATAAGCGCGAGGCATTTCACCGCTTCGTGAATCTGAAGGGAAGACCCAATTGGTTGATTTGACTCTAAGCAGGCCCAAAAGAATTTCTCTGCCGTGCTCAAGGCGGCCAGTAGTTCCCGCGTGGCCGTTGGTGGTGTCGCAATATCTCCTCCAGTCATCCCCATTGGCACTGCTATGGCTATGAAAGGGCGTTAGCAAAAGATATTTGGGAATCTGTGAAACGGAAATACTGGCGTGACTGACTCGATTCTGGGAGAGAGCTAAGAACGATGTCGGCGCGGAATCGTGCATGCACTTCCTCAAATGTCAACCTCCCCATCAAGAGATGCTCGAATCCCTGTCTCATTTAATTAGACGTTAAAAGAGAGTTTCAGTATGGTAAAAGGAACCCGCCTTCGTCACTTCTGTGTGGGACAGCGCTAGGAATCGGTCAAGGAGCTTCGCAAAATCGGAATTGGCCCCTGCATTATCCCGCGATAACCAAACTGCACAATATCATTTAGAGCCTCGACCACGTCAGGACCATATATGGCTTACTTTGTTGGCGAAGAATCAGTGCGAGAATTGATGGAAATAAATCCAAATCCTTAGTTGCAGAATCGCACTGATCGTTTGCATCTCGGCCGCTTTCAGTCACCTCGAATTCGGATCTAAGGGTCTCGAAGGCGTACATCGCAGCTTCAAAGGCGCGTCCTGCGGCTTCCATGTTGCCTTCGCGCATACTGAGATCGCCCCATACACGATGGAGATCTATTTTCTCCAGGGAAACGAACTATTGCCAGTTAAAACCCTCCTTGATGTTGAGCGATAGCAACTTACAGTTTCTGTCATCATTGCCACCTCTGACAAGTACTTTTCTCCCACCTCCTGATTGGCCGAAAGGAGTTTGACTTCACCTAGCACCAGCTTCACGCGAAGTGTGATCCCCAAAGCGTTGACAGACTGAGCCAAGGCCAAAGCCTTGTCGAGAAAATATTCCACTTCGCGTACGGAGCCACGAGTATAGTATATTCTCCCTAAGGTAAGTTGAACGTCTGCTATAGACTGTAAAAGATGTGTTGAGGGTTGATGTGAGAGTGTAACTAAGCAGCCTTACCTCCACTACCTTCCATTGCACCACATCTAGATTGGAGCTTGGTGGCTTGAGAATGGATACAGGGATTCCAGAAACCTCAAATGGATTGGGTGAATGGTCTAGTGTCCCAGGCGGCGCAGAAACGGAAGTTTCGTACAACCGAGCAAGTAGTTCCGCAGCGCGGGACCACAGGCGGAGAGATTGCAGTAAGCCATCAATCCCAGCTGTCACGTTGTCCTGTAGGTTCTTTAGTGGCTGATGTATTCAACATTGAAGGACACACCCTCGATATTTGGATGGAGGAAAATGCCTGAGAAGCCAGTGCAGCTGTTAGTAACGATGCGAGTCGGAAGTTAGCTTTGCTCGGTCCCGATGACGGCCTCTCTGCTTCGATAGTCTCCATCAGTGCCAAAGCATTATTGTACCCTGCTAACGCCTGATCTGCGTTTCCTGTGCTTGCTATGTGGACTGCGTACTGAAGGAATAACTCCACCTGTGTTTCCTTCGTGACAGTGCCCTTGTAATCACCCAATACCGCGAAGGCCTCGGCATACATAGTGGTTGCGCGCTGAAAATATTCCAAACGACGGTATTCCCGTGCTAAATCTACTAAGATCCTAATTCTAGCTAAACGGAGGTTGTGAGGATGTTGTGCGAAGTTCTGTGGAACTTACTATTTTCCCAGCTTCCAGGAAACTTCGCCAGACCCAATCTGACTCGCAGAACCTCCAATTTTGGGACGATGAGCCCTACACTACCGAAAATCCGCCCAAGGAGATCTGAGAAACTGTTAGGCCCCAAATTGTGTCAGTCTCGTAAGACTGACCCAGGTGGGAGTCGACAAACTCGATGTCGTCAAATTTCGCCTGCGATGGCTTTGTAGCACCGAGTAGACAATTGATGGGTGCAGAACTGATTGCCTTCGTCGTTTCTATAAAACGTAAGGCTCAGGATGAAGTGAGGAGAGCTGACAACGCACTCTTAGACGCCTGCATCAATTTCCCTTGGTGCGCTGTTTTCTCCTGGGTGATCTGTTCTGAATTTCTTTAAGAGCACCAGAGGCACTATGTTCGATTTCGGATTGCGCAGGGAGCACGTAATCGCGAAAAATTATCATTGACAAAGAAGCTTGGGAGCGGATATCACATAAAAGTGTGGCAGAATCCCCCAAACGATGCGTGATAAGAGCTGAGAGCAGCGACACAGTAGCGATGTATTGCGGAATAAAAGGTGTCAGGAGAGCATCACGAGTGTCTCCATATCGCTTTGAAATGGAGTCCAGGTTCGGGGCACTGACTGTGTGAGCATCTGGGCACAGCAGCCTTTGAAGTTCGTTCCGGGTTTCAATGGCAGCAGCGATATCGATATTGAGGTAAAAAAAAGTTAACATTTTCATGAGAATCCTTGCATCCGTATGTTAGACAAGTCATCGTCTTCTCAGGATGCGCTCACCGTATTCGGCGAATCGGATATTCTAGATTGTATACGACGAGGCAGCTGTCCATGATCTTCTTTTGCATTGTTTGGCTTTCTTTTAAGCGAAAGCCAGGATGTCTGCGGAGCGTTGACAATTGGACTTCCATAAGCATTGCCACAGCCTCCTTTTCCTCGTCAGTGGTAGGAATGTCCATGTCAGAGAAAATGTCAAGCAGTGTGACAGAAGAACAATCAAGCAGCTCGTGGGTTGTGAAAAGCGTCAACCTCTCCAGGAGCGACTCAAGGGGTCGCATACCAGGGCTCGAAAGAAAGAGATCCGCGGGCAGAATCCGGTGAGATAATCCTGCAACTTGAGGGAAAAAATGTCGTGAAGAAACAATGCCGCGTTGAAACGCATCATATGCAAGCTGGATGCGAAGATGAGTGATCTGACATAGGGAAGGGGGTGGCTTCGTACCCTACGATCTCCGGTGCGTGACTGACAGAAGCCAAGCAACTCCCAACGCTTAGGCAAGGCGTTGGATATTGAAAGTTGGCTAGCCTGTAGCCCTTGATCTGCCGCGTTTGGCAACTTTAACCCTTGTAATTCTTGTGCCAGGTGACAAGATTGGGTCAGGAAGGGTACAGCTGTCGCATGCTGACCCCGATTAAATAAAGTAACCGCAACAGTCCAGAAGGCAGAAGATATGGACTTCAACAGTGCACTCGATTGGGCATCTAGTTCAGATGCCAATTTGCGGGCAACTGACGCAGCTCGATCCAGGAACTCTCGAATGGTTCTTGGGTGAATGCCTGGTTGTGCTAAATTGGTACGAGCAAGGCATATCAGTGAGTCAACGCATGAGACACCATACTCCGCAACGGGTGCCACCTGGGAATTTGTCAAGTGGATCGATACGGCGGAAAGTAGCTTGGAGGCAGCAACGGTATATGCGCCCTGCAAGGCATCGTGCGATTTTGTTCGTCTCGCAACAGGGGTGCTTGGTCGCGATGAGCTATCCACAGAAGCTTCAACTTCATTATCATCGGCTTCTAAATGCTCAAAACGAGAGACTAGGAGTTGAGTACACCTTTGTCTTAGTTTATTGAGCTCAGCGTTGATCTTTCGGGTATTTTCAGGGGCAATCGCTCCCTCCGCAATCAGCTGGGTGCATTCATCGACGGTTAAAGCACCCAAGCGAAGAGCGCTGAAGTCGGCTACATGGTTTTTAAAGTCAGAAAATCCCGACAGCAACCTCGGAGAACGGACCTTGAGGATCGGAGTGCAAAATCTCCAATATTGAACTATAGTCCGACACCATGGTACACAACCGAACGACCTTGAGGTCAGCGCCTTTTTGCACATCGTCATCTTGGCTGTCAGACTCAAGACTCTTCGACGCATTTTCGAGCATTGATTTGAAGCGGTCAATTTCAGAGCGACTTTTTGTCTGAATGAGGGGGGGGGGTTAAAACAGCCATGATAAAGCCTGAATAGAGTGATAACACTCACTAGTCTAGCCAGTTTCAAACGATACTCGCATATGCCGATGAACCCTTTCCCATGGAAAAATCTGGAGGTGTCTTTGCGCTCCGATGCTTGCAAGAATAGGTCGTCCAACAAGGTAGCCACCGGCTGTCGTGCGTTATCGCCGACAGCTCGAACGTAGGAGGCGGAGTATTTCCCCGCCTGATCCCAGAAAGGTCCCTCCTTCAAAATGGGACTTGAAAGGAGACACTTCAAACTCCAAGCGCGGATACGAAACAAAGTACGAGCCGATAGCGGAGGCCCACATTTCGCTGCAGCCTGAAAGGCGCTCGTAAAAAGGGCGGCGCACTGTGACTCGGACAGGTGCTGATGCAATACGGTTGACCACGCTAGCAAGGTGCCGTTGTTCAAGAACGCCTGTATGACATGGTGAGATGTTGGGCTTATTGTTTGACTGAATGGCGTACATCAATAGTTTGTTCAGTTGCCAATGGAAGGTATGACTGAAGACTATGAAGTTGGTAGGCTGCCGCCAACGACGGCAGGTTGTCATCATCGACAACATTCCCCGAGGCTGGCGAGGGAAGACCGAACGCGACGCCCACCTCCCCGGAGGGCCCAGAGAATTCTCCACTCATTTGTGGCAGTAGCGGGCAGACGAGTTTCAGAACATACGGTCGCGCCTCTAAGAGTAGCCTCGAGGCATCCTCAAACTGAGCGAAAGCTGCTGGTGAGCAAGTAGACAACAAAGTTTCAAGGACGGATTCACCAGTTCCAATGAAATCGCGCGCCCAATAATCTGAGCTGCCGATTTCTCTACATCCATTGGACGTGCAACAGGAGATGCTCTCAGTTGACTTATACATTTACAAGCGATGGATAGAGAACTATCCAATGACTTCCGTGAGATATCTTTAATAGGGGTAGATACTCTCCATCCAAGCTGGACGGCATCGGCGAGCTTCTGTGATGAGATTTTCAAATCAACCAACGCTTGGGAGGCGACCTGTCTTGGGTCGTCAACAGTCGTGGCGTTCCCCTTTAGCTTCCCGGCATCAGAAGATGCAGTATTCGGGGAGATATGAAGAGTCTGGTCAAGCCTTTTGGCTAGTAATTCTTCCGGGTGCGTTTTCGAAGAGGCAGTGGTTTGCTTCGTGTGGCGTAACGATGAAGTGGTCGAGATTGTCTTCTTTCCAGAGGTATCAATGTGAAGATTTGCATCCAGTCTCTTCGAGAGCTCTTCTTCAACATATGTAGAAACCGCATTTTGAGAAACTAAGACCGACTTTGATGATGACGGTGCGTTGTGACGAAGAACATTCGAAGAAGTTGCTAGTGAAGATCCTGCGGATTTTCCAGCAGATATAGTCCCAGAGCGTGTCGTTGTCCTCCCTAATGGTCTTGACGGCATTTCCGGGCCCCCCTTCCTCATATTCCCAGTACAAACGCGTCCAACAGATAGTGCAAGTAACGAGTTCGCGGTGTCGCAGTCAACAAGGTGCAACAAAACAAGCGCCGGATACAAACGCCCCGATTAAATTGCTTTCGTCATAAAAAAAGCAGCGCAATGGTGAGTGCTCATTAGCTTGCGAAACGCGAACTAATGATATGCTTAGATTATCCCCGTGCGATGCTTCTCTTGCGGAAAAGTTGTAGGTGATAAATGGGATGAATACCTCAGGCTCTTGGAGAATGGCGTGAGCGAAGGGTGTGTGGCATGGCTCAATGCCTTCTTGGAAAGAATCTGATATCGCTCTCCAGCGATGCACTCACTGAATTGGGGCTAAGGCGATACTGCTGCCGACGCATGGTTCTAACCCACGTTGATCTCATCGAAAAATTACTACAGTACAATCGTGAGTCATTGCTCCTCGCTTGCGGTGCGCAGTTCACTCAGCTTCTCTACCGCCTAGCTATGGAACGATCCAAAGACAAGAACATTGGGGGGTAGAAGAATTGTTTGGAACTCAGAACATGTACCATTAACCCATTCCGAACCCATATAATTCGAGACTTAACATCAAAGTCAACCCATAGTTAGAAGCACCCCATCAAGTTCCCTGGCCACGACGTTATTTGGGCTCAATTGTTTCAATTCCCTGCGTCGCCTCGCGTTTAGTTCTGTGTTAGGGACATCCCATGCCACTCACTGAAGCTTTGCCTTGTCCCCTCGTTCCTTGCACTCTTGAGCCGCCATCTTCCACTCATTGCATTTGACGTAGAGATCCACCCGTAACTTAGAGTCGCACTTGGGGACAAAGGATGCCGCTTGCTTTGTGTATCCCTGACTCACGAGATACTCGACGAAAGGCTCGTAACCAATGGGGCTACGCTTCGATTTGGCGAATGCATCCAGCCCGTCAAAATCTTTGACATCCACCAAAGCGTGAAGTTTGGTATACCACCATCTAAATACGCAGCTTGAGGATCATACTGAAATTCAACACTCGGACGAACCTTTTGTCAGGCACCTTGAAGTCGTTTCGCAATCGTTCCGCTTTTTTGTGAAGACCCGCGACAATGCATGCTCGGATGGTCTCTGTAATACTGAGGCCAACGAATTGTTTTGTTTCGTCTAAGTCTTTCTCGAGCTGCTGCTGAAAGGCGAGCAATTTGAGATATTCATCCATCATCTACTCATCATCAGTCACACGTCACTGAACAGGGACAATTCCTCCTACTTTGGCTTCAAAAGTCCTTTGTTTATCCTCCGAGAAAAATTTAGCCGCAATTTTGATATTCTCAATCTTCGCTGCTAGGCCCTGAGCGCTGACTCGTAAGTACCCTGGTGACACACCCTGGGCTGTTAGCTTACCGTCGCATTCGCAGCTTCTTCCAAAGCCAACGTTGCACTTTCAGTCCTCCTGTCATCTTGGAACCAGAAGTCCCTCAACAGTTCTCTGTTCTGTTGCCGGGCGTAAACCTGAAGTAAATCTGCCGCCAGTTTCAGCTTAGGGCCGCCTTCCTCTATCAATCGGAAGAAGTCCCCCAGATTTAGGCGACGTTTAAGGTGAAGTAATACATAATAAACTGTGAACATCGGAATTGTAAGTCGATGAGACGTGGGAGATATTCCTTGGAGCAAACCTAGATCGGTGTCTCCGCTGTCAACCGCCTTGGTGAGGGCCAGCTGGTCTTCATTCATCGTAAGTAACAACGGGACTTGGTCTCCTGCCCTCGGTTCATGATCCAAAAGCTAACACGTGTTATTTTCCCATCTATGACTCTTGCAGGAGCAGTACCAACCATCGTAGCCAGACGACTCCTTCCAGCACTCCAAGCTTTCTTCGCGATTTCAGAGTAACTCACACCCTGGGACGCCTCCGGTCCAAGAGCCTCGAACTTAGCAACAATCAACCCACAGACTTCTTCATCGTCATTCTTCGCCCGTTTTGTTTCTTCGTCGATCTCCACTCTCGATTGCGAGATCTTGGCAGACGCCCAATGTCGAAGTACGACGTCAGGTTTAAGCTTGATATACATAGATATCCGAAGCGCAAGGAGGTGGAGATTGCGTGTGGTGAGGCGGTTGATGAGATGGTGAGGGGAAGCTTGGATGTACCTGCCGTCGCCGGATGAGCTGCTAATGCTTTATGACGACGTGGAGATAAGAGCATACTGGGTATAAGTGATGGGTATGCCGATTTCGAAATAACGAACAGCGTTCAACACTTTAAGCGCTTGACCCATCTCCACGAGATCTGTTGGGTTGTAGAGATCGAGGAAAGCACGACCATACAATGCAGCCTAGAAGAGTCAATACACGTTACTTCAATCCCAACGGCACGATGAAAAGGACATTACATTCAACAAGCGCTTTTGCCAATATGGCTCAAGCTCGTGCCCTGCTGCTGCAATGCATGTATCAACGGCCCCGGCAAGCTCTGGTCGTATACTTCGAATAATTTCATCCGATCTCGGGGACTTTTTCTCAAATAGTTCAAGTGCGTCAAAAAGAATCGCGGCCGCAGAAGTAGATCCAGGTTTAAAGACCATCTCTGACGGCCCTGGAAAGGCTTAGAGATCATCTCGGCTCCATAGCAAAATCGAACAGACTTACGGGGCACCTTCTGCAAAAAATCGCACCTATCGCTGCTGATTATCCGGACACCATCGATCTCCGAAATGAGATGTGTTGGTGAGGTGTAATAATATCTGTGTAAGATTGGAGGGTTGAGTCGGGTATCCAAGCAAATAGCCTCACTTTAGCACAGTCCCGAAAGGACCAACCATAACCACTATCATCTCCCAGTTCATTACCAATGTATCGTTACCGCACCACACAAGTTGTTGCGGCGGGCCTTGCATTCCTTCAGTCGTTGTATCATACTCGGTATAACTCTCCTGAAAATTTGATGATACGACCCAAAGAGTCCCGGAGACCGTCAATAGAGCGATGGCCTTTCCACTTGGGGAAATGACTATGTGTTGAAAAGGTCCCCTGGAAATTTGCTGATAGATTACAGATGAGATAATGGGGTAACGGAAGGCTATTATGTCGCATACTTGGTCAACGCTTTCCAAGCTATCAACACTCAGTATAGTATTTTCATATGGGAGCAATACTTCGACATGGCGACTGAGACTTTGATCGGGGGAACAATGTCCCAACACAGTGGTGGCTGCGACAGAGCTGGAGCATTCACGTATCACCAATAAGCTCACTATGGAATATGCATGGCACTCTTACCTGTGGAGCCAATGACACTGGTCTACCACCCTCCCAACCTTTCACTTCCATAAAACCCAAATTACCAGTAAGTGCCACCATCCCAAAGTCATGAATAACAGCGTCGACGACTCCTGAATCTTGTGCTTCTTGTCCCAGGGAATTCTGAGAGTATTCTCCTTGGAGATCGTACACCCGGTAAACACCGTCTTCGTTGAGTATGACGAGTTGTTCATCATATGACCAACCCATTTTCACTATTTTGCCGAGCTCCCACTACAAAAAGCATTTATAAATCATAATAAGCAAGTGAATGTCGCACAGACACACCGGTATTGTGATAAGCAGCGCCCCAGAAGAGGAGAACACCTGTACTTGGGGCTTAGATGTGGTATGTTGCCCATATTGCACAATAGCCGACTCATTTCGGCGAAGTGCTACATATCGTCTTGAGAAAAACGGAAAGATCTGATGATCGATGGGACTTCACCTATCGGTCCACCACGTCTCGCACCAGCGACGATGAAATCGGAGAGCGATGCAAGGCTCCATTGCATCGCGTAGACCTCCTGTCGCCTGATAAAGCCGTTAGAGAGACGTTTCCCTCATTGGTATCTCCTATTCTTACCTAAAGAACGATGTGCCATCTTGATTTGCCTCCCACGTAGTGGTGGGATGCTGCACTGACATGAATTCGACCACACACGAGGCCGAGCGAACAGCCACTAAATTCGCACGCACCCACGTACTTGCACAAACCGCTAGGCAGGACTCCAGCCTCTATGACTTCGTAATACACAACCGCCGTCAATTGAATAGCTCATCCTGAACACAGCTAGCGCACGTGTGAATACAGGGCTCTACATTGCAACAAAATGCCTGTCCCGTTGCTATGATTCAATTTTAGGCACTCAGCGGCTACACTCAAGCAGCAACAAGGGAAGGGGTAAGAACAAAGGCTATATTGTCATTAATGTTTTATAGTACACCGGGGCTATGCTACAGGTTGTATAATGCACAAAGTGACAAACGTGGGTTGGATGTGGGATGCTGCCCGTCGGGACAAGGCGGCATCAAGGCTTGTGTTTCGACACGTCCACACCACTATCTCGTGGTTTGCCCTCGTCAGCATTAATATTGGCCGTGGAGATGTGCTGTCACATCGGCCTGGTTATGCTTTGCCAGGCATTTCAGCACCTTTTCCTGGGGATATGGAGATGCCGTCCTAATGCCCGCTTCGTAGATGGCCCAGCGTCTCGCCTCCCAAGGGTCTTTATCTTGGCATCAGCAAATTATCGATAGCCTTGACTACTCCGCACAACGGGATCCACTCACAATCTGTGATGATCCCATCGACATTGTATTCGGTCACGAGCTGCTTCACGGAGTTGAGGACGTTCACTGTCCAGGGTTTAACCTGCATCCCAAGCTTATGCGCCTCGTCCACCATTTCCTTCGTTGTAAAAGCAACGTGTCCAGGTAAAGTTGGGTCAGAGGTGGTTGAATCGGGCGCCACAGCATTGGGCTTGAAAAGGAAAGGAAATTCATGTTGGACCAGAGGTAGAAACGAAACAGCATGACTTGCCGAAAGGATGTGGGCACCTATAGAATGAGCAGCTTGCGCCAGTTGCTCACCAAGCGTAGGTCCAGGGAAATCCTTAGGATTTATCCCAGCTAACCAAGGGGAGACGGTGTTGTTGGGTCCAGAGTACGTCGTACTGAAAAAAAAAAAAGCAGAGCAGCGTGAGTTCTTTTTCGCTTCAACTGAATATCCACATGAATTTACCCATCAACGAGAGCAGACAAGATAATCGATGCATCCTTCTTTCTCATGCCAATCAAAGTCCTCCAATCAAAGCTCTGGAAAGTGATAGCACCAGGAATCTTATAATACGGAGTCGAAACAAAGATCGCGTGTTGCTTGTTGACGAAATCATCGACGCCCTTGGTGAGGTTCGGATATCGGGCGTCAATTTTGGACTCGATATTGAGCCAAACTTTGTGTTCTGGGTCAGCACATTCAAGGAACGAGAACAATTCTCTCAAAGTGGAAATTCGTGTTCCTGGGTACGCAATTTGAAGTGCTTATGAGCGGGCGAAAAAAAAAATCGGAAAGTTAGGTCCACACAAATATCATGTTTCCGAAAATGCACACGCACGATAGCCTGACAGGCGTTCCGAACCGCAATCCAGAGTTTTTAACTGGGCCAAGGTAAGCTGTGCGATGTACTTCTCCACATATCTGGGCTGATCAGGCTTTTCTGTACAGGTGAATTCATAGTCATTTCGGAACTTACGGGAACATGGGATCACCAGGAGTGACGGGCTGCGTGTCCATACACTTTGTGGGATCGATCTTCTCATCATGCCAGACCACAACGTGTCCATCTTTCGTGATGCCGTTGTCCATCTCCAGAGAAGTGGCTCCATTGATAAGACCCCTCATATAAAGTATGGGTAAGTTCCTCGATATGTCGATATTGGACGGAGGATATGCTCACCAAGCAAAGCTGGGAATAGTGTTCTCGATTGTGTGGCCGCGCCCTCCCCGATGCCCTTGGATATCGTACACCAGCGTCCTCTCTATCCATCCCCCGCTAACAGGATATGCATCCGAAAGGTGTGCGAGTCCAAGGAAGTACAGAAAAAAGGCGCTTATTGTTGCTAGTATCGCTGCCACGATGGTGAAAGGGAGGAATGGGCGAAAGCCCATCCCGCAAATATCTAGAATCACCTAGCGAGTTTATCGCTGGTGAACAAGAATTAGCTACATGTTGCATAACACATGAATGAAAGGGGGGAAACTTAGATTCACCTCAGTTCGCTATGCGTGAACTGAGGAAAAGTCGTAAGGTCCAAAAATTGGTGTTTTATAGTCAGGCACTAGGAATGCGCACTTACTTTAGCAACCCAAAGGGGGAAACAAGGTAGATCTTAGCGCCGCAAGACTCGACACCAACAACATGAGTTGGCCTCAAAGAAATCTAATAGGGAAGTGAGGAATTTCGCACAGCCAGTGGTTGCACGTTCGTTCATCAACAGATCATTCAAACGATGTGAAAACAAGAGCTCGATTCAGTGCCAATATATCAGGGAGACCCTTGTTGGGGTGGGAACAGAAATTGGCCCTCCCTGGCGAACCCACTGACTGATAGATCTTTTCTGATATGCAGCGTGTTCTCACAATTTCAGAAGAAGCATCGAGTCTGCATCGAGTCAATGCTACCTCAAAGTAGTTGCTACGTCCCTTGCGCTCGGGATCATGCTCAGTTCCTTGAACTGGAAGCATTTCAGCGATGTGCCCATGTGTCGATATTGATGGACGACGCCAAGGCGATGCATCAATTAAGTGAGGTCTGAAGTCCCCGATGCACGTGGGGCACCAGAGCAAGCCAGAGCAAGGTAACCAGCCTCCAAAAGGGGAGCGGTCCTACTGTGTCTAGGAGGACTTCGAGCAATCCGAAAGGTAGTTGGTTTCCCGTTGCTCCAGTACCAGCTTACTTGACGACGGGATAAAAATGCCTCATCAAAATTCAGGCCAGGCTGCCAGAGCTGGTATTATGAAAAAAAAAAATATATTAGCATGCTGTCAGATATATTTCAGACTCAGCATGCGGTTTATGCATGGCAGATGAGCGCTTAATGCATGACCCGTTCTCATGCCTGTTTTCCATCGCACGGACTTGGGTGGGTACGTTGGGTTGGGAACAATAATATGAGCTTGACTCGGCGAATTCCATAAATGACCAGTCTTTGCGGCGTTCCCTGGCCTGATTTGGCTTAGAAATAATATGCCGGTTCCTTTTAGCTCAGTTGTTGCTCTTTCCTCCATTCCTTCCTTCTCCTCTCCCGCGCTCATATCATGTTGTTTTCTCTAATAGTGGTGGTGCTAGCGCCCAGCGCCGCTGCTCTCACTATCATGTGGCCAAATGAAGTCCTGCAGGAAACCAACCGCTCTGTTCAGTGGTCTGGTGGCATTGTAACGTAGATTTCTGCTAATGCATTGCCCATTGCTTGGCTAAGGCACTTTTTTCTATTGCTCCAAGCCACCATACGAACTCGATATCAATAGGTGTGCCGCATCCATCGCTGAGATCAAGTACTCGGAGTAATTGATGATATTCCTCCCCTTCATCAAGCCTTTACCCAACGAAAAGGCTGAACACCTATATTGGCAACGACCTTATCTTGTACTGGTACGTCGACCTATCTTCGTGGTGCTAGTCAGCGGTCCATGTTACACCAATAGGTACATAGATGTGCCCCAGGGACGGTCATTCAGTACAATGTCACTGATTCCGTCGGTATGACTGAGCAATTCCTGGATGCTTAACGACACTCAAAGTGCCCACTCCAGGGACACACATCAACAGCACGGCACTGACTGTTCAGGTGAGGACTTTATTGCAGCCAGAAGTCTCAAATCAAGCTCCCAATCTGCCCTGCATCAAGCCCAACCCTCTCTTATCTAGCGCCTCATTGCTGTCGATAAGTGTTGGTATCCCAGTTTTCCACGTTTTCGGGCTTACCTCCACAAATCCGCAGTCAACACAATCCCTGGCTTCTGTGTCTTCAGTCAGCATAATTTCCACCAGCTCCACTGGTGCTCCTGTAAATACCACACATTCTTCGAATTGGACGTTTTCCACTCATCCCAACTATTTTTCCACAGACCTCCACCCACTCAAACCCATCATCCACACTATCTAGAACTTCCAACTCTCCATCTCCGACACGAACATCTTCGGGCGGACGCAGCAATACTAGAATAATAGCCGGAGCTGTTGGGGTACCGTTGCTCTATTGCTCATTGGCCTTGCGGCTTTCTTCTTAAGACGACGAAGGAAATATTCCCAACAGACGGAGGATACGGAAGAGCCGTATACGGTTTATCCCAGTGGTTACGCTCAAGTTGCCACCCAAAACGTTCCTTCGCCGGCCCAGAGCGCGCCACTGGACACCATTTTGTCAGCGTACCACACTGATGCTATGGATCCTTCAGGAGTCTCTGTCTTCCCAGGGACAGTAGGTAGTATGATGACCGCACCCACTAACGAGGATGAAGAGTATTATAATCGCGTTGTGATGGGTGGGAGAGGTGGATACGTTCGAGTTAGTGGTGTGAGGGGATATTCATCGACACCAGGCTCTGGCTGAAGCATATAGTTCCTTCGCTTGCTACTATGGATCTCCTCACTTCTCCAATCCATTCACTTCAGACATTCTCTATCTCGGCACCCTCAAGTATCCGGACTTTTGTTTATTGCATAAATTGTATTTCTTGGTTGTGGTTTTGCGGTTACTGGTGTCGGGCCATGCGAAGGGGCTGATCAATGCACCACCAATGTGATCGATCGATCATGATCCGTGGGTGATGTGATAGGCACATATACTCTTGGAATCCTACGCCAGCTAGCTGGTGCACAGTGTTCATGCCACGTTGGCACACCATGGTCCATCTCGCAATTATTGGAGGCATGTATATAATATTACGAAGTCATAGAGGCTGGAGTCCTGCCTAGGAGGCACGCCAGCAATTGCGGACATGGATTCGTTCAGTCGAGTCAAACATATGTATGCCGTGATTTTGTGGGTGCTGGTGCCACTCAGACACGAATACGCTCATGGCTTAATTCATCACTGTTCTGAACGATTGGGCAGGATACTGGCCTCTATTGAACGATTAATATAACTAGACTGAGAAAGGAAGCAAACTAGAAATGTGCTGAAGTAAATAATCCAGATCCTACGTCCTGGGGCAAGCAGATGCATGACCTGTCGACCAACGCATGACACACTTTCGCTATCGCACGGACCTGGATGGGCACAATTGACTGGGAGAACAACATGCACCGGCTTGCGCCGGAGCTTGGCACAGCGAATTGAACAAGGTGAATCCTTATTTGGCTTGGGAATAATACCTCATTTGTTCTCACCTCCTATCTCTCCTCTCTCCTGCGCTCATACCATGTTATTTTCTCTAGCAGTGGTGGTGCTGGCGCCGAGCGTCGCTGCCTTCTACATCATGTGGCCGGCACAAGTTCTGCAGGGAACGAACCGCTCTGTTCAGTGGCATGACGGTGTTGTAACATAGATTCCTGCCAATGTATTGCCCAGTGTTTTGCTGAGGCGCTTTCTCTATTACTCCAAGCCACCATATGAGCTCGATGTCGACAGGTGTGCTGCCTCCGTCACTAATACCAGGGACTCGTGGTAACTGACATCCTGTCCTCGCTCCAACAGCCTTTACCCAACGAAAAGGCTGTACACCTACGTTGGTGACGACTGGGCTGTGTATTGGTACGCCGACCTGTTCTCGTGGTGCCAGTCAGTCAATCATGTTACACCAACAGGGTCATAGATGTGCTGCCAGGGACGGTCATCCGGTACAGCGTCACGGATTCTGCTGGTATGACTGAGAAATTTCTGGAGGCTTAAAGTCTGAATGTGTCCATTTTTAGGAGAACAGTCCAACAGCTCGGAGCTAACTGTTCAGGTGAGGATTTTATCGCAACTGCAATTCCAAAACGATGCTTAAAATTACGTCGAGCCCAACCCCATCTTAACTACAGCCTCTTTGATGTCAATAAGTGTTGGTATCCCAATAATCTGCAGTTTTCTACGTTTTCAGGCTTATTTCCGCAAATTCGCAGTCATTGGCTTCTGTGTCTTCAGTCAGCGTAATTTCCACCAGTTCCACTGGTACTCCAGTAAATACTACATACGCTTCAAATTGGACGTTTTCCAAACTATTTCTCTACAGGTCTCCACCCACTCAAACCCATCATCCACACTGTCTAAAACTTCCAACTCTCCATCTCCAACACAAAAATCTTCGGGAGGGAGCAGTAACACTAGAGTAATAGTCGTAGGCGCTGTTGGGGGTGCGGTTGCCGTGTTGCTCATCGGCCTTGGGGCTTTCTTCTTGTTAAAGCGACGAAAAGGTTATTCCAGAGGGAGGGACGACGCGTTTGAAGAGCCCTATACGATTTATCCCATTGGTTACGCTCAAGTTGCCACCCAAAACGTTCCTTCACCCAGCAAGAATACACCACTGGACGCTATTCCGCCCCGGTTCCCGAGTGATATTGTGGGTCCTACGGAAGTTTCTGTCTTTCAGACGACAACAGGCAGTATGATGACTGCACCCACCAACGAGGATGAGGAGTATTACAAACGTGTTGTGAAGGGTGGGAGAAGTGGATACATTGGGCTCGGCGATGCGAGGGAATATTCTTCGACACCTCCAGGATCTGGCTGAAGCATACAGTTTGCCAGCTCTTGCACTTGCTACCTCGGATCTTCTCACCTTCCCTTCAGACATTCTCTATCTCAGCATTCTCAGAATCTGGACTTCTGCTGCGCTGTGTTTTAGTATTTATTGCATAAACTGTATTCCCCGCTTGTGATTTTGCGGTTACTGGCGTTGACCTGGCCAGGCGGAGGGACCGCCCCGTGCACCCTTGCAATGTTCGCACCAATGTGGTTGATCGATCACGATTTGTGGGTGATATGATAGGGCATACACACTCTTGGGGCTATGCCTGGTGTTCGCTGCTCTCACTATCATGTGGCCAAATGAAGTCCTGAGGGAACCAACCGCTCTGTTTAGTGGCCTGGTGGCATTGTAACGTAGATTTCCGCTAATGCATTGCCCGTTGTTTGGCTAAGGCGCTTTTTTCTATTACTCCAAGCCACCATACGAACTCGATATCAGTAGGTGTGCTATATATCCGCTGCTGAGATGAAATGCTCGGGGAAATTGATGATATTCCGCTCCAAGCAGCCTTTACCCAACGAAAAGGCTGAATACCTGTATTGGCAACGACCCTGTCTTGTACTGGTACGTCGACCTATCCTCGTGGCGCTAATCAGCCATCCATGTTACACCAACAGGTACATAGACGTGCCGCCAGGGACGGCAAAACAATGTCACTGATCCCGTCGGTATGACTGAGGATGCTTAACGTGCCAACTCCAGGGACACACATCAACAGCACGACACTGACCGTTCAGGTGAGGATTTATTATAGCCAGAAAGTCCCAAATCAAGCTCCCAAGCTGTCCACATACGAGTACGCTCATGCTCATGGCTTAATTCATCAGGATACCAGCCTCTATTGAACGATTAACTAGACCGAGAAAGGAAGCAAACTTAAAATATACTCGCGTGGTTGAAGTAAATATTCCAGACTTTACGTCCTGGGGCAGCATGGCAAACCAGATGCACGACGGTACCTGCCGATTGCCCTCGACCAACGCATGGCTCACTTTCGCTATTACACGGACCTGGAATTGGCTAGGAACAACATGCACCGGCTTGCGCCGGAGCTTGTGGCACAGCGAATTAAAATATCGGCACAAGATGATCCTTTCCTGATTTGGCTTGGGAATAGTACCTCATTTGTTCTTCCTTCTCCCTCTCCTGCGCTCATACCATGTTATTTTCTCTAGCAGTAGTGGTGCTGGCGCCGAGCGTCGCTGCCTTCTACATCATGTGGCCGGCACAAGTTCTGCAGGGAACGAACCGCTCTGTTCAGTGGCATGACGGTGTTGTAACGTAGATTTCTGTCAATGTATTGCCCAGTGTTTTGCTGAGGCGCTTTCTCTATTACTCCAAGCCACCATATGAGTTCGATGTCGACAGGTGTGCTGCCTACGTCACTAATACCAGGGACTCGTGGTAACTGATTTCATCCTGTCCTCGCTTCCAACAGCCTTTACCCAACGAAAAGGTTGTACACCTACGTTGGCGACAACTGGGTTGTGTATTGGTACGCCGACCTGTTCTCGTGGTGCCAGTCAGTCATGCATGTTACACCAACAGGGTCATAGATGTTCTGCCAGGGACGGTCATCCGGTACAGTGTCATGGATTCTGCTGGTATGACTGAGAAATTTCTGGAGGCTTAAAAAGTCTGAATGTGCCCGTCTTTAGGAGAACAGTCCAACAGCTCGGAGCTAACTGTTCAGGTGAGGATTTTATCGCAACTGGGATTCCAAAACGATGCTTAAAATTACGTCGAGCCCAACCCCATTTTAACTACAGCCTCTTTGATGTCAATAAGTGTTGGTATCCCAATAATCTGCAGTTTTCTACCTTTCAGGCTTATTTCCGCAAATCCGCAGTCATTGGCTTCTGTGTCTTCAGTCAGCGTAATTTCCACCAGTTCTACTGGTACTCCAGTGAATACTACATACTCTTCAAATTGGACGTTTTTAAAACTATTTCTCTACAGATCTCCACCCACTCAAATCCATCATCCACACTGTCTAAAACTTCCAACTCTCCATCTCCGACACAAACATCTTCGGGCGGGAGCAGTAATACAAGAGTAATAGCCGGAGGCGCTGTTGGGGGTGCCATTGCTCTGTTACTCATTGGCATTGGGGCTTTCTTCTTGTTAAAGCAACGAAAAGATTATTCTGGAGGGAGGGACGACGCGTTTGAAGAGCCGTATACTGTTTATCCCATTGGTTACGCCACCCAAAACGTTCCTTCGCCCGGCGGAAACCCACCACTGGACGCTATTCTGCTACGGTTCCCGGATAATGCTGTGGGTCCTTCTGTCTTTCAAGCGACAACAGGTAGCATGATGACTGCACCCACCAACGAGGATGAGGAGTATTACAAACGTGTTGTGAAGGGTGGGGGAAGTGGATACGTTGGGTTCAGCAATACGAGGGAATATTCTTCGACACCTCCAGGATCTGGCTGAAGCATACAGTTTGCCGACTCCTTCGCTTGCTACCGTGGATCTTCTCACCTCCCCAGTCCATTCCCTTCAGACATTCTCTATCTCAGCATTCTCAGCATCTGGACTGCTGCTGGGCTGTGTTTTAGTATTTATTGCATAAACTGTATTCTCCAGTTGTGATTTTGCGGTTTCTGGCGTTCACCTGACCAAGCGGAGGGGCCGACACCCCGTGTACCAATGTGATTAATCGATCATGATTCGTGGGTGATATGATAGTGCATACCGGGACCACACCTTGTGTTCGCCTGCACACCATCTCGACATCTGCTTCGTAACAATTCAGTTCTGACACTATATATTGCCTTATTCAGTCTCTCGGGGAAGCGGCACCGTGGATTCGCATCAATATATAACTGCCGCCTGGATTTCATAATCTCTCGGAAGTGAGTCACGATCCCAGAATCTTTCACACGGCAACTGCCATCTAGGTGACCAGCCTTCTCTTCATCTAAGTTATCGTGAGGGGCGCTGGTGCCGCTTGGATATGAGAGCGCGTTAATGGCCGTTCTGAATGATTGATCGACTGTCTAGAATTGATGTTTGTTCTACATGGAAACGAGCACTCCTGTGGCACTCTGCATCTGACCCTTGATCCCAACTTCGGCTCCATTCACCCTGGCTTAACGAGTGCCTCTCTCTTTTGATCCTCGTTGCGAGCGATTCTTCGTTGATCGATATGCAACTTCCCTCCACCCACCTAGTTTTGTCTTGTGCCTTCTATTTCAACTGCGTGTGTTGACGCTGCGACCACCAATTTCTGCCTGGTTGGTGCGCAAATGAATATCAACATTCCCTGCCGTCCCTCGATCCCCTTCTGGCACTGTGTGCGTCTCTCAGCATACTATGTTCAATCCATATAATGAAAGCGCAGATGGCTTAACTTGCTGGTGGAGTTCGGCAGGGACGGCTAGGCCGGGTGCTCAAATGACGCGACAGTTACTGATGCAAAAAAGATAGCATGGGGTGCTGGTCGGTAAATAGGATGTTTGATATAAGGCACCGGGCTGGCGGCCTACAAATCAGCGGACAGTCTGGCCGCAAATCCAAAAAAGAGTGTCTCACTGCCCCCATTCGAATAAACATGACACTTTGCATCAGCCACATGGGTGAAGATTCCTGTCGGTACTCGGCTGACACGCGGATAGTCATAGCCAGATGTCCCTCATGTAGCAAACTTGAACGGCTGTGTCGCGCAACGAGATGTCTGTGACACCGTTAGGATACTCAGAAACCTCTACACAAAATGGGAACAGACGTAGATACCATTTACTGCAGCTCCACTTGGGTCCATTTTCTTCGGGGATAGGCCTTTTCTGACGCAGCGTTACCTTTCGTGCTCGGAATCCATGAATAGTTGCCGGGCGAACTTTGGGCTGACCCGACGAGAAGGCTGTTACGCCTATTTCGGCACGCGCCTTGTGCCACATAACCTCGTGTCCCCAGGTAGCCGCCCATGTTTGCACCAACAGGGTCACGGACGCGCCGCCGGACCTAGTATAATGTTGCAGATTCTTCGGGTATGACTGGGTAGTTCCCAGAGGCTCAAAAGGCTCATCTTTAGGGATTCACGTCAATAGTGCGGCGCCGACTGTCCAGGTGAAGACTTTGTTGAAACAGAATTCCCAAAAGGAGCCTAAATTAAGCACTCGATCTGTCCTACGTCAAGCCCAATCCTTTGCAGTCGATGAGTGCTAGCCTTATCCCGATATTTTGTAGTTTCTTACGGTTTTGGGGCTTGCCTCCGTCAATTCCTAGTCAACACGACTCATTGGCATCTATAACTCCAATCAGTGCAGCATTCCTGACGACCGGGTATATACCGTACATCCTTTAAACTGAACGTTCTCCATTCATCCTGTTACTTGCCCCACTAAAATCCAACCCCCACACTACCTAAGGCTTCTAACTCTTCGTCTCCGACACAAAGCGCTGAGGTAATGGTCGGAGGTGCCGCCGGGGGTGCCGTTGCTCTGTACCTCATTAGGATTGCGGCTTTTGTTCTGCTAAGACGACGAAAGAGGAGAATGACATCTGAAGGCCTCCATAACATTTATCCCAGCCTGAGTGATTAAGCTCTAGTTACCATCCAAAGCATTCCTTTATCGGTTCAGGGCAGACTATTGCGCGCTGTGCCGTTGTCGCACCCGAGTGTTGTTGCTGCGGGACTTTCAGGGGTTTCTATTTTCCGAGGTACAACAGGTACTAGGAAGATGGCACCCACTAACTCGGACGGAGCATATTACAATCGCGTCGGAGAAATGGATACGTTTGGGTTGACAACATGAGGCCGTTGGCAGATAGACCGACCTTCGTGATGAGAGCAGAATTCCTTGTTTAAAGAATTCGGAACTCAAGGACAAGGTTTTGATTGCTCAAGTCCGCCCTTGTTACTTTACACTGACAAACATGTATCTAAGTCCAATTCCTACTGCCTCCATAACCACCGAAGCGTGTGGTATCAGAGCACGGTGCTATGATTTTGCCAAAAAAAAAAAAATTGGAATCCCCGAGGAACGCGCACATATTTCCTTTTGCTCCACATCTTCTCGGCGGGTTTTCATGCAACTCCTCTGGCTTGTAGTCGATCTGGGAGCCACAATACCTATCTCAGCAGCATCTCTGCGTTGCCAGTGTCGGGATAGACAACCCCTACGGTCGTATTTTCGATGTAATTCGTATAGACTACATTTTTATGTGTGGCTTGTGATTGCCAGCCCAGCGTTAGAATCAAGCGAAGAGGTTAGGTAGGTTACCAGGAATACAGTAGGATTGATCGGTCATGCATGATTGAGTTCGCGCCTCGGATCATGCTGACTGAACGTAACGCGCAAAACAGTCATGTGCACATAAACCTTATGTCAGCCCTTCAAGTGCTCTCAGAGACTCAGAGATAAACCGAACGGCTGATGTGGGGGTTAGCGTGCCGAAAGCTATGCCAATAGATAAATAACTTTCGCCACCATTGTCTATTGTGTTGATTACATAGGCCCACAGCAACCTTTTTCCATACGGTGCAGCGTCGTTCTTGCCGATCTAAGGAATTTGTGGCTGGACTATATACGTCCGACTCAGCATCTAGTTTACGCCTTGATGGTTTCGTAGATGGGCGCTAAGCGCGGCGTGCTCACTGTCGATCGCCCTCGACCAATGTATGACTGGTTTCTATGCGTGTGCTTCATCACACGGACGTGAGCATGCGCAATATTGGCCAGGCGACCAACATGCAATCTGCCCCCACGTCCCCCGAGCTTTCCCCAGGGGATCGTGGCTGAGGTCCCTGAGTGATTTCTTGATTGACTCAATTGTGTGCTTCTCTGGTTGTCTTGCTTTCTTCCTCGCTTTCTCCCTCTACCTCCTTCCTTCTCCCTGACTCGCGCTCTATCATGTTGTTTCCTCTAGCAGTCGTGGTGTTGATACCCTATGCCACTGCAATCACCATCATGTGGCCGGTGCAGGTCATGCAGGGGACGAACCGCTCTGTTCAGTGGTCTGGCGGAATTGTAACGTAGATTTCTGCAACCACATTTCCATCGTTTTCTCAGGCGATTTCTTCTACTACTCCAAGGAACCTTACGAACTCGATGTCAACAGGTGTGCCGCCTACGTTACTAAGATCAAGGACTTGCGATAATCCGTTTTCGCCTCTGGCTAGCCTCAACCCAACGCAGAGGCTGCACACCTACATCGGAAACGACCTTGTATTGTACTGGTATGCTGACCGATCCTCGTGGTGCCATTCAGCCTTCCATGTTTCACCAATAGGGTTATAGATGTGCCACCGGGGACGCTCATCCAGTATAATGTCACGGATTCTGGTGGTATGACTGAGTAGTTTCTGGGGATTTAACGAGGCTCAATTTGCCCATCTTCAGGGGCACACATCAACAGCACAGCGCTGACTGTCCAGGTGAGAATTTTATTGCCGCCGAGTTTCCGAAATTGAGCACCCAATTTGTCCCGTGTCAAGCCCAACCCAATCTTATCTAGCATCTCTTTGCTGTCGACCCTTGTTAGTATATCATTGTTCTGTAGTTATCTGGGCTTACCTCTTGAATTCACAGTCAGCACAATCTTTGGCTTCTGTATCTTCAGTCAGCGTAACTTCCCACAGTTCTACTAGTTCTCAGGTGAATACCTGCGCATTCTGCAGACCGGACGCCCCTAATTATTTGTCCACAGACCTCCACCAACCCACAGCCAACATCCACACAATCCAAAACTTCTGGCTTCTCATCTCCGACACAAACGTCTTCAGGTGGAGGCAATAGCACCTTTTCGATATCGACAAGTGTCAGTCTCCTAATAATCTGCGGTTATACACTTTGTTGAGCTTACCTCCCATCTTCGCAATCAACGCAGTTATTAGCTTCCATCTCTTCAGCCAGTGTGGTTTCCACCAACTCTACAGGCGCCCTGGTAAATATTGCATATTCTTCAAGCTGGACACTCTCCGTTCATCCTCATTACTTGTCCGCAGCCCTCTACTAACTCGAATCCTACATCCACATCAACTGCAATATCCGACCCTTCAGCTCCGACCCAACACCTTCGAGCAGGCGCCACGGCACTTGGGCAATAGCCGTCGGGGTTTCTGTCGTTCTGTTGCTCCTTGGCCTTGGCGCTTTCTTTTTGATAAGACGACGAAAGGGTCGTTCCAAAGAGAAGGATGATGCATTTGAAAGCCCGCATACAATTTATCCCCATGTTCACGCTCCAGTCGTCACCCAGAACACATCAGTGGACGTTGTTCCACCTTTGTACCCGAACGATGTTTTTGCGCCTTCTGCCTTCCGAGGGACAGCGGGAAGTATGATGACGGCACCCACCAACTCAGACGAAGTGTATTACAATCGCGTTGTAATGGGTGGGAGTGGCGGATACCTTCGGGCTAACGATACGTCAAGTTAATCATCAGCACTGGGGAACTAATTATTTTCCAACTCCCTCGCTTGCTAACATGGACCTTCTCACTTGATTCGTTCGCTTCGCGTTATCTCTATTGCTGCATTGCTTGGTATCTGGACTGTTACGTCCTTGATATTTTTTTTGAATGTCCCCCGGCGTTTGGACCGGGCGAAAGGGTTGATCCTTCGTATGTGTCTGTGCAACGCGCGCGCGCGCAACCGTTTCGCTGATCGGTCATGATCTGTCGGTGGTACAATAGTCTACACTCTTGGCCGGATCCAATTTTGGTCTTTAGCCCCTCGATTCAGTAGTATTAGAATTGAGTCTTAACAACCAACACTATGTATGGGATATCTTTCAATTAGCCCTCGATGTTGTGGAAGCGGTGCCATGGACTGATCATGCATGGAGTGATTGATATAGCCGTCCGATATAATGCCCATTGGGCCGCCTGAATTAATTATTTAATCGAGTTCGAGAAGTTATTTTACAGGCACTGCGCGTGGGCAAGCTGAGTGCATGGTCTCATCTAACTCATGAGCGGATGCGGGGGCGCTCAAGGTTTTATGTCCTAGGTATGCATATAGCAAGCATCCTAATGGCGCTCCTGAATAATTGGTTGACTGTCTGGATCGAATTCTAGCTTAACAAGATTTTGTTGTCTAAAAGTGCACTCAGCACAGAAAGGTTTCAGTTAAGCTCACGTTTTTCGCTCACAATCGTGAGTCCCTTCTCGATCTCAGGGATGCTTCACGCGCCTGGGGGATTTACTGAACGTCTTTAGACCCCTGGTTCCACATATCCCATATCAATGCTCGCAAGATGAAGTCTCTCTTCTTTGGACACTCTCACAGATAGCATTGCTCGTGTCCCACTAGGCTACACACAAGGTACAGAGCACGAAAGCAGTTGTTCGCACCCAGTCTCCCGGGAGACAGACCAAGTATCCCCTTTGGGTTTGTTGCGATCCTCTCGAAGGAAGGCCTTGATTTTTGATTTCCCATTCTACGGTCGAGCCCCACGGCATCCCACAGACTCGCAAGTCTGCCGCACCTGGCTGTGCGGCAGAGTACAGGAACTGATGGGCAGTGTGCTCTAGATGGTTTCGGCTAACTGCAGCGTGGTAGTGATCAGATATTCATCGCTCTAAGTACGGAGACAGTTCCAGCAGTGTGAGTCATCTCTTAAGTCCATTGTTAATAGAATATCTGGGATCTGGGATGATACTCGGTTATGATCAGTTCTACCTGTCCGACCACCAGTATGCCGAGGCTCCCTTTGCCCTTACGTAGATATTGGGTAACATCGTCGTGAAAATTTCTCCACTATCTGAGAGCGAGGCTGGAGAGCTAAGGGCTATATAGAAATACAGTGGCCAAGGAGAACCAAGCCGTAGCGGTGCTACCACTGAGAAGACAAAGGCCCGATTGTCTAATGTCATCTTACACAGAATGTGCGCCAAAAACGTGGAGAGTATAGGCAAGGCCAAGCAGGAAGAGAGAGATTTGGATCAGCTTTACGCAGGGCCCAGCGGTGGACGCCCTTCCGGGTCGAGAGGGGCTCGAGGACTGGCATAACAGTAAACGTAAGATCTGTGATGTGAAAGATGGGACGGGCCCTCCTGGGCCATGGGCTCAACTGTTATTCTGTTGAGGTACCTCCCTTGTGAATGCACAGCCGATTTACGCGTTTTGAGTCATATTCGCGGCAGCCAAGGATCAAGATTGGCGCCTGTAGGTGTCCGCACATCGTATTAAAAGGGTCGAAATAAATTATTTCGAAGTAGGGTTTGATGGAGGACGTGCATCCTCCTGGCAGCTTTCACCTAAAGGAGGGGTGTTTCAAGTTTACTGTGCACAACGCGTACTCGGACGTTTCAAATTCAAAAGCGCAACCAAGACGTTGCAGGCTGTCTATTCCCAATTGTATTGATTACGTAGGTGTTCACAACTATTCAGTAAAGTGCGTCCTAGTATAGGTGGGCGCCTACGCCTGACGTGGCGCTGTTGATCGCTCTGGACTATTGCATGTTCGGTTTTCCATCATTGGGCTGTGAGCAGTCGCGCTGCAACGGTTGCACTTGCATTGGAGGAATTGAATGGTTCTGAATGATTCCTTGATTTGGCTTAGTTGTTTAAGGCCTCTTTGCACCTTTCCTTCTCCCTCTCCCGCGCTCGTATGATGTTGTTTCCTCTAGCAGTTGCAGTTCTGGCACTAATGCCGAGCATCACTGGCCTTAAGATCATGTGGCCGACACAAGTTCTACAGGGAACGAACCGCTCTGTTCGGTGGTCTGACGGTATTGTAATGCTGATCTCTGGGACTGCACTCGCGAGTATTTTGCTGAGGCATTCTATTCTACAACTCTAAGCCACCATACGAGCTCGATGTCAGCAGGTATGCCACCTATAATGTTACTGAGGATGATATTCCGTCCTCACCTCTGGACAGCCTCCAGCCAACGAAAAGGCTATACACGTACATTGGCAACAACCTTGTATTGTACTGGTGCGCTGGCCAATCTTCGTGCCGCCAGCCAGCCATCCATGTTGCACTAACAGGGTCATAGATGTGCCACCGGGGACGCTCATTCAGTACAATGTCACGGATTCTGGTGGTATGACCGAGTAATTCCTGGGGGTTTAACATGGCTCGATATGCCCATCTTTAGGATCACACGTCGGCAGCACGGCGATTACTGTCCAGGTGAAGAGTTCATTGCAGGTCGTCGAATTTTCAAAAGCAACTTAGATTAAGCCTTAATCTTTCCTACATCAAGTCCAACCCTGTCTTATCTGCGGGCTCTTTGCTATCTATAGCCGTTAGTAAAAATCCGCAATTCTTCACGTTATCGGGCTTACCTCCCCGGATCCCCAGTCAACACTGTCCTTGGTTTCTGTGTCTTCAGTCAGCGTAATTTCTGCTAGCTCTGCTAGTCCCCAGGTAAAAACTGCATGTTTTTCAATGGGAAGTCACCATTCATCCCTATTCCGGGTCCATAGACCTCCAGCAACTCTGATCCAGCATCCACACTATCCCTATTCAGAACCTCTAACCCTTCGTCTCCGACACAAACACTCCCACTTTCTAAAACTCTCAGCCCCTCATCTCCGACACGAGCACCTTCGGGCGGGGGCAACATCACTGGGACAATAGCCGGAGGCGCTGTTGGGGTGCTGCCGGCCTGTTGCTCATTGGCCTCGTGGCTTTTTTCTTGTTGAGACGACGAAAGAGTGATTCCAGGGAGAGGCGCAGTGCGTTTGAAGCGCCAAACACAGGTTATCCTGGTGCCCACGCCACCCAAAACATTCTGGTCCCTCAGGCTGTTCCCTCGCTGTACCCGAGTGATGCTCCAGAGCCTCCAGGAGCTTCTATCTTCCAACGGACAGTGACTGGTAGTATGATGACGGCCAACGAGGGCGAAGAATATCAGAGACACATTGCGGTGGATAGAGGTGGATACGTTCGGGTCAACAATGCGAGAGGATATCCATCGAAACCAGGATTGGGCTGAAGCATACAATTTTCCAACCCCTTTGCTTGCCATCATAGACCTTCTCACTCAGTCTCGGTCCCGTCTCTGCATCGCCAGCGTCTGGAGAATGCTCGATGCCACCCAGGCGGCCGTTTCTCGTGGTCATTTCTCATGGTCGGCTATTCCTCAGGACATCGCTTGTTACTTAGATCCAATCTTTATTACGACTTACACGCCCACTTAGATGTAAATGTGATCCGTAAAATAGATGCCCTTCAGGCTTCAAGCTTGGCGGCAGCTTTGATCCCCGCAAGTCTATTGCTTATATCAGCCTTGGCTTCGTGCGTCAACCAGCGATGACGATTGGGTACAAGTCTGAGTCGTGATGTGTGGTGGAAGTGTACATTCTGGAGCCTGGTATGCGGTTTATCCTCTAGGGTGGTTTTGCAGATGAGCGACTCGCTGCTCACTGTCGATCGTCCTGGTGCATACACATGGGCTGGAACCCCAATGCACTGGCACTTGCACCGAACTTGACACCGTGATTGCTTGATTGAGGTTCTTTCCTCATCTCACTTCCTTCTCTGAACACTATGTTGTTTCCTCTAGTAGCGGTGGTGCTCGTACCCTACGCTACTGCCCTCGCTATGGCGTGGCCAAACCTTCCTCCGCAGGGAGCGAACCGCTCTGTTCGGTGGTTGGCATTGTAATGGTATTTTTCCGAGACACTCGTTAAGGCATTTTCTTGTGCTGCCCCATGCAAGACACCAGTGAATTCGAGGTTAACAGGTGTGGCACCTGTGTTGTTGAGATCAAGGACTCATGATAATCATCTCCTGAACCCAATGAAAAGGCTCTACACATACATCGGTGTATCGTACTGGTATGCCGACGGATCCTCGTAGGGTCATAGGTCTGCCACCGGGGACACTCGTCCAGTTCGGATTCTACTGGTATGACTGAGGGGACGATGTATCTGAAAGCCCACCACAATTTATCCCGGTGGCGGTCGCTGCCCAAAACACACCAGACCCTGTTCCTTCGAATGATATTGTGGGCCCTGCAGGAGTTTCTGTCTTTCAAGGGACACTGGGTACCATGATTACGGCGCCCACCAACCCAGATGAGGAATATTACAATCGTGTTGTGATGGATGGGAGTGTGTTCATTTGAGTTAACAATACAACGGGAAAACCATCGACACCAGGATCTGGCCGAAGCATACAGTCTACCAACTTCCTTCGCTTGCCATCGTGAGCTTTTTCACTCGATCATTCACTTCGCACGATCTCTATCTCTACACCGTCAGTTACTGGACTGCATTAATTTGCGTCCCGTATCTTTGATGTTCATTACGTAGAATGTATTCACTGAATGTTCCAGGGGTCAGATCAGGCAATGGGGCGGATCTTCATATGTACCCGTGCAACG